AAAAAATGACACTGACACCATATTAGTATCTACATTGCACCCGTACTAAGCCGGGGCGGGTCGCTAGTATTCTTATAAAATCAAAATTTGAGTATTTTAGATGCATGTATTTTTTTAATGATAAAGAGGTGCATTAATTTGAAGGGTTTGTATGAGTTCAATTTTCATGAGTGTAAAATATTCATAGTCGTAAGAGAAAAGTGATTAGAAGAATGTAAAGTATTGTAGCAAAGAAAGTCTTAGGTATGAGAAGATATTTTCCTTCATAGCTTTACAGATTTAGTTGACAAGATGTCTAAAAAGAACATCAAATAATACGTATATATATGGATAACAAAAATTGTCTATTAATATTTATAGATCATAACAAATATACACATATTAGGTGACAATAAGACTGTATTCTTTTAAGTCCCACTATTGGTACATCGTAAAAGTAAAGACGACAAGGTCAGATGTACTTAGTTGAAATTTTTTAATTCTGACTTTATCGATTATATACTATCTAGACTAATATTAAAAAGCTGAAAAGTTTCTTTGTTTGGTTAAACGAACTAATCTCAGAAACTACTGGTTCGATTTTAAATATTCTGTTAGTGTTGCCCATTTATCAGGGCAAGCTATTGGCTATATATAACATATTAATATTCTTAAAATACTAACACACATATAAATATTTACCGAGGAATAAAACATGAACTCTTAGGCAGAAAAAAAAATAGTATTATTCAAATCTCTTGAAAATAAATAGATCTTAGAGATTAGGCACCTTGGCATCTTAAATTTTTGGGATTTACATTTAAAAATATTCTAATTAAAAATTTTAGTCAATTTAAACAAAATCGATGAATAACAACTACTCGTAATCGTAAATTCCTATCTATTTATGCAATACGTAGAAATTTCATGGACAGTCTCAACTCTGGATGAGAACCCTTGGGCCGCAAGCTAAATGCGGCTGAAATCGTGAAACACTTATCCTTAAGTGTCATCAAAGTTGGGTATCGGAGGAGTTTAGGATCGGAGGACGCTTTACGCTATTATATGGTATTATCTATAATAAAATATTATATTACTAACTATACCCTGCCGCGTCTCGCTGTGGTACATTGAAATTGCATTGGTGAGAGAGAAATGAGGAACAAGATTGACGAACGAAACGACGAATGAGGAACAAAACGGCGATGAAAAATAGATTGAAACAACCCTTAAAGCGGTTTATACATAGTGTTTAAATTTGAGCTTAATCGGTAAACAAGTTTTTGAGTGTTTGAAGCGTACACAAAGCAACTTAACATTTTTATTTTCTTCTTCTCTTAACTCCCGCACTAGGAATATATCCTGTGTCGAGGGGGACTATACAAACATACATTAAACGAACACAAAGAACACCCAGACTCAGAACAACAATTTTTGAATCACACAAAGCGTTGTCCCTTGAGGGGATCGGACCCACAACACTCAGCGCAGTAGGAAGTGGCGATGTGACCGCTTAAACCACTACGATATCCGTGCAGTCTATACATATAAGATATTAAAGATTAATGTAACAGAACTCAAGTAACAAATATAGTGCGACACAGACTATAATTTGTTGCAAATACAAAAAAAAAACTACTGTATACTGCAAATAGTAACACTATGTGGATCATAAATAATGAGGTATAAATACAATCCCGTCAAATGTAATATTCCCGCAATGACGATTCATTACTGACTTCTATTGTGTTTAAAATGTAATGTTTAAATCGTTTTATTGTCTGTTATATTTACGCTGCATTGTCACTGGGGAATAATATAGATGAGATTGCAATAAACAACGAAGGTACAGTTTTATTTTAAAACAGATGATTTTTTATGGGGACCCAATAGACGGCCAATTTGTGCTGAAACTCTCCTGGATTATTACAAGCATGCCAAACAGTTTATAGTCAACTAATTATCCAAAATAAGGAGGAACGTTTTAAAACAATAACGGTATTAAACAATCTTTTAAAGTACCGTAAAGCTAAAATATTTAAAGCCAGGGCAAACCCTATATAACTTTGCGAGGCGCATCCTTTGGGAGTCGTACATAGCTAAAGCAGTTAGAGGACTGCGGTCGCATTATGCACGGGGCCATGCCGTACAAGGAGAACTTATTTCAAATTCAAATTAGCGGCGACGAAATTAGCGGTAGCTAGTGGAAGCTTCATTATATATCCTGGACACATCGGTGCATGACTGCGAATAATTGCAAGCAGCTATTTTTTAAATGGGATGCGGAAATACCGGATGTAGCCTTTGTTTAACAAATGTTTGTTAATAGCATCGTTGCCCATTTACAGTGTTAACTATTCAGATATCCTTATCCACTGTCTAATATACTATCGTATACACTTGCATATACATCCGAGTCCAGTCTGACGTACAAAAACAGACTTCCGCCTTATGGGTAGACTGGCCTTTCGGCGCATTTTCTCCTGCTTATCCTCACAGCTTCGCTCCTTAAGGTCCATAGCATGATGTTGGATAGCTTATAATCTGTTTTAATAGACAGTTTAATTTCTTCCTGGGACTTCCCGAGTGTCATAACTCGGTGTGTTCGTGGGTCACTGCTGTGGATCCTGGTGTACAGGAGTTACAGTGGTGGGCATGTGGGTGGGATTAGTAAAAAAAAATCTGTTTTAAGGAATACTATTTCCAATACAAAAATTATATAAATCTGATTAGTAGTTGCAAAGATTAGTGCATTTAAACAAAAACAAAGTCAACTTTTGTTGTACCTATTCTTATGTATAAGCTTTTTTGGTCACATCATAAATCACACACACAGAAAAAAACGATTCATCGCTCTATCTACAAAAAACAACTAAATTGGAACGTCAGTATTGTAACCATTATATACATATGTATAAATAACCCACCCTTAACATATAATATTTGTTAAATTATGTATTTTTTACACAAAATATATAATATGCTTCTGGCGTTGACTAGTCATTAAACGAGAGGAAGTCTCGCATCAACTACATTGTTTGATAAAAAAATATAAACAAGCCGATTTCACAAAACTGTTGTATCACCACTGTATCTAAAAATAAAACGCTGACAAAAGGGTTCGGGTTAAATATTTTCCCTTAAATGTTAGCACCGAACCGGTTGAAAAAAATTAGAACAATCTTTTAATACTAAAAGACAACTTTTTTTTTGGTGACGGGGTGGAAAATGCCTTCAGATCTCGGGCTCCTTCGGGATACAGGAGCAAGGAGTATGTGGTGTTTCCACCAAAAACCACCTCTGCTTCCCTCTGCCTATCAGCCTATCATTAAATGTTGCAACCCGATCACATTTTTGGTGCAATCAGGCCGCCATCCTATCCCCTACCGTAGCAATTACTCTGCCACCAGAGGTCCCCACTCTCTTATATTAAATCAGTAATATACTCGTACATATAAATGATTGGTAATAAAACGTTTTTTTTTATTTTCATTTTCTGATCCATCATCGAAGGTATCATTAGTACTATCGTCTGTTTTCGTTTTCGGGAGCGTTTCCCTAACACCATTCACATTTGCAGTAATTCCCTCGCTGAGGTATCGCGTCGGGTGATCGACCCATTAAGAAATTTTATATAAACGTTACCACATTTACAGAAAAGAACACAGGGCCCATTACCATCCAGAAAAAAAACATTAGAGAAGGATGGAATAATTGTTTTTAAGCGGTCAAACGCTAGAATAAAGTAAATTAACTATGGGTAAGACTTCGAACGCAGCTTTGTTTGATTTACTTAATGTAAAAACTTATATAGAACGAATTTCCTTCAAAGAAAATTACGCTCCAATTCCTTGCGTTCTTCATTAGCAAAAACTTCTGTACTAATCGAAAGTAACGAATACTTAATACCATGGACAACTTTTATCAACTTAAAGGAAATTGCTTTGTATTCTGATCCTGGTAAATATATAGAAAATCTGTTCAATACCTTACTTTAACTATAATTGTATATATACTTAGTATATTATATCACATGTCATGTAATTATTAGATGTGTCATCGTCACATAATATTTCCTTTCATACAAGTTTTGTACAACTATACTAATATTTTAAAGCTGAAGAATTTGTTTGTTTGTTTGTTTGAACGTGCTAATCTCAAGAACTACTGGCCCGATTTGAAAAGAATCTTTTAATGTTAGATAGCCCATTTATCGAGGAAGGCTATAGGCTATATACTATCACGCTAAGACCAATAGGAGCGGAGCACCAATGAAGAATGTTGCAAAAACGAGGAAAATTTATTCCTTTTAAAAGACGCAGACGAAATTGCGCGAGTCAGCTAGTATTTAAATATGTGTGTGCATTTGCTAAATTTCTTTCTTTGTAAAGGGCATTGCCAAATTTTATTAGCTGTGTTAGTTGAATATAGCTCGCCGTTGAAGCACGGCATCGAAAAAAAACCCGGAGCGACACAAAAACTAGTAATTGTTTAAAAAGTATATAATACGAGAAAAGGAATATGGATTAAGATGTATAAATCGGGAGGCAATCGAAAATTTATAAGGTCTCTGATACCTTTAAAGTGACCCGACGTACTGTTCTAAAAAAATTCATTGACTGTAGTCACGGCTAGACTGCTAACAAATATACAAGTCACGAAAGCCTAATAAATAAGCGATATTCATATTTCACAAATACAGATTTCACACCATCTGTAAAATGTTGCGTTGTCGCCACTGGGCATTATTCTCTTGTTATACAGTTGATATATTGCCGAAGAAAACAAATATCAATTGACGATATCATTAAATTAGGCGGTGTTCTGATTTGTCCACTATTCTCATCTATCAACCTCTAACTACTGATCATAAAGATACAGCTAAGCCTACGCCGTACCTATGATGATGCCGTGATGATTTATGGTATAAGTACTAAACGATACGCGCTTAGTACTTATACCATGAATTTTCATTAAAGTGTAACAATGAGAGGACTATTTTTGCAATAAGACTCACTCACCTGTATCTGGAACATGGATATTGATTCATCCAGCATCTGAACCCTGACGGCCAGCATCTTGCCGCCTTTCTTGGGTGTAGCGGGCGGTGTCCGGCTACCTCCGCCTGCGCCGTCCACCCCCGCCGGCGTGCTGGCGGAGTGGTGCATACGCCCTGTTGGAAAATTACAAGTGTTTATGCTCTTTTAATTTTTAAGGTTTTCTGTCTGTTAGAAGCTGAATTTTGAGGATCGGTGAGTAAGTCAAAGTTAAGAATTGTAACTTTTAATTCAAAATATGCACAGATATGTAATACAAACTTGTTTAGTACTTTTCAAACTTCTAGCTTCATCCATGAAAAAATTTACGAGGTTCAAAATGTCCTAATTGGCTTCGAAAAAAGAATAGAACATGATTTTCTTTTTTTTTTTATCACTTAGTTTTTTTTTATCGCTATGCTGCTTACTCGCTACACAGTTAGCTTATTTGAATTAAGCATACGACGTAAATATCGTGTCATTAATATATTTATTTGGTCATGGATCCTTGAGTTTCTTTCGGCCTTTCTTCTTAAGGCTCAATTAATTAACTATAGCAAATGCCGCTCTAAAGAACAAATGCATGTGTAGAAGTGCTAGCATCGTACCGCCTACCTACTTGCATGTTTAAATTTATGAATTATTATAAGCTTATAAGATTTATTCATTTCATTGACATGACTATATCATGGCTGGTTAGGTTCACACCACAAGCAGACGATACGAAGCCACATATTAACACTACAATTCAATTGCGGCCTGAATCGTAAATCCGACATGATTGTTATTTTAATTGTGTTATATGTTTTCTTAAAGACATAAATAATAAATCCATTGTACAAAGAACCTATTTTAAGATGTTTAATTAATAATAAAGTGCAAAAATAGTAGTGTTGACTAATCTAGGTAATAGGATGACATCAGAAATCAGTTACTACTAATACAGTGTCAGTGTAACAACAATACAAATGAGCTGACATTACTTGCACATCACATGAGGATGAGTAAGGTCAGGTCATGGTAGAAGTTACATCATTCTACATTTTATTACATTAGTACTTGGACTCAAAATTACGTGTCACTCTTAAGCTAACAGGAGTAAGAAGGTTATATCTACGAATTATTTGACCTGACTGACTGATTCATTAACGCAAAGCCTAAACTTGGACTACAAACTTGAAATGTTGCAGCTGATGCTTTTTATGTTGTAAACACCCACTAAGAAAGAATATTGGGAAATTTCAGTTGTATGGAAGTTCGACATTTTCGAAGTAAAAACACGAAGCGAAGCATCGGTTAATAGCTAATGTCTTAAACGCATAAAGATCGCCGAATGCTAAATCTTTCCTACTTTTACTGGAAAAGGAGAGGTACAGGCAATTGTATCTTTATTTATTTAGTAGTTTTTACCCACGGCCCCGCCCGCGGGTATGTCGGTTATCACAGTAAAATGTAGCCTAAGTTACTCGCTGATAATGTACCTTCCCATTGGTGAAAGAATTTTTGATGATGAAATTGATTGATGATTGATTGATTGGAGATGAAAGGAAATCGATTTACTGGTGAACGCGTAACAAACAAACAAACTCACTTTCACAATATGGAAACACACAGTTTGGACTATAGGTATGGATTTAATTCATAACAACTATGTCTGAATATAACAATTTATAAAAAAGGCTTAATTTAAAAAAAAGGGTAATTTTATTAGGAGTGTATCTAGATCTAAAATTTTGATTGATTGTAAAAACCATACGAGTGTGATTTAAATAAAATAAAAGATTTAATAACTGAGTTTACACTTTGAGAAAGTGTAGTAGCGATCCTGTTTTATTTAAGTACTGGGTCTACCAATAGGGATGACCTGGTTTTGACAGCTCATAGCGGCCATGTTTGATGATGGATCTTTGACGTCTCTTCACATTTGTGTTCAGTATGGTTTGCCATTTTGTCATGTCACGTTTCACTTTAAACCAAAGCTTAGAAATTGTCCAAAACTTCTTTGAAAGTGACGAAGGAAACCCTGTTACTGTGAATGGCGAGCGCTATAACTCGATGTTAACCGAATATTTTTTTCCGGAATTTGATGATATTGATGCAGACGACCTTTATTTTCAACAAGACGGTGCACCACCTCACATTATTCGAGTGAACATGGAATTATTGCGTGGAAAGTTTGGTGAGTCGTTAATTTTCGAGAAATGGACCGATCAGTTGGCCACCAAGATCGTGTGATTTAATACCTTTAGACTATTTTCTTTTGGGGTAACGTTAAATCCAAAGTGTACAGCAATAATCCAGCTACAATTCGTGACCTAAAAACCAACATTCGACGAGCCATAGCCGACATACCGGCCGAAATGGTGCACCGCGTCATCGAAAATTGGCGTGAGCGGGTGACCGTCTGCAAAAAAAGCCGCGGCGGTCATTTGGCCGATATATTATTTAAAACATAAATTGCATAAAATTATCTATCAAATAAATCAATCGGATGCATTTTTCATTTTTTTTTTTGTGTTTTATTCAATTTTTAAACCAGGATGTTCTTATTGGTAGACCCAATATGTTATAAACTACCATCACAAATTACAAACCAACATCCAGCGGTTGCCTGGAAGAGATCGCAAATCGAGATAAGGCCGCCAATAGTACAACTTTTTTTTAAATATATTTACAAGTCTGTGTATTTCATATCATATCATAAGACTTATACAAATGTATGTAAACTTTACTATTATTGTGTATTTATTACGATATAGAGTTGTCTATGTATGTACCTTAAAAAAAGGCGAAATTTCTCAAAAATTGTCTTAAACGGTGAACACTGGTATTTTTGTTTTGGCAGTGGCCCATGCTGCATAACGTGTGTTTAACCGATTGGAAGAATGGGTAACATCATGTGCTGTTTGCTGTACCTACCCATGATTTGTACCGAACAAAGAGGTTACGTTTGGGGCTGCTATTTTCGTCATATAGAAAGAATGGTAAGAAAAAGCTATTTCTTGTACAGCCAGTTGTACAGCCATCTCGAGTCCTTCCACCATGGCGTATCATATTAGTCTTGATCGAAAATTTAGTGAAACATGCATCAAAATGTAAATTACTTTTTGTGTCTCAAAAACAAATCTCCAAAATAAGTTAGGCAAAGATAAAACTTCTTTTTATCTTTTCCAAAACTTATTTTAGAGATTTGTTGTGATATTTTGATAAGGCCATAAATCAACGTGTTACTAAAAGATTCGGTATTGCAGGAAAAGTGGATTGATTCGGAAAAAGTAACACTAAATGTTGTTTTAAAACATTTATTGGATAATAATAAGAGTAACGGTGGACTATTAAAGGCTGTTGATGATGATGATGAATAATTTTGATAAATATTAAAGTAACAAACATTAATGTAATTTTAAGGGACACTACAACACTAGTACACTAGTACTTAGTCTAGTACTAGCACTAGTACTTAGTCAGACATGCATGAATATCTGACTAAGTGTAATATTATAATTAAAATAAATTTGGATTGGATATAGACATTAAGATAAGTTATAGTACCCAGACTTCCAGTCTGTTGCCCTTTAGAGATAAATTATAATTATTGTATGAGCCACATTAGGTTAGGTTGACAGTAATTAACTTATTCCCTATTATGTGAAAAAAAAACTATATTAAAATTGGCTACTCCCCATTTGGTAGTTGATAAGTCCTCTGGCTATCCTTTCGGAGATACGTCACTGCATGCATACAGCAGCTTTTTTTTGTATTTGCAACAAATTATAGTCTGTGTCGCACTATATTCGTTGTTTGAGTTCTGTTACATTAATCTTTAAAATCTTTAATATCTTATATGTATAGACTGCATGGATATCGTAATGGTTTAAGCTGTCACATCGCCGCTTCCTACTACTACTACGCTGAGTGTTGTGGGTTGAATCCCCACATGGAATGAAACTTTGTTTGATCCACAAACTGTTGTTCTTATACTGGGTGATCTTTGTGTCTGTTTCATGTATGTTTGTAAAGGCCCCTATGATACATGATATATTCCTAATGCAGGAGTTGTATTTAAAAAAAGAAAAGTATGTAGAGTATAATGTTTGTGCCCTGTTCCTCAAGATCCAAGACAAAGCATAAAACAATTTAGTCCTTGTGTGTCCTCCCTATATTTAAACACACTAAAGGAAAAGCAAAGAAACTTACCACTAAATCAAAACCCAGTCAATAATTTAAACAGTTTCTTTTATGTATATATGGAAATCTAAAGACCTTTAATTCATTATCTTCTCAAATTGGCTTATGGAAATTGAAACAGATTCAAATGATAAATTAATAGATATTTCATGAACAGAATTAGAGCAATAACATCAAAATACTGGGCTTACAAGATGACTTATCACTGAACAATGAATATATGAATATAAAAAATATATGTTGCCACAGTTTACTTACTGATACCATAGAATGATACAGCAATAGAATGATGAGATAAGAGAACAATGCATTATACAATCTCTTTATATGTATATTACTTGATTTAAACTGACTTTCTTTTAAGGAATAGCCACCAAAACAATACCATACTTTCTACCAAACTTGGCTTTTTCAAGGATATGTGCCCAGTCTTGCAAAAAATAGTGTAAAAATATTACAAAGTAACAAATCTTGTTTAGATTATTCATCCTTAATTTGTACAGTTTTTATGTCCCTGAGATAGTTTCACAGTGAAATTTGAAGCAGAAGAATCTTAAAAATTACAATAGAAACCATTGTTAGCATTCTTATTAGTAAAATAAAATATTCTTATATGATTTAACATTCATTACATATTTTTGTATTAGGTTTAAATTTCAGCTAATTATAACCTAATATGCTTTGCTTTCGGTGTGTAACTTTTAATTAAATTGTTCATTTTATGATGTTAATTTGAAAGTAAAAATTTTCTAAGGGTACCAAAAATAAATAATTTCCTATAGTTAATCTATTTGAGATCATTTTATGTTCCTTTTTTGCTGAACTTTATTTACATTTATTTATATCTTAAGTTTGTAATTTAATAAAAATAAATTCATTTTACATAACAGTAAACAATATCATTTTAGGCAATGTAATATGCACTCATTTGAGTAAAGTAAACAAAATTTTAATCACATACTTAAGGACTAACAGAAGACTGTAAAACATAATAATAAAGGTACTCACCAGGCAGAGTATGGTATCCAATAGTGGACAGATGTCCAGTGGAGTTACAGCTACCAGGTGGCAGTTCTGAGTCCATCATATTGCAGTTTGTTCACCCATACATGAGCTCAAATTCCAGACTGGCACATTACATGCCATTGTACTAACTACACTACACATTTAACACTGTTTGTCCACTGCTCTCTGGCCTCCTCAATATCTATGACAATTGAACATTTTCGTTATTTTCCGATTTTTTATCACTAAACTTTACACTACTTTATTACCTACCTAATAATCATCATTTTTTACGTAGTTTAAAAGGATTAGTGAGTTCAAAATTAATTATTGCACTCACGATGCAAAACCGGCGCCCCACTTTACACCCCAAGACACAAATAGTTAAGTTGAATGCAATAACCAGAAAATAGGTCAACGGAGGTGTGCCCGGTCGCCGCGAGAGAGACAACAGACGCACTGCCTCCGACCTTCCTCCGAACGTCGCATCATAACCACAATCTAATAAGAGCCTTTGCAAATTTAATTACTAGCTACTGTGTGTTATGAGAACGTCGTCCTAGACGTCAAGATGAGTGAATTTATTTAATTATTAATGAGGATACACACTTTGACTAACTACGTACAACATACAAATAAACATTGCTTTACACACATTTTATCTTACTCTCTAACAAGCGCAGATGAGGGAGAAAACCGACGTCGCATTGAAGCCCCAACTCCTCTACTACATGGTCTACATGTCAACCACCGTATTTCATACTAAGTCATTGATCTAATTAGCCATTACTTATATACGCCGCTTTTTGCACTTAAATAAGTCAATAGGACACTGCAACTAAATTTTAAGTTATAATAATGTCAATTTAATGTTAAATAGCGCTAAGATTTTCCTAAAAACTTTTAGCACGCCCTGATGCTATTGCTACCACGCAGCCATATTTATTTACTTACTCGATGTCACAGAGTGCGTAATAGCTCGATGTTACCATATCCTGACCAGCACAGGGCACTGACACTGACAAGCAATAGTATCTACTTTTAATAAGTGCATCAGCGAATCCGATCACGAATCTGCCAATGTAAATTTTAAAACGAAAATTTAAATCTTTATTTAATCGCATGTAGCCTTAAAACCTTTGGCATAATCATTTGTCAGTTTTGAGACTATGAGTACAAAACTAATGTAAAAATAGTGGACCAATGTACTATGAAAATCCTTAAAGCTGAACATTAAAGATAAGAGTAAAATACTAAGCGTTTATATTCATCTGACTGAGTTCAAAGCGCTGTAGATATTCAACTCTTTCCTAACGTCGAAAGGACTTAGTCAATTTTATTTACACGTTGTTCTTGAATAAAATCAGATATTAATAATCTTTTTTTAGGTTTAAAGACAATTATTTTTTCCCGTTTCATTTTAAATATGATTTAGACTACTACCAAAGAGAAAGATCTAGCGAATATGGTATACTTCCGAACTCGGACTGTACTTGCGACTCAGAATAATCCAACCAAATCCAACTGTCAAATTAAAGTTGTCAAAAAAGTTCATGTGTAGAGTTGTTTTTGTTGGTGTCTTCTTTATTTATTGTGTTCTAATTATCATAGAAGTATAATAACTTTCAAATTTATGAAAATAATGTAAAAAATACAGTGTGATTAATTATTATAATCTCAATATGGAGACCACACCGCTGCTGACGCGTCCAAAAAAGAAATCGTTATGGTCAAGGTAAACATTTTGCTTATTCTCTTTGTTTGGCGCAGTAATTACACTGATTTGGGCTTCTTTAATTGTTTTAGATTACAATTTTGGAGATTCCGCAAGAAGTTGAGTTCGAGAATAATATATTTAGGACAACTACCTGATGAAGAATTTCCACCTAACTATGTTTGTAATCAGGTCAGTTAAAACATTCAATATCCTTCTTCAACAGTCCCAACCATAGACTTCTCAATCGAGGTTTAATTAGTTTAATGCGTACTTTATAGTCAGTTAAAGTATACCTCAATAATATCTTAATAAGAGGAAATTTGATTAACCAATAATCAGATTTAGAAACAAAAGAAATGGTAGAGACCTAAATATTTATAAAAATAAATAAAGTTCTAACAGTGTATCCGGAGGGGTGCGTGGCTAAGTAGTAACCCAATAAATTCACACATTGCAAAGTTAAGCAATCCTAGTCAAGTTGGTCTATGGATGGGTGGTTCTTAACATATTGAGACCCCTCCGTGCCTCGGTGAGCACGTTAAGCTGTTGGTGCCAGTTGCTATACAAACATCTTTAGTAATTATTACGGGTTGTTGGAGACCCTAAAAAGCCCATCAGTCTTCCTTTAGAACTTTGACATTGCCTAGTACTTGGGTTACGGAGGTCTGATGTCTGTCATTCTGCTTAATAAATTGAAGTTTTGCAACATTATAGCAAACTTAAGCCAACCCCAGCCTAGTATGGGAAAAAGGCTTGGAGGAAGGTACTGGGTTTTATGTTTCTTGTGTAGCAAAAATAAATGGTTTAAAGGTTTTGTTTACTGTGTCGGGTCTCACCTCATCTCCCGTCTCCTGTATTAGTGAACATTTTTCTCGTTTATGTTTAATCAATACCTGTTTTAAATAGATATTTGCAAATAAAATTTTACATTTACATCATTCATTGTTCCCTCAGTTTAACCTATATCTGACCTAGGCACTTACAGTCCTTCTGTCGCATGCAAATGACCTTTTTAAAAGAATTCCTTGTTTTATATTAAATATTGATAATTACAGATACTAGACTATGAACATTGAGTAGTATTGTTCAGATCAACAATGTACAAATTGTTTTGTCTGTATGAAAAAAAAAAGTACTAAATAATATTGTCTTGCTTAATAGAGGTGAAATATTTATTTCATTTTTGATTATTGCAATTTAGTCCAGAACTAAGTTGCGGTTCGCTTTAAGTCTACTAAGATATGGCTGAATTTCGTTTTTTAGCAACTGCCATTAGACCTCCCAAGTACTAGGCAATATAGTAGTTCTGTAAAAAGACTCTTGTCAGCATTTTTAGGGCTGCAACTACCCATAACAATTGCCACAGATGTTTGTATAACAAGAGGGCCGACGGCTTAACATGCTCTCCTAGGTACGGAGGTCTCAATGTGTTAAGAATAGTCACCCTTAGATGGACTGACCGGGCTAGGATTGCGTAAGGTGTTTACCTGCTCGGTTACTACTTAGCCACGAGCCCCCTGTACTGTTAAATCCCATGGCAAAAATCCTCAATAAATAAATATAAATTTTAGGTAATTTGATATGATGAAATATGTCAATAGTACTTAATTCTAATTTATTTTATTTTCAAGTAATTTTAACATTGTTATTCACTTATATTCCAATGTTTGACTTGTGTGATACTACTGGAGATATCAGTGTGTGATGATAATTTTCAATAGTTTATAAAGACTTATTAAATTAAATCGTGAGACTTTTCTATTATGCAAGTGTGCTCATGTTCAGCCTCATTTCTTGCATCAAAGTGTTAAAAATGTTGAAAACTGATCTAGAGTAATGCTTTTGATACATTTTACTAAGTGACTAAGTGGTGATGGATTAAAAATATGGAATGTCACCACCCCTATTCATCCCATGGGTGTCGTAAGAGCCAACTAAGGGAGAAAACTACGCAGGATAACAGCACTGCAAAGAGAAGGAAAACTTGACACAAACCCTATACCAACCCGTCTGGCCACCGTGGTATAGTAGGCCAAAACCTCATTTCTAAGGAGAGGCCTATATCCAGCAGTGGACTATTACAGGCTGTTGATGATGATGACTAAGTTTGCCTGAGACCTAACCCGCACTAATTTTCGAGGTGTGTATGGGCTGGCTTATACACTTAAGGTCATAGAACACATGTCAACTCAGAAAGTCGAATCAACTCGAACCTTGCAGTATTCTTTGTATGAAATACGCTACTGAAACGCACACTAATCGGAATCGTAACGTAATCGCCTCGCCTCGGGACGACCTTACAAACATCGGTGCAGTGCGTGGTCATCTTCGTCTCTCAAAAGGAATAAATTGTGCCCCGTTTTTACAACATTTTTCATTGACCCTCCGCTCCTATTAGCTGTAGTATTAGGTTATATAGCCTGTGAACTTCCTCGATAACCGAGCTATCCAACACTAATCACATGAACGGCCTTTAATAGTCAACTACTGGACATAGGCCTCTCCTTAGAAAGGAGGTTTCGGCCTAATATACCACGCTGGCCAGACGGGTTGGTATCCAACACTAATAGTATTTTTAAATTTTAATTAGTAGTTCCAGCTTTTTTTTTAAGAAAGACATCTGCTCTATGAATAAATCCTGTGTCGCGGGGGACTTTACAAACATTCATAAAACGGATACACAGAACAGATTATTTCGTTCAAGCAAACAAACAAAGGCACGCCTCGTATTAGGTATTATAAAATAAAAATGATTGTAATCCAAATCTCAAAGATCTAATCTTAATGTTTCTACACCATTACACGTCACAATTTTTCAAATAAGTAAAATACATGACTGAATATTTCGTCAACGATATGAGTTACGATAACGTTTTTCATTATCGGATTTGGCATACTTTTATACTCTAAAACAACGAGGAGCACTGACTAACTTTATTATAAGTTACTGCCATGAACACTGAACATTAACAAAACTTTTATTTAAATTATTTGTTTAAAAAAAATCATCGTCAGCATCATATCGCATCATATAGCATCATATCGCAGTCCACTGCTGGACATGGGCCTCTCCCGTTGCACGCCACTTAGATCGATTTTGGGCTTCTCGCATCCAGCTCCTGCCAGCTTTCTTGCGCAAATCGTCAGTCTACCTGGCCTGCACTACATTTGCCGAGACGCGGTCTTCACTCAAGAACTCGTTTTCTCCAACGGTTAGCGGTTCTGCGGCTAATATGGCATTGGCCAGCCCACTGCCACTTCAGTTTGCTGATCCGGAAGGCTATGTTGGTGACCTTAGTTCTTCGCCGGATCACTGCATTCCTGATGCGATCCCTTAGGGAAACGCCGAGCATAGCCCTTTCCATAGCACGTTGGGCGACTTTGAACTTATAGACCAGCCGTACCGTAAGCGTCCATGTTTCGGCTCCGTATGTTATGACGTGTAGGACGCACTCATTGAAGACTTTCGTCTTAAGGCACTGTGGGATCGACGATGAGAAGACTCGACGTAGCTTCCCAAACGCTGCCCAACCCAACTGAAGTCTTCTGTTTCTAGTCCAGAATTATTCATCCCGTGTGTGTGAGAGCCGACTAAGGGAGCAAACTACGCGGGACATGATGATGAAGATCCTTGCCTAGAAGGCCTGCCCATACTGTTGTGTGTCAGATCGTTCGATCGTCCTCCCAACATGGTTGATTTAGACTCGGTTTTTTTTTCCTTACTCTTACAATTAGAATATATTACGTTACCCTATTTACCCTATCAGTTTAATTGAAATAAATAGATTTAGAGTATCTTATCTTTATTAAATGACACTTATTATGTATTTAAATATATAAATAGAAATAATTTTATTTTCAGAAATACAACATCATCACATTCCTACCCCTTGTGCTGTATGAGCAGTTTCGTTTCTTCCTTAACTTGTATTTCCTAGTGATGGCTTTGAGTCAATTTATCGCAAGCATTCGCATCGGTTATTTGTACACATACTGGGGACCATTATGCTTTGTACTGGCTGTGACTTTGATTAGAGAAGCTGTAGATGATTTTAGAAGACATAGGTAAGTATTATTTTAATAATAATACCAACTTCACACATCTCACACAGCCATCTGATCCCAAATCAGGCAGAGCCTGTAGTATGGTAACCAGACGGCAGATCAAATTTAAATAACTATGTAATATAAAATGTTTTACCAAAGAGAGATTACGCTCTTGCGAATATCTGAGACTTAACACTACAGACCACTGCAGTTGATAGCGCATTTTTTGTTTATAGACTCATAATTTGGCATGCGTGTTATTTGACATATAATTATAAATCGTGAGCCGCTCACAAGTGCATCACTGTATTCCAATATTATCAAAACTACTTATCTCTAAATCTGTAGAAAATAATTATTCAGGTCAAATTATAGTTTATATGCGGTTTTGTACTTTAAATAACTTTTAGACCACGGACTAGCAGTTTTATATCTGGATGTAAGATACATCTATGCCTTGTCTGTTTACGTGTATACAAAACCTCGTGGTAATTATTTGGTGGTGTTACAAGCTGAACAAAGTTTCACATTATAATATTAGTCAGGATAATACTCAGACTTTATTATATTTTATTATGATAGACTATTCTTTGTTTGTACAATAAAGTATGCGCTGCTATTCACTGAGCGATGATATTTATTATGAGGTGTAAAAGTAGTAAGATGTATGTTTTTGCTAGTAGCACGTTCAAATACTGCTAAGTATTGCCAAGTGTCATATTTTTTACTAGCTGACTCGCGCAACTTTTACTGCGTCTCTCAAAAGGAATAAATTTTACCCGTTTTGCAACATTTTTATTGATACTCTGCTCCCATTGTTCGTATAGCCGCCTGTAGCGTTCCTCGTTAAAAGGGCTATCCAACACTAAAATAATTTCTCAATTCGTACTAGAAGTTTCTGAGATCAGCGCGTTCAACCAAATAAACAAACAAACTCTTCAGCTTTATAATATAGAAAAAAAGTTCATTTTAACGTCCCGATATCAATATATATATATACACATTGTAATAAAACCTTTTTGTAAGAAATAAGTTGTTTATTGAGGTTTACTACTTCTATGACGGGTAAATGGATTCAGGTGTAATTTGGCAAACATATAGTTTATGTGGTGTGGTGACGGATTAAGAATACGGAGTGTCACCACCCCTATTCATCCCGTGGGTATCGTAAGAGTCGACTAAGGGAGCAAACTACGCAAGTCAACAGCACTGCAAAGAGAAGGCAAACTTGACACAAATTCTATATCAACTTGTCTGGCCAGTGTGGTATAGTAGGCCAAAACCTCCTTTCTAAGGAAAGGCCTATGTCCAGCAGTGGACTATTATAGGCTGTTGATGTGATAGTTTATGACCTGAATGCTCTTTGAAGTGGCAAACGATACTTAAGGTGCTCATTTTTTACTATCACTTTGATAAAGCACTTTCACGTGATGTAGTAAAAAAATTGTAGGTCAAGTTTTGTTTTTAAACAATTACCATTCTTAATATTTTATGAATATATAATTGTTTGAAACTGTAACAATTTTAAAAAGTTACTATTACATTTAATATTACAGAAGAGACAAGGAAGTCAACCGACAACGCTATGAACGGATAGTCCTAGATACTCCCGAAGATGGGTACCGCCCTTTCATTACAGAACAGGTGCCGGCGTCGAAGCTGCGCGTTGGTGATATAGTTATGCTACATAAAGGGCAGAGGGTCCCCGCAGACATGATTCTATTGAGGACTAACGAAACTATGGGCACTGTGTTTATAAGGACTGACCAATTGGATGGGGAGATCGATTGGAAGTTAAGGTACTAGATTTCTTTGTATGCTTGCAAAGAGTAATTTTTGTCCAATAAGTATCAATTCTCTATAAAAACTTTTTAAAAGGTCTATAAACCTTAAATAGCATATAAAACAGTTGGTCTACCGTAGTCTACTATGACTCATAGTGTACAACATCATGTTATGTATATATACTACAATATAACATGTGACGCTATTTTATTGCGTAGTGATTTAATTAGAATAAAAACTTAGGTAAGTAAAACACATACACACATAAAAAATTATGTGTGTATAAATAAAAATGTTAAGTTGGTTTGTGTATGCTTTAAAAACTCAAATAGTACTGCACCGATTGAGATCTCATATTGACACAATATACAAACCCCTTCAGAGATGGTTTTTATCTATTTTTTGCGTCAGTTTTTTTGACTGCACTGATGGCGTAGTGGCTTAAGCGGATATCTCGCCGCTTCCTAATGTGCTGGGTGTTGTGGGTTCGATTCCCACATGGGACAACACTGTGTGATCCACAAATTGTCTCAGTGTGGGTGTCCTTTGTGTCCGTTTAATGTATGTTTGTAAAGTCCCCCTCGACAGAGGATTTATTCGTAGTGCGGGAGTTTTATTTAAAAAAAAAACAAAAAGTTTTGTTCTCATCGTTCATCAAAGCAACGACAATGTGCCACAGCGAAGCGTGGCAGGCCACAAACAGTATTTAATAATTAAAGATAAATATTATATTGATTAAACCTAAATTGTCCTTGTTACTTCCAAAACCAGTCGGATAATGAGATACACTTGAGGACATCAACCACCATATAAATAGCTCAAACACGTTCTCATTCTATTAAATTATTCTTATTAACGAGACTCAGGGTTTTATACGATTTTCCAACATAGAAACAACGTAAGTAGGTATAGCTAAAAAGTTGAATGTAATCCTAACTCTTTATAATACAGTTGTAATCTAGCATTTTTTTAATAATTAAAAACAGAATACAAGAATACTATTACCTATTAGTTCAGATTAAAAGTCAGACTACTACCACTCCACTAACTTCTAAATCCGCGCTTTCAGAATTCCTTTACCATCGATACAAAAACTGCCGACAGACGCCCATCTATTGGACATCAATGCACAGATATTTATAGAGAGTCCCGTGAAAGATATACATTCGTTTATCGGCACTTGTACTAGATCAGACGAAGAGGAAAGTGACTCTTTGGAGATAGAAAATACGTTGTGGAGCGGGTGCGTGGTCGCTTCGGGACAGGCCACCGGCCTTGTTATTTATACTGGTAAGATTAAATCCCGCTTTTACTCACTGACCTCGTTTTGTTTAAGGTACCTAAGGTAGGTGTATTAATACGAAAATAAATTCTTTACTTTATGCTAAAAGCATTTTAATTAATATTAAAATGCTAATAATATAATCCGTCCGTAATGTAGTAGAATACAGAGTGTCACAACCCCTATTCATCCCGTGGGTGTCGTAAAAGCCGACTAAGGGAAAAAACTACGCAGAACAACAGCACTGCAGAGAGAAAGAAAACTTATAACAAATCCTATATAGATAGTTCAACTCAGATGTGCATGTGTGGGTAAACCTTGTACATATACAGTGACTTTGTGTGCGTGACAAGAGGTACAGTCGTACAAATACAAATATAGTTATTTACGGGTTATATACGGGTTTTTAAAAAAAAGAGTTATTTCGTAACGTAATGTTTATTTATTGAACATTATTCTGAATTGCTACTTGAAAAATCAAATGATGAATTTTCGGATTCGCTGCTCACACCAAGGTTAATTATGAATTCTGACTCCATGTCAAAATGTCTATAGTATTCTTCTTCTTTCTTTTGTACATGTCGACAAGTATTACCCCACATCCCTTCATTAATTTGACTTAAACGTTCATTTATGAGTTTCATTATTTCCGTCACATTTTGGTCGACATTATGCGAAGCAATATAATTCTTTAAAATTCCCCACACATTTTCTATGGGGTTTAGTTCAGGATGATATGGTGGCAGTCGAAGAATTTTTATGCCATATGGCTGAAGTATGTCGTCAATCTTGTAACAGATATATTTTTCTTTATTTTTTTTAATCAAATCATACAGTTCAATTTTTTTCATATCTTGATTAAATGCTATATTTTTTTCTGTCAGCCATCTCTGCATTTCTATTTTTTTGGAATTAGAATTTGGGGCTCTGTCATTTTGAACGTTATGGTATGAGGCATTATCAAGCACAACCACAGAGTTAGGTGGAAGATTCGGTACTAGACGTTCTTTTAGCCACTTTTCATAGTTTTCTGCGTTCATGTTAGAGTGGTAATCACCAGAAACACTATTTGCTTTGTATGTCAATAGTGCGTTAGGTACGAAACCTTGTTCTGTAGCTCTCGTCTGTATATACGATACACCGATTTTCTTGACGGTATCTGAGTAAATTTTTTAGGTAGGAAAATCGTAGTTTTTGGATGTCATGCCGCTCTATAATAACACGTCCACAGTTTTTCGCCATTTGTATCCCAACTTTAACAAAGCTGTACGCAGAGTCGAAATACTTCCATCATAGTTAAGTTTATCTGGAAATATTCTTTTCAACTTTAGCAAGGTAGGTAACTCGCGATGTTCTAAATGGTAATTTTGAATAGTGGAACGTATAACATCAACGTTAAAGTTGTCTAATTCTAACTTTTTAAACGTTTTTTACGGTCTTTATGCGGAGGTTTAAATTTAGAGTCAGATTCTTTTCCTTCAGCTAATATATTAGTAATTGTTCTCTCTGATACCCCCACTGCCATTGCTGTTCTTTTCCGTACGCTATTTAAATGTTCACTTAATTTCGATATTAAAATTGGACTTGCACTGCAAACTGGATCACTTACTAGTTCCAATATATCTCTCGCATCTATTTTCAGAAATTCGTATACCTTAGCAATGGTTTCTCGAGTCTAAAACAATAATACGTAAACGTCAACAAGCATATATTTTTTCGTATATACAATCATAATAAATATTAATTACATCTAAATTTAAAAAATATTTACCTGACTCCTTAAACATTGTCTCCGTGAAGAACTAGACATTTTCGTAAACGACTGTACCCTTAAGAAAAAGCGATAAGAACACGTCTTGCTCGGACGACGACTGCCGCGTCACTGCCACACGAATGAAAGTTGTATATTTACAAGCCCACGCACACATAGGGCCGCGCGCACAACTGAGTTGAACTATCTATACCAACCCGTCTGGCCAGCGTGGTATAGTAGGCCAAAACCTCCTTTCTAAGGAGAGGCTTATGTCCAGCAGTGGACTATTAAAGGCTATTGATGTGATGATGTGAATAATATAATAAAGCAAGCTAAGTTGAGGTCATTGTCTATAAATGTCTACTGATTTGCGAATCCCATCCATAGAACTGTAGTCTTGACCTGACCTGACCCTACTCTTCTGATGAAATACTATTAAAAATATCTTGTCATTTTATTTAAAATCTTTAAATTAATAAAAAAAACTAAAACGGAGTATATGACTCTCAAAGTAATTTTAATGTTAATTTCAATATGTTACCTTAAGTTTTCGTTAAGCCTGTCCCATCACGAGAACTTAGGACATTAAGTAAAGTTGTTAAGACTGTTTTATTCTTTCATTCTCCAGGTAGTGAAACCCGTAGCGTGATGAACAATGCGACGCCCCGCTCTAAGGTAGGGCGCCTGGATTTGCAAGTGAACGACCTGACCAAGTTGCTTTTCGTAGCCACCATGTTCACATCCATATTGCTGATCATATTGAAGGGGTTCACGGGGCCCTGGTTCGGGTTCCTCTTTAGATTCGTACTCCTTTTCTCATACATCATTCCTATTAGGTGAGTATTGTACTGTGCATGGTAGACATTTTTGTTTTAATCAAACATAATTACAATGATAAGAGATCTTTTTCAGAGAACCATCTAGATTAAACATTTACCTTACCTTGCAGTACCTTGTTAAATAGTTTTAAATGTAATGTATTTTGATGTCTCCCTATACGCCTGTAGTTCAAAAAGGAGTGTAGTTGCACACTTCTTGTTGAACAAACTAAATAAAGATAACCATAGTTTTCATACTTATTATTTTCGAGACGTGTGAATTTGTTTTTGACGTGACAACGTCTTATAATTCGATGGAGCCGGCTGCACGCACGAAAAAACATGGCTCATGCGGCGTTACCTCGCTCTGAGGCGTTCCATTTAAGGCGTGAAGTGCAAGCGAGAGCGCGGAACGAGCGACAAAGAGGCACAATCGGCCTCCGCGTTCGGCAGCGTTCGATATCTGTATCTCTCCTACTTGAGTGAGCGATGCGTCCGCGTGGACAGCTGCTACTCGTATACAATAATACATTTAAAAAAAAAATGCAACCACACCATCAGTATTTTCTTATGACGTTGTCACGTTCAACTATCGTCAGTAAACCGACTTTACAGACAACCGTTTTTTTTTTAAATTATGTATCAAAAAACTTGCCTAGAAAGTCTAAAACAAAAACACAGGTCCAAACTTTATCTTAGAAAATAGTCTTCTTTACAGGCTGCTATTATAGTAAAGCAAATATTAATGAGGCGGGCAAGAAGGACCATAAATTAATATACAATTAATGTTTACAGTTTGCGAGTAAATCTTGAAATGGGTAAAAGCTTCTACTCATGGACAATACAAAGAGATAAGAAGATCGAAGGTACAGTGATGCGGTCCACGACAATCCCTGAAGAGTTAGGCAGGATCCAGTACTTGCTTGCTGATAAAACCGGCACCCTAACCAAAAACGAGATGGTGTTCCAGAAACTGCATCTGGGAAATGCCCTTTTTGACAAGGATAACTTCTATGAGGTAAGTACTAGCTATCTAGGGTCAATAGTCACACGTTTTAAGCGGATAAATGTGTATTAAATAATATAAAGTGCAGAAAAAAACTAACTTCTTTTATGAACTTTGATTTATTTGTAGCTCAAGTAGGTCCACTGTCTAATCAGGATATATTTAACCTTTTTTTTTAAATGGCGAGGTCAAAATTAAGCTTATACACACAACGGGTTAAAATATTTATTGGTTAGCGTTAAACCATAACTAGAAATATTAACTATTTGATGGACTATGAAATTAATGGTTTCATTTTGTAAAGTACGAAATCAATCATTGGGGTACAATTTAACTTATAAAACATAGTAATAAAAGTAATAATATGTTTTGGTAACTGAATTTCGGGAAAAGCTCGGCAATAACTAAGATACTCGATTCCTGAACTATTTATAATATTTACAAAATACGGAACCCCCGGTGGGCGATTCCGACTCACCTGCCCGTATTTAGAGTTAGTATTGTAACACTGAAATATACAATATTTGCCTGTTTATTTTTGTAGGTTGAAGCTCTTTTAACTCAGTATGTGACGAATGACGCCCCATCTTTGCCGACATCGCCCACGACGTCTACCAGTGAACTCTTAAGTGCGAGTCCTCGTCAAGTGTGGCAAACCGTGCTTGCCATAGCGTTGTGCCACAATGTCACTCCTGTCTATGACGTCACAGAGACGGATGAAGCCCAGTCAGGTATACGATACGTACAGCCATTGCATGTTTTTCTCCACTCACGCCACTCAATACGCCATAGGCTAGGGTTAGCAATCTCACCGAGGAATATTATAACTCATCCTGTCTTTGCATGTTGAGAAGACTGCAACAGAATTTGTATGACAAATGTCAGTAATTTTCTTAAGAACTTTTTGATCTGTTTCACTACTTGCTACTACTTTGATGAATGATGTTCTACTGTATCCGTCAAAGTATGTTTCCCTATACACAGATATGAGTGGATCGATAAGCTACGGAGGAGCAGTACCACAACAGCAGCTGTGCGACTACCAGGCCTCCAGCCCTGATGAAGTGGCGCTCGTCAAATGGACTGATATGGTTATTATCTACACATTAACTATACTACCGTGTGGTGACGGATTTTAGAATACAGAGTGTCACCACCCCTATTCATCCCGTGGATGTCGTGAAAGCCGACTAAGGGAAAAAACTACGCAGAACAACAGCACTGCAGAGGGTAGGGAAACAAACCCTATACCAACCCGTCTGGCCAGCGTGGTATAGTAGGCCAAAACCTCCTTTCTAAGGAGAGGCTTATGTCCAGCAGTGGACTATTAAAGGCTATTGATGGGATGATGTGTAACTATACTATAGCTTAGTGGAACAAAACTACCGGGGTGCGTGCAAGCTTGCGTGCGTTCTTGCGTGTGCGTGCGTGAGTACCAGACAATAGGTATTTAATAAAATGAATATAAACTGGCACTTGTGGGAGGGTCGAACTATTTTTTTTTTACGAAATATATATTTCATAACGATTTTTATTACATCATAAATAACAAGTTAGCCATTCCAATTTCAACTGCATTAAACGTCACTGGTCCCCTTTTTATCAAATGCATTAAGTTAATCTGACTGTTAGGTCCAAAGATCAACATGTTACAACAAAAAAAGAAACTCTACGATATTATTGTATACTAGCTGACCCGCGCAACTTCGTCCGCGTCTCTCAAAAGTAATACATTTTCTCCGTTTTTGAAACATTCTTCATTGGTGCTCCGCTCCTATTGGTCTTAGCGTGATGATATATAGCCTATAGCCTTCCTCGATAAATGGGCTATCTAACACTGAAAGAATTTTTCAAATCGGACCAGTAGTTCCTGAGATTAGCGCGTTCAAACAAACAAACAAACAAACAAACTCTTCAGCTTTATAATATTAGTATAGATAAAGTAAGTTAGAAAGCTCTTTACTGTAATGTCAACAGATGGGTATATCGCTATACCGCCGCGACCTACACAACATATCACTCAAACTGAGAGCAGCTAACGAGATCAAGCAGTATTCAATCAAACAGATATTCCCCTTCACCAGTGAGAGCAAGATGATGGGTATTATTATACAGGTACGTTTATTATATATCACACACATATGTTTAAAAGTATTTTTGATATTAGATTTCCTTATTCAAAGTGTGGCAACAGAACCTTATTACAAAGCCTCTTGTGTACCGACCGTGTGTACATCGTTTATGTACTTTCTATTTGAAGTAAAGTAAATAAAATATGTGGGTAGGAGGAAAATACGCGTGAGATCACGTACTACGTGAAAGGGGCGGACGTGGCGCTATCTCCACTTCTGGACTCGCAGTGGCACAGCGTCGAGTGCAAAAAGTTAGCCGCCGACGGGTTGCGGACGCTCGTCATGGCAAAAAAAACTTTGACCGAACAGGAGTATGAAGCTTTTGAGGTGGGTACTTCATTTCTTTTTCATTTTTGTATGTCTAGTTCATCCTTTATGGTACTGATAGTAGAGTTTTATATTAATATAAATTATAAATCATCAGTTTCGGGCCCGGTTGGGCTCCCTTATCATGTCAGGCAATTCAAATACTATTAATTTTTTATTATTTATTAAAAGAAAACGATTTCATTTACAGACCGAATACAAAGAAGCTCGTTTATCTATGACGAATCGCGGCGAACGCACCGCCGCTGCTTTGTCCAAACTACAACATGGACTGACATTACTGGCGGTGACTGGAGTCGAAGATAGACTCGCCGAAGACGTTCCTAGAACTCTTGGCATGCTTAGAACTGCTGGTATAAAGGTAATAAAGGGTAAATAAGTCACCTGACTGCAGCTTTTTTTTAAATTTTAGCTACTAAGCCAGTACAAAACCTTTGACATCCATCATTCCAAGATTGATTTTATGTTTTATTAAATAGAAAATATTAATTAGTTATTAAGATAAGTAAAAATAACCACTTTAAATTATAACATATATTTAATTATACCTATTAATCAAAACACCTATGAACCTCCGTTGGGAACGAAGTTCCTTTCGCTTTTTGGTAGTCGTTTGCTATGGTGTCGGAAATAAGTCTTGTTACACAACTTACACATGTTTCGGTCTCGCTCCCATCCGCTCAGAGCGTGTAACGCGCGATAAGGAACTTCGTTCCAAAGATATATGTTGATTGTAACGTTCGGGGATAGTGCGGCATCTCACACGTTGCGTATGTTAGCACAGATCTGGATGCTGACGGGCGACAAGCTGGAGACGGCGCTGTGCATCGCGCGCTCGCTGCAGCTGGGCGGCGGCGCGGGCTGGCACTGCGCCGCGGCCGAGCGGCCCTGCACCTCGCGCCACCACGCCTACCTGCTGCTGCAGCAGCTCACCGTCGCCGGGGACGACATGGACCTCATCATCGAGGGGGAAACCTTGGAGGTGCGTCAATTTCAACATCGGTTTTAACAAAAGGCTATACCTAAAGTAATATGAAAATGATCTTGAAACTGCGAGATCATTTTTATATTACTTTGTATCTGATTTATCCGGGGAAGATTGAAGCAAACTATATTTGATTATCAGAATGAAACACGATAGCATTTTACATCAATTCAGTACAAGGAAACTTTTGCAAAGAGTTATACTCTTTGCAAAAGTTTCCTTGAAAAAGTCACGTTTCGATTGTTATTAGTATTCGTTTCTGAATTAAGAAATTACTCATTAACTTCTATAACCCCGGAACTGATTTGATTTATTCAGACATGCCTACGGTTTTACGAAGAAGACTTCGTGGAAGTGCTGTGCAGGTGTAGCGGCGTAGTGGTGGCGCGCTGCACGCCCACACAGAAGGCGAGAGTGGCGCGACTGCTGCGGGCGCGCAACTACGTCGTGGCCGCCGTGGGGGACGGCGGGAACGACGTCGCCATGATACAGGAAGCGGATATCGGTCAGTCACCGTGGAACTGGTGTGCTGGTGGTACTTACAATAATAGTTTTAGAGTTGAAAATTTATATAACGTAGTACGTGTGCGAACAGGTGTGGGTATCGAGGGTGCGGAGGGCCGTGCGGCGTCGCTGGCGGGTGACGTGAGCGTGCGCCAGTTCGCGGGGCTGGCGCGCCTGCTGCTGGTGCACGGCCGCCGCTCCGCCATGCGCTCCGCCGCGCTCTGCCTGTTCATCGTGCACAGGGGACTCATCGTGTCCACTATGCAGGTACCTCCCCCCCCCCCCCCCACTACACACACAGCTAGTGTGACGTGAGCGTGCGCCAGTTCGCGGGGCTGGCGCGCCCGCTGCTGGGGCCCGGCCGCCCCCCCGCCATGCGCTCCGCCGCGCTCTGCCTGTTCATCGTGCACAGGGGACTCCTCGTGTCCCCTATGCAGGTACCTCCCCCCCCCCCCCCCCACTACACACACAGCTAGTGTGACGTGAGCGTGCGCCAGTTCGCGGGGCTGGCGCGCCTGCTGCTGGTGCACGGCCGCCGCTCCGCCATGCGCTCCGCCGCGCTCTGCCTGTTCATCGTGCACAGGGGACTCATCGTGTCCACTATGCAGGTACCTCCCCCCCCCCCCCCCACTACACACACAGCTAGTGTGACGTGAGCGTGCGCCAGTTCGCGGGGCTGGCGCGCCTGCTGCTGGTGCACGGCCGCCGCTCCGCCATGCGCTCCGCCGCGCTCTGCCTGTTCATCGTGCACAGGGGACTCATCGTGTCCACTATGCAGGTACCTCCCCCCCCCCCCCACTACACACACAGCTAGTGTGACGTGAGCGTGCGCCAGTTCGCGGGGCTGGCGCGCCTGCTGCTGGTGCACGGCCGCCGCTCCGCCATGCGCTCCGCCGCGCTCTGCCTGTTCATCGTGCACAGGGGACTCATCGTGTCCACTATGCAGGTACCTCCCCCCCCCCCCCCCCACTACACACACAGCTAGTGTGACGTGAGCGTGCGCCAGTTCGCGGGGCTGGCGCGCCTGCTGCTGGTGCACGGCCGCCGCTCCGCCATGCGCTCCGCCGCGCTCTGCCTGTTCATCGTGCACAGGGGACTCATCGTGTCCACTATGCAGGTACCCTCCCCCCCCCCCCCCCACTACACACACAGCTAGTGTGACGTGAGCGTGCGCCAGTTCGCGGGGCTGGCGCGCCTGCTGCTGGTGCACGGCCGCCGCTCCGCCATGCGCTCCGCCGCGCTCTGCCTGTTCATCGTGCACAGGGGACTCATCGTGTCCACTATGCAGGTACCTCCCCCCCCCCCCCCCACTACACACACAGCTAGTGTGACGTGAGCGTGCGCCAGTTCGCGGGGCTGGCGCGCCTGCTGCTGGTGCACGGCCGCCGCTCCGCCATGCGCTCCGCCGCGCTCTGCCTGTTCATCGTGCACAGGGGACTCATCGTGTCCACTATGCAGGTCCCCCCCCCCCCCCCCCCACTACACACACAGCTAGTGTGACGTGAGCGTGCGCCAGTTCGCGGGGCTGGCGCGCCTGCTGCTGGTGCACGGCCGCCGCTCCGCCATGCGCTCCGCCGCGCTCTGCCTGTTCATCGTGCACAGGGGACTCATCGTGTCCACTATGCAGGTACCTCCCCCCCCCCCCCCCACTACACACACAGCTAGTGTGACGTGAGCGTGCGCCAGTTCGCGGGGCTGGCGCGCCTGCTGCTGGTGCACGGCCGCCGCTCCGCCATGCGCTCCGCCGCGCTCTGCCTGTTCATCGTGCACAGGGGACTCATCGTGTCCACTATGCAGGTACCTCCCCCCCCCCCCCCCCCACTACACACACAGCTAGTGTGACGTGAGCGTGCGCCAGTTCGCGGGGCTGGCGCGCCTGCTGCTGGTGCACGGCCGCCGCTCCGCCATGCGCTCCGCCGCGCTCTGCCTGTTCATCGTGCACAGGGGACTCATCGTGTCCACTATGCAGGTACCCCCCCCCCCCCCCCCACTACACACACAGCTAGTGTGACGTGAGCGTGCACCTCTAGTCACTGAATTTTAGTGGAATTCTATGTCTTACATATTTGTTTTCGGTTATTATATCCTGCTCGTAACACTGGCAAACTCAAAATAAATGGTGGTAATATTCCCTACCCTCCCAGTCTGGTAGCTCTACTAAGATAAAAAATCTATACTCGATCTCTTTCTAGAGTCGTGGATTAAACAAATAAAATTGTCCTTTTCCAATTTATTAACTAATTATGATTTATCCCCAGGCTGTATTCTCCGTGGTGTTCTACTTCTCCTCTGTATCTCTGTACCCTGGATTCTTGATGGTCGGCTATGGAACTCTGTTTACTATGCTCCCTGTGTTCTCATTAGTAAGTATCGAATTATATTGTATTCAGTTATTAAATCCTCTTATGTTAACAGGAATATAAAATTATGATATAACTTTTTTTACATGCTGAAACGAGAATACATTTCTGACCCATCGCTATATTAGTGTGGTTAGGTGACAAATTTTACAAAAAAAAAACGAAAAAATAAACATTTTCATTCTCTTATTTTAACTTTAAGAAGCGGTTGCTTACGCTTATACACGTAGCCTGTCAAGTATGTGACGTCATATCATCATCAACGTTTCAACTTCTATACAATACCAATCTATATAACCGATGTATAAATCAAGATAAATAGGTCAGTAACCGACAAATAAAACGGTAACCAACCGACTTCAAACAAATGAGGAGTTTGTTTTTTTTATGTTTGTTGCCTCTGGACGCAGTAATTTATGAACCGATTTGAAAAATTTATTATTAATTATAGTATTTTCATTTGGAAGCGTATGTATGCTTCACAATTGGTTCCATTCAAATTTGATGATAATGTAAACAATAGGAATTAAGGTATAAATGAGATCCGAAGGGATTTTCCACGGCGTCAACAAAAAAAAAAGGTAAAAATGTGGGCGCGTTGAAGTCTGAAATACTTTTTTAATAGTTAATTATTTTACCCAACATTTTCACGTGACAATTTATTTCTTTCTTGCAGGTATTGGATAAAGATATACCAAGTACGACGGCGCTCCGATACCCACAGCTATATAAACAGCTGACGAAAGGCCGGCAGCTCTCTTACAAAACGTTTTACATATGGACTGGCATATCTATATATCAGGGTAGGATACCATTGTTCGAAAAATAGATATAACCTAAATTAACTAGCTTGTATCGGAGATCATTGTGAAAAGAGATCAGAATCTATTGTCACCACGACTTTATTTTCGTTCTGATATTAAAATTTATTTTGTTTACAACTTTAAGCAAGCCTTCTAGTGTAGTCAAAAGATCTTTAGACCGTAAAAAATGTGCCTGTGCATCAAAAGAATGTGGAGTTGCATCGAATACAAGTCTTCATATACTGCTACTATGTATATCAAAAATCTAAAATGTTGAAACAGCAATAGGATTATTTACGCACTGTTGGAATTTCACTGACTAAATTCGATTTAGCGTTTTTTCATAGATAAAAATGTATTGTTTAATAGTTAACACATTTATTTCACTAAATATTTATTAAAGCACATAGTTAAATATATTATAATGCAATTAAAATCTTTACAATAATTACATTAGTTACATACAAGCATAAAAAAAATCGGTTGTCTGTAAAGTCGGTTTACTGACGATAGTTGAACGTGACAACGTCATAAGAAAATACTGATGGAATGGTTGAATTTTTCAAAAATGTATTATTGTATACGAGTAGCAGCTGTCCACGCGGACGCATCGCTCACTCAAGTAGGAGAGAGACAGATATCGAACGCTGCCGAACGCGGAGGCCGATTGTGCCTCTTTGTCACTCGTTCCGCGCTCTCGCTTGCACTTCACGCCTTAAATGGAACGCCTCAGAGCGAGGTAACGCCGCCTGAGTCATGTTTTTTCGTGCGTGCAGCCGGCTCCATCGAATTATAAGACGTTGTCACGTCAAAAATCCTCTGCGACATCGCCTAGTGGTAGCGGTTCAGAAGACAGCCATTGCCACGTTGAACTGCAATGTTAACTGTGCTAGAAAAAGGCCGCCTTCTGATCACGAGAAGTGTCGAACATTTGCTCACCTAGTTGTTTATACATAGCACTCGGACCCCATGACTCTCGTCGTCGTTCAAATATGTATTAGTTGGCGTCATATTTTTTATTTCTCCATTTAGCGGGATCAATAAATCATGACAATTAATATGTTACAGGAGGAGTAATAATGTATGGAGCTCTTGTTTTGTTCGAGGACCAGTTGATCCATATCGTGGAGATCAGTTTCACAGCTTTGATTCTCACAGAGCTGATCATGGTGGCGCTGACGGTGGTCACGTGGCATTGGCTCATGATAGGGGCTGAACTCTTCAGTCTCCTTACGTATATAGGCACGCTGCTTATTTTCACAACGTATTTTGGTGAGTATCGTGTAATACATATACCTAAGATGAATTTTTACACGTCACATGATATATTTCAGCGATTATAAAGTAAATTAAGGTAGATCTTTCTACTGTGACATCTGTAGATGCTGTGTCAATAGAGATAACAGGTTATTTAAATATTGTAAACGCTCTTGTAAAAGAAAATATTAAAAATATAAACTAATTATATAGCTATCGATAGTCTGTCGCTTTAATCATTTTTTTAACGGAAGGTCTGCATTTAAAAATGTCTCTATTTTTTACACGCTTTATATTAGCTTCACTTGTATGTTTGTATGTATGTTTGTAACCGACTCCTTTAGGCGTGATTTTGACTGACTTTAAACAATCAGAATTCGTTCAAACTTTGTAGATATATCGAGGACCGATGACAATACATTAATGGAAAAAAAAGTAATAGTTTTTAAAAACTAAAAAACAGGTTTTTTATAGAAAACCAAACTAAAAAATTTAAATAAACTTGAAAAAAAAGTCATCACTTTGTTTCTAAAACAACAATAGTGTTCTAAATGATGTTATAAATGGGAAAGTTGGTTTTGTTTATTTCTAAGAGAAAAAGAACTCGTATTTGAGAGATATCAGAATGTATTGATAAAATCTACATTAGCGCTAACTTAACCAGTAACCATGTACAAAAGTTATTTTTCGATAAAGACAAGTCGTAACAATGTAATTGCTCATTTTCCCCACAGACGCCGACTTCATACGTCATTGGGACTTTTGGTGGAAGGTAATCGTTATAACGTTGGTGTCCTGCCTACCGCTGTATATAGTCAAGTACATGCACAGAAAGTGGAGCGCCCGCCAGTACAAAAATATAAGAAAATGATTATTAGCTGTAAGTTGTTTAGGTCCATATTGCAATGTGATTCACTCTTATTAGTAAACCCTTTTGTACACTGTAAGAATTATGATAGAAACATTTACATTGGTTACTTGATATTTTTAAGGGTATCTGTATTACTCAAAGCTATCATTATTTTTTGGGTGTTTTTTTTTTTTTAATTTTTGATGCGTAATATGATTGATATTTTTTTATTTTATTTCTTTTGTGTGTGTAATATGACTTTTTGTCAAAATAAGGAAGTCTTGCCAGGAAAATAAGAGCGTCTATTGGAAAGTATAATAGTATTTAGGATCTTTATGAAAAATCGGGTAATGAAGCGCAGATAAAGTTAAGAATGATGACGATAAATACCACGACACTAAAACGAAAAACGTATTTTTTTTTATGACGTTGGTACATAAAAGTTGAAGCAATTTTGACACCTGTTTATATAGTAATATGTGTTTACTACTATACTTGTTTTTAATAGGAAAGGCGTTGCTTCGAAAGACTCAATTTATGACAAACATTATTCCATTTTATAAACTGTCCGTGAAAAGAAAAAAGACGCACAGATGCAGACAAGGACAAATTTCAATTATTATACATGTTCAAAAATACGTACATACTCAAAAGGTTTAGGTACCTACTTAAAAAAAACTATTTTACTATCTTTTAAACTGTCTATGTATGGTGTTCTAACCCGGACGAGAATGAGGCGTGAGTGTATCTACGTTCCACTTTCAAAAACTTTTATCATTTAAACAATGTTTTATTCCTTTCTTATCTTAAAAGAACGTTCCGTGTTTAGTGTAAATTTGTTGTTATTTTTAGCATCAGGTATCAGCTTAATATTAACAAAATGTGTTGTAATCCGTCTACTGCAAATAACCTAATAAGCCAGATTACGCAATTTTTTTTTAATTTTTCAGTAAGTCGTCTACTATTATAGTATTAGAAGTATTTACCAGTAGTAGTATTTACCTCTTTATTTTGTAAATTACCAATTTATTGAATAGGATAATCTTATTGCGTTCTGTATTATAGGTTAGTTGTTCTTTTTTAATTAAAAAAGGAGTCTTAAGGTTTTAGTACACTACCGTTTCCAAATTATAGTATAACCCTTATAGTTCAATTCATGACTTCAAAAAAAATCTCAATTCGTTTTTTTTTATATGTCTTCTACACGATGTATTTATTTATGAATTAGTTTCTATTTTTTTCAATTGAGTTGATTACAGTGAAGGTTGGTCTCATTTATATTTAAAGAAAAATGTTTGAAAAGAATGAAAAATAAAGCCGGTTACAATTAATCGTGTTTTAGGCAAAGGACTTTCGTTTACCTTTTTTAAGAATCATATTACATAAGATGACATAAAATATATTTTATGAGAAAAGGTTTGAGCGCCCTTGCGTCACGTCCGTTTTGTCGTTTTACTTTATGTAAGTACCTAAACCTTTCGAGTATAGCTTATGGAAGTATTACATTTTAGTACTCTTTAATTTGGTATTACTATAGTTATGAATGCTTTCGATGTTTTATTAATTTACCTACCGGTAACCGCTTACCACCAGGTGAGACGTTTCTTTGTCAACTCAGTAGGAGCATAAAGATAAATTGATTTTCAATATACTAACCACTCTTTCCACTTCCACCAATTCCACTTACTCTGCTATTAAAACAATTACTTATTAGTAAAACAATAAACCTACTCGTATGTGCTAACTTTTTTTAACACAGAACTGCTTAGAAGCACAGATATCACTTTCTTTGACCTAAACTTAATATTCTGCATCATTTGAAAAAGATTTCTGTACCATTTTAATTGAAAAAAAAAACTGCGGGTTGCGAGTGTTGTCTTTAAAAAAAAAAGAATTAATGACGTATTGTATATTTTCGTGAACTTGTCAAATAACATGTATATGACAGTTTTATGTTTCCTGGTAAGACTATTTATAGTATTTACTTTGTTAATAATTAAATCAATTATTATTAATATAGCATATTCTTATACTGATTTAAACTACTTTAGTAGTGTCAATATCTATGTATTAATACGTGAAGAAATTTTGTACCCCTTTCTAAGCAAATTTTGCGGACGGAGGAATGTAAAATTTAAAGCACTAAGTTTATATTGATAAGGAGAAAAATCTACAAATTGATTCAATATGTGTTATAAATTGATAGGAAAGTGGTTAGAAAAGCTACGGGGGTCAAGTATACCAGTAACCTGACCTGTCATAGAAAGAAATCTCTTTACAATGACAGTTCAGGTTATACTGGTCATTGATATGTGTTTGTTTCAACATTTAATCGATTACGGTCGTTCGACCACCAGGCGATCTCTAGCACATATAATTAGTTTTTTTTTAATATTTTGAAGTATCGAAGACTCAGAGTATTGTATATCATAAAGTTGTCATTACAGGTGTAAATTATATTGTTATTATATAGTATTAAATTATATGTTACGAAAAACTGTTTATATACATATTAGGATTGTTCAATAACAATAGATTGGCTGTATTTTACAGTCTACGAAGTACATTTACTCAAAAAAAAAAGCATTAATACCATTATTATTTAATTAAAAAATACCATTAGTATGTATAATTGTGATTGTTGTAGGGCCAGATTAAAGTGATATTATTCGATTCTTTACAAATTCTCATTCATTCTCAAAGTTATCAAAATAACTTTGAGAATGAATCAGAATTAAAGAAGATTTAAGAAGAAATTTGTATATTACAGCAAAAAAAAATATTACAGCAAGACACCTACTGTTTTAATGTATGTAGGTATTTAATTTTATGTTACAGGAATTTTCCTCTAAATTACATACATACAAACGTGTGAGTATACAGAGAGAAAGACAACACAATTCCATATAAAGTTTATACTGTACTGTATTGTTTATATTATAAACAAACTTAAGTATATTTGTAAAATACAGCCAATATTTATAATCAGTTATTAAATCAAGGCTGTGTAACCGCAAAATGATATAACACAAATCTTGAAACAATGTGGTTCTAAATATGTTAAAAATTTTTTTGACAACTGCAGATCATGGTTTTTGTCAATGTTTGAAGTATTATTAAATACAATGTTTACTCATCAAATAACTCGACGAATCAAAAAGGTGCCAACGGAACTCTATTATTGAGCCTCCTCTGTCCGTCTGCTTGTTTTGCGGACTATATCTCATCTATAGTAACTCAAATATTCAAAAAGTGTGTATTTCCATTTCCCCTAAAATATATCCTAATAAGTAACTCAAATATTCAAAGAGCGTGTATTTCCATTTCCCCTATACTAACTAATATAAAACATACAAGAAATTCAATTTTTTTTTCTATGTTTACGAGTATGTTAAAACTTATATATGCCTTTTTTTATTTCTACCCTCTAACTCTTACTCATCTAACTTTATATTAAAAACCGAAACTATTAATTTAATAGATAAGTATCACAACCATCACATATGCGAGATTATATGAATATTGTTTGAATTTTTAGATTATATGTTTGTAGCCTCAATTTTATTTATATTTTTAACTGTGTAAGTGTAACTATTTCTTAACTTTCTTTCTTATTATAATATCAACTGTTTCATTACATTCCCTACACTTTCAACCTCCTCAAAACGATAGAAAAGTAAATAAGTTCATAAAATAGTTGTGTAACCCAAAACTAATTGAAAATTAAGATTATCATTTATTTAATTAACGGATCATTAAAAATGCACATCTACGAAATCTGCTAGATTATTATTATCCGCTTCCCACTTCATTGAACCGCAGTATAACCACATTTACTCATTTGTCAGAAAAGGAATAATAAAGTTAATCTCTTTATACTTATAACCGATACACATTTCCAATATTTTACAATCATTTTAATCTTCGCCATTGAATTTACTACATAATACATACAACACATAATGTAACTGAAGTTATTTCCGTTAATTTTTCCAATATTTTCACAAATCGCACTATTTTAACGGAATTATGGAAAAAGAATACAGAAATTCAGGCAAAGTGATCATTCTAGATCACATTTTCTAATGAATGATAAATACAGTCGTTGACTTAACACAAAATCATTAGTGCCTTGCATTATGTCTTTTGGCAATAATATCACGGTAGCAATGATATGTACGCTTCACTTCTGTTATAAAAATAATTACATACTCAGATTTCACATTCCGTCCACATCTATCTCCAAAGAGGTAATTGCCTGGATTCTCTTTCATTTGGTTATGATCTGCGGTAATGAGGTTCCATTGTCATTCAATTTTCTTTTAAAAGCGCAACTTTTGACAGGTTTGATCTGCATGTTACTGACTGTATGAAGCTATCCCCCGACCGTATGCATAAACGTTGATGTTAAATATTATTGTTCTTAAAAATAAAGAGGACCGGACTTGGCATTTCACAATGTGTTTACAGTAAATGGGGGTTTAATCTTTTTTTTTTTTAATTTCAGATGTTTTGGAACGTTTGGAAAAATCTTACATTTTACAGTTTTGTAGATATTCCTAAAAAGTACTATTTCGGTTTATCAACAAACGTCTCTCTTTTTAGATATAAATCTCTTTCGAAGATATTGTTTTTTGGGACGTTTAGTTTTATTATAATACGAAAAATATATAGTACATTTATGGGTTCCAATCAAACAAAGGTTCACAGACCACAGATAGGTACGCAGTCTTTAACGTCACAATGTTAAAGACTGCGTCAACGACATACATCCTTTTGACTTGATCCCGTTTCCGGTTTTTTAATGATATTTAATATTATGTAACTAATTTATCACTCAACTAAGTTTTGAGTCGTCCTAATTTAATTTGTGTTAAGACTCACACTTACAAAATTTCATATTTACATTATATCCGATTAAGTATGCCTATCATCAACTTTATATTAAGTGATCACATTTTTGTACACGCGTTTCTTTAGAATAAAAACTGCCTGACTGATTCTAAGTTTTAAAGATTTACGCTACTGACACCAACGCGGCAGGTTGCCTCACCCATTGATAAAGAATCCCCATCAGGCGCCAAATTTGTCTGGCAAACCCGAAATATACATATGAGGAAGACCTAACTATGCTTTCTTAACAATAGCCCGACTCCATTACTTTCAAACAAGGTACAAATTTTGTTAAATGTGATATATTTATATACAAATATATTTATTTGGTTATATGTTAACGTGTACGGTATGTTAATCATAATATTGTGAATATTAATCAGTAAATTATACTACTTGACATAATGTGTTTTATTTTAACTCTACTTGTTATGCAATTGTTTATTTCAACAACAGCCTTTAATAGTCCACTGCTGGACATAGATCTCTCCTTAGAAAGGAGGTTTAGGCCTAGTATATCACGCTGGCTAGACAAGTTGGTATAGGGTTTGTGTCAGGTTTTCCTTCTCTTTGCAGTGCTGTTGTCCTGCGCAGTTTGGTCCCTTCGACATTTTAATCCGTCACCACACGGACGTATTCATTAATAAGTAAATAGACTGCATGGATGGCGCAGTGGTTTAAGCGGTCGCCACGCCGCTTTCTACTGCGCCGAGTGTTGTGGGTTCAAACCCCACATGGGACGACACTTTGTGTGATCCACAAATTGTTGTTCTGAGTCTGGGTGTTCTTTGTGTCCGTTTCATGTATGTTTGTAAAGTCCCCCGCGACACAGGATATATTCCTAATGCGGGAGTTGTCTTTTTATAAAAAAAAAATATTTGGACCATTTTCATATAGAAAATTTATTGCAGCCAGGACTGTAATTAGGAATACTAGAAGTTTTTAACAATACGTAATTATAGGTATATGTTTAAATAAAAAAAATGTGTTAAAGCACCAAATGATAGAGGAGTGTATAGTATATATGTTACCTTGACACGGATAGAAATGCGTTATCAATAGGCCGATATAATTGAATCGAAAACTGATTATGTTCGATTTTACAGCGCCGGAATACTTAGAGTCTAAGTGTGTAATGTGTAAGTATGTGCTTGAATGAAGGCAGCGTATGACTACCTCGGTGGTGTAGTGGTAGCGCTGTGCTGAGGTCTCGGGTCGAACCAAATGTTTGTATGATCTGCAAATATTTGTTACGGAGTTTTGGGTGTTTTCTATGTATAATATGTATGTATTTACAATAAAAAGCATATAAGAATTCTATCAGTCAACCTAGCTTTCATAGTACAAGCTCTGCATAGTACAATTAGATGGCGTTGTGTGTTAGACGTCCGAAAATATTTTCTATACAAACTTCGATCAATATTATATTATTGATCGAAGTATACAAATAAATAAAATTGAAGTGTCTATTTGATATGTCAATATAATAGGTTTTTTCATGCTCACACGCTTATTTGCACGATATCTATGCCTAAAAACCAGTTAAAATATTATTTGTCTGTCTGTTTGTTCCGGGTAATCTAAACGGCTGACCGATTTTGATAATATTTTACTACCAGATAGCTGTCTATTAAAGGAGTAACTTAGGCTATTTCCTCTCAGGAAAACCTTATAAAAAAATTCCCGGTCCGAGAATCGAATTCGAATCAAAAAAGCGAATCGCTGAGGCAGCGCTTTATAATTCCACGCAAACGAAGTCGCGGGTACCAGCTGGTTATAAGTTTATTATTATCCACTTGGGCCAATCAGTCTTTCGTATTCTTATGCATTTACAGTTATCTTTTTAGATAATTTGATTTTCTTGCGTCGCAATTACGAACTATCTACATTTTTCAAGCCCTTATAATTCCACGTTGCAATAAAACTGTGGTAGGTATCTAAACATTAAGAATATTTGAAAAATAACACAGGAAGTAGTTACTTAATAAAATATAATTGCGCAGAGTATTCGCTTTTCTATCATGTTCATACCTCTAAGACGGCCATGTAATATTTAACTAACTCTATCTGAAATGTTAAGGTCATCGATTGATTATTTTTTGATTTAGACAAGAGTTGGTTTACCCAAAATAACTTCATGGAAAACAAAGGCAAAGTTTAACCAAGCAATTGGTTAAATTGAAGACATGGCTTGGCCTAATGTGAAATGTTAGCTGAAAATGAAAATAATTAAAACATAAGTAACTTGGAACAATATATTCTTAAAAACCTCAAATACTTCTTACATATCCAACATGTCTTATACATTAAACATTATACAACTAAAGATCCTACAAATTAAAAGTCTATAAATACCTATGATGATAGAGGAGATACTATCGTCGTGTCGTTGGAGTAGTGTACGACTGTCCATCTAGTTCCGTTCCAGAAGATTGAGTTACCCTCCTAGAGTGTCTGGAGATGACGTGCCGCGCCCATGCTAAGTCTCGCGAACTTCTAGATCTTTGGCTACGTGACTTCGTACTTGTAGAAGTAACTGATTTGCCTGATGTACTAGAACTTGTAGCTGACCACGCTGAATCGCTATGTCGCATTTGTTGACAGAAAGTCATATCCGAACGAGTCAGTGTACTCGTCGAGTACATGGGCTTTGAAAGTCTTTTCTCAGACCGGTCGGTTTTACCGGGTTTGTCAAGTGTCAATTGAGCAATTGGAGTATCTATTTTAGGCGGACTTTTCGGCTTACTTTCCGAAGTTTTCGTCTCAGTTTTATTAGCGTACTCGTCAGTTTCTCCCTTTGACGTTGTCGATGCAGTATCACTTTCTAGGTTATCACTGACGATAACCGTCATTAACTTCTCAGTATTTTCATTCAAATCATAAACTCGCTGCGTTCTCGTAGAGCCAACAGAAGGTGTTTTAGATTTACTATGACGCATCGGCTGTATGCGGTTGCTGCAACATGCTGAGGATACTACGCTACGTTGTGGCACGATGGCTGAATAGTTACTGGTGTCGATCTTAGCATATGCAATGTCTCTTGAGTATGATCGCGGAGGACTGGTGGTGCAGGGACATCCGTTAGTTTTACCAAACATATAGTTATAACAAATTTGTAAGAGGCATATGGCTATAGCAGTAGAGATAACTAGAGCAATGTATAATGCAGGTGTCCAATCTGCGTCTATCTGAAGGTAAGATTGGGTGAGACTCCTCCAAGGATTCCATTTGCATTCATCGGGTTTATGATATTCGAAGAGATTGCGTCTAGATAATCCTTTTCCATAATTTTGAACCGCTGCTGCTATTCGTAGGATGCCACTATATGCTGCATACAGTTTGTTATCTACTAAATGCGGAGCCACATCACGTTTCATCCAGTGCCACAGTTCATTGTTAAAAGTAATAAAATCTGCATGACGACAATTAGCAGGTGAACTATTTAAAATACACCTTGAAACAGTTGTATAATATTTTAAAAGGACGTTTTCTGATATGGGGGAGGTTAAGCTTACTAGACTTCGCCTTCTAAATGGTAAAGCCATAGCAGATGGCTCGAATTCATCGTCCATTACTGGGGTTGGTACGTGAATGCAGTTATTAGCATCCCGTTTGGTAAATAAAGTAGCGCAAGGATCTCGAAATTTCCCAGCACCTATTGCTATTTTAGCAACAGTTAAGTTTGTCCACTGAGGTAATCGCGGGGGTTGTTTCCAACCTACTCCTTGAGTGTTCATAAGAATTTTGAGTTGATCCAAAAAGATATGGGCTTGTTTTGCACTCTTGTATGGGATGTAACCTGCATAATAAGCAAATCGAATAGTTGGTAAAATTTCAGCATTTAGATGTGCACCAATAGTGTCAGATAATGCCTCTTTTAGAACTCCAGCAGTACGGATATCCGTATCTCTCTGTACAACTATCAAGGCATTTCTAAAATACCTCAGAGTCCTCTTTATGTATTGAGCATCAACTTTCTCCGGATTCACAACGGGTGGTATTACTTTTTCAAATTCTTTACGAGCTTGTAATTTCGCGATATCTTCTGCGTTCCAACACTTCAAATTTATTTTTGCACTGTTAAATATTGCACTGCCTGCATTTTTACTCGTAACGTATGTTACTTTACAAAATATTAGGAACACCATAAAAAATAACATTGAATTCAAAATGTAACATGTTCGTTTTTAGTTATGACAATGGATCGTGATCATAGACTGAATTCTTCCTTCTCTTTCAGAAAGCTCAAGGAAAATATCTGAGTTTTGTAGTTAGTAACCTCCGTATGTACCCACGGTAGATATTGAAACCTTTTTGGATGCATGCATTGCATGCATTTAGCGATGCATTTAGAAATGTTAATAATACAAGTTATCATTATATATGTACACGTACTACAAATTGTGAGTGAATGTAGGTAAATAGGTGAGCTTGTTTATGTCCATTCGTGTTAGTTAGATGCACTTCAAGTCAGTGCCGAAACTATTGCTTTAGTATCGTAGCAGTATCAGCGTTCTTTTACGCATGGCCTTTGTGGTCTGGTCTTAGAGTAGGTATACCTACCCCAGTCCCTTTCAATAGAATAGCTTGTGATAAAATCCCAGGGCTGCCGGGTATGGGTACACACAGGCCGCATTTTCAAGGGGGCGGCAAAGGCAGAAATAGAAACAAAAACGAAACATTCTCATAATTTGCATGTCTAATATATTTTCAATATGTCATAATAGTAACATCTATTAATCGGTGTACATACAAAAAAAACTGCAAACGTTAATAAGCTTCGAATGACTTTTTTAAACGTAAATTTGAATCACTCAAGACGCGGGTATAACAAATATCCCATACCGGGCGATAGTGTTATGTTTGGGAAGTTTTGGGGCGGCTTAATCCTGGCATATTATTACTGGCGTTATTGCGGTAGTAAGCCAATGCACCTTATTTACTTTTCCATAATTTTCTTCTAACAGATCTATTAAATAGTACCTAATCTACTGTCCAGCAGTGGACTATTACAGGCTGTTGATGATGATGATGATTCACTAGTAAAAATTTGAATAATTTATAATTATGTATACTATTGTAAAAAAATGATATCTCGCGTTTTTAGTAGAAAATCTTATGGTCAAGCACACAATGCAGTAGAATAATCTACTCATAATGTAGATTTGTAACTTTATCAAAATCGAATCCTGTCTTGTCGCCTCTCCAGGGATGTTAGACGTACTAATTTCTTGGTATACGTACCATTTTTAGGGTTTGTACCATGTATTAATTAATTATTGTGTTGGTACCCAACAATACTAATTTTCTATATTGATCATAGATATTTTTTCTTGTATCTAACAATGTATAAGTTCTTGATCTACGTCATAGTTACAACATTGATAATTGTAAAAATTTACTTTACAATAATTCACTAGTTCATAATGATATTTATTTTGACCCATTGAGAACTTACTTCAGATTAACTTTATCAATCGAACGAATTATCCATTTATGACGGGTATGATTTTATCAAAAAATAATATAATGATTCGGTCAATGTAACTCACGGTTGTTATGATTTTTCAAATTATGTGTAGACATTTATAAGATCTAATAACAAAAACTTCAACGAACACTGAGAATAATATAAGTTATAAGTTAAAATATAAATAATAACTATTGTTAATTTTTTATCAGATAAGTATGTTTTTTTTCGAAATGGTTATCTTCGACAATTCAAAATTTCATTTAAATGAACATACAAAATAAACGATTTATTGTTATTATTTTAAATAATGTAACGTTATTGTGAGTGTACCAACTTTTAGAGCCTTTTAGCGACATTTGTACCAGCTTTGACTCACCATAATCTAACATCCCTGCTCCTCTCACGCTGTCATAACAAGAACGTCAAAGTCGTCAAAAGTCGCGGGTTACGGGTTTGTTGATGCTGAAACCTACTTATTTTGAATCCACCTGTGTTTGAAAGAAAATTGTGTGAAGTAGTTTGAATCACTATCATGCTTATTAAGTATTGATGAAAGCAATCGTGTATTTACATTACAATGTCTAAAGTAAGTATATATTTATCACGAAACGAATTGTCACACAATACAACGCAGTGCGCGATATTTAATTAATATTTTCATAACTTTATTTCAACAACTATAGTGTAATAAATCGTATCATTTATACAAATTACAATACAATAAATAAATAAAAAGATTATAATTGTGAATAAGAGGACAAAATTAAATATAAATTTTTAATATTACAAAATAAGGCGGAAGTGTAATCTTCATTATCTTACAAATTTCATGCAATAATACTCGTTTTACCACACAGAAGTTAAGTGCAAAAGAAGTACATACTTACCATTGTCATTGAAAAAATCATTTGTTTAGTTATGAAGACCTTATAGACAATATCAGCTAGCTATCCTTAAAACGATTTTAAATTACTTCATCAACTTTTAATAGTCATCTGCTGGACGTAGGCCTCTCCTTAGAGAGGAGGTTTTGACTAACTATACCACGCTGGCCCGTTGGGTTGGTGTAGGCCCTTGGGTTTGTGTCAAGTTTTCTTTCTTGCAGTGCTGTTGTCCTGCATAGTTTGCTCCCTTAGATGGCTCTTACTATACCCTCAGTATGAACAGCAGTGGTGACACTCCATATTGTCACCATACGAATTTAAATAATGAAGACTTATAAAACAGAACTAGAATACTTATAAATAATAAGATTTATAGTTTAATTAAACTAAAGAAAAATAAAATTAGACAAGTAAAAGAATTCTATTATCTAATTATTGGCTTCTTCACCTGACCATTTTAGAAACCCTTTAGACTTGTCCAAATAGTTCAAATAAGGGGTCCAAAATTTTCTAATGAAGAATTTCACAATCAACCTCATATAAGCTTGCTGTGCCTTGTGTCTTGTACCTTTAAGTTTCGGAGAGGAAATATTATAATTTTATTTCTTGGATTGCCATTAAAATTAATGAGCTATTTTTTACTCTTCTGGTAATAAGTTTTCTATCTGTATTTGAGGCTACAAGCTCCGACAACCCTTGAGGCCCTATGTATATTGTTTTGGCATTATAGCTAAATCACTCACGTAAGCACTCAGTTTTTTATCATTTAAATATAAGTTTATATACTTATTTTTCAGGATATTAGGTCATATTTTCAGCGAAAAAAGGTACCGCAATCAGAAGTACAGAAAGATGACGATGTTATACCAGAGTCACCCGATGTACAAATAAAGAAAAAGGTGAGTATAGTTCTTTTTTTATGTGTATGATAATTTCATTCAAAGTAGATTTTACCTGATACTGAGACTGGTACACACTTTCTTAAATGGACTAGTCCACTTCCATCCATTTTGATTTGGCTGAATGAATTCTATATGACCTAATCAACTTTAAGGCATACCAACAATAATAATAACGCACCTTTGTTTTGATTGACTTCAAATGTTTGAAAGCTAGGAACAGGGGTTTTAATTTACTCTTTTTTTTTATGGGAAAAGTTTTATTTTTACAATTTTCCTGGCAATTTTTACGTTTTCTCTCCCCATAAGTACTTTCCTTTGTGCCCTAACGAAATGTGAAGGATGAAATTAGCGGAATTGGTCGAGCCGTTTTCGACTTTTGTTTAACATTAGGAGATTCATTATTAATAATATAAACTACTGCCTATTTTTATTATTGGCTCTTTATATCTTATTCAAAGAACAGAGAAATAAGCACAGGTCTACCATATAATAATTCATGTATAATTTAAATATTCTTGAGCAAAGTAAGGAAGCTACTTGTTTAATTTGAATGTTTTTCTAAAAGATTAAATATACAAATAGATATACATTCATATTAATATTTATAATTTTAGAAGAAAGAATCCAAAAAGCGGCGTGTTATTGATGACTCAGATGAAGAAATATTCTCCACTAAAAAGAAAAAAGATGATAACAAGTCCAGTAAAAGTAAACCAACCAAACCTTCACTTAAAGAAGTTACACCAATAGACCTTTTTGGTAATGGCCCCATCAAAAGAACAGAACCATTAGTTAAAAAAAAGAAAGAAACAGAATTAGGGATTCATTCTGATGAAGAATTGGAAAAGAGCCTCTTAGAAATAGATAATGTTGAATTAGAATTGCAAGTAAAAGCCTCTCATGTACCTGGTGGAACACCGAAAGCTACCACCGAAATTAAAAAAGAAGATTTAGTTCCTGAAAAATCTGGAAAAGAGTCAACTGATAAGAAAGCGGATAATCTATCTACATCTAAAAGTTCATCAACTAGTGAAGTTAAAAAAGAAAAAAATGATTCATGTGATGATCAGAAAACATCAAAAATTGATAAAAAATCTAAAATAGATAACAGTAAAAGAAAGTTTTCAGAATTCATAGACAATGATGTTACTCCCGTTGAAGGCAGTGCAAAGAAGACGAAAATAAATGAAGAGAGTAAAGATAAATCAACAAGAAGCAATAACCTTGACCAGAATGAGAGTAAGAATAAAAAAGAAAAGAAACAAGATCACAATTTGTCTTCTTCAGCTGCTACAGATGTAACAAACAACAAACATAATAGTTCCAAACATAAATTGGATAAGAGTCTCAATGATTCTGGTAAGAGCATTGAAAAATATTATTGATGGTTAGAAGTGTCCTCCTTTTTGTTTAATCCTATTTATCATCAGCCTATCAGTCCACTGATGGACATAGGCCTCTCCCATTGCACGCCACTTAGATCGATTTTGGGGTTCCTATTACTATTATAAATGCGAAAGTTTATCCATTAATTTTCGCATTAATGGCGAAACGGATCTGGTTGCAATATTGCATAGAGATAGAATTACCCTATAGAATATCTAGGGTACTTTTAATCCAAAACAAAACTATCACTAATAATAAAAACATTATTTCAGTTCTTACAGATGAAGAGAGACACGAAAGGAAAATAGCTTCAGCAGCTCTGTATAAAAGCTACTTGAATAGATCCGGACCTAAGCACTTGGGGGCTAAAGAGATTCCAGAGGTGGGTTTATTAATTACAGCTTAAGCTGGTTTAATTGACGGGCCTGTTGGTCTAGTGGTTAGTGACCCTCACTGCTGAGCCGAAGGTCGTGGGTTCGATTTCCACCCAGAACAAATATTGTGTGATGAGCATGGTCATTTTTTCTGTGTCTGGATGTAATTTATCTAAAATATGTATGTATTTAAAAATATATAAGTATGTTTATCAGCAGTCTGGTTACCACAATACAAGCTCTGCCTAGTTTATGATCAGACGTTATTATTATTATTAATTGTTGCCAAATTCTTTTCAGGGTACTCCAAATTGTTTAAGAGATTGCGCCTTTCTATTAACTGGAGTATTGGACTCATTTGAAAAAGACGAAATAGCGGCGGCCATCAATAAATATGGTGGTTGTGTCAAGAGCGCAGTCACTAAAAAAGTATGTACATATTGCTCTGTTTTTTCAGTTGTTGCTTACTCTGAACAACCAGTCTCTGTGCTCATCATTATAACATAATTAACTAAGTTTTTTCTAAATCGCTAGTGGTCTATGTTTCAACTACTACCCCTGCTAAATTAGCTTTTTGTTTCTTTAAATACGACCATGTTTTTATTTCAGCCTTAATTTTTAATTTTTTGTTTGCCTCACATACTTGCCAGGATCACTTTAATTTATAATATATGTTTATAATAAGACTTTATCATATTCTTTCTTTTTTAATTTTACTTGAGAATACTTATACTACTCCTTAATCCACATAAATAATACAAAATTTGATATTCTTTTAAGGTTACACATGTACTAGCCGGAGACGATGCTGGTCCTGCGAAAATGGCTAAAGCAAAAGAACTAGGTATTCAAATAATCACTGAAGATGATTTTCTTAAAATGATTATAAATCGATCAAAGAAAGGCACTGATAAAGAAGAAATTAAGATAGAGAAAAAACATAGCAGCAAAGGCAAAGATAAATCAAGTCCAAAAGAGAAAAATAAAAGAAGTCATGTTGAAAGTAAATCTAAAAAAAGTCCCACTGACAAACATAAATTGGAATCAAAACCAAAGACAGTGAAGGATTCAACTTATAACATTAAGTTTGAAGTTAATGATAGTAAGGGTCGAGATAAATCTAAGAGTCCAAAGAAGCCAAACGTGGAATCGAAATCAGAGTCGAAGTTGGAGATGAAGTCAAATGTTCAGGAAAATCCTAAAGCAAGTATGAGTAATGGTAAGTACATACATATTAAAATTGAGGCCCAGATAATAATAGCCATATAATGTTGTAATAATAGTTCATATAATGTTGGCCGGGATGCGATACCTTATTTTTTGTAAAGTTTAAATTTTTAACACAGTATTTAGTTTATAAAATAAAAACGTATTAAAATAACGTTTTTTATTTTATTTTATAAAGCATAAATGTTTTTATGTTATCAAATGTGATCACTTACAAAGACGTTACTTGTTACTCCAGAATTGAAAAAGAAACTAATACAGTTTTTTGAAGTGAAACTCCTTTAGAATCGTTGTGATTTGAAACTCAATGAAACGAAAATGCGTCACGATAAAGAAACAAACGCATAAATGTTATAGGATTAAGTCGGCCAGAGAATGAGATAGAATACATTACACATTATTTTTAATATAATATTTTGACAATATGAATATTTTTATCTTTTTATTTAATACTAGCTGGTACCGTCCACTTCGTTCGCGTTCGGAATCTGAAAAACGCTACCTTAGTGGGTTCAATACCTGGCCCGCGCAAAATTTTATAGGGTTTTTCTGAGATTTAAAAAAAAGTATTTTCGAAAGTTTCACTTCTGCCGTGTGTGAATTGCACACACACATTTTTTCCATACCACAGCTTTCATTGTGTACTACTAGCTTTTGCACGCGTATATGTCAATTATTGCTGTAAAATGTAGCCCATGTTACTCACTCATAATGTAGCTTTCTATTGGTGAAAAGATTTTTTAAATCGGTTAGTGGTTTACGCCTTAAAGCGTAACAACCAAACAAACAAACTCACATTTATAATATAAGTATGGATGTATCAAAATTGTTAACCATTAGTTTCGTATCCATCTTAATTGCAGGCAATAAAATGGAGATCCCAGCGAACGCGTCCATGTGGGTAGACAAATATAAACCCCAGAATGTCAAACAAATCATTGGACAACATGGAGATGCTAGCAATGTTAAAAAGTGAGTGTTGAATTATATTGATGGCAGAAGTATAGAGCATCAACTTGAATGTACACATTGGACACTCCTTAGAAAGGAGGTTTTGGCCTACTATACCACGCTGGCCAGACGGGTTGGTATAGGGTTTGTGTCAAGTTTTCCTCCTCTCTGCAGTGCTGTTGTTCTGCGTAGTTTTCTCCCTTAGTCGGCTCTTGCGACACCCACGGGATGATTAGGGGTGGTGACACTCTGTATTCTTAATCCGTCACCACACGGAAAGTGTGCGCTAGCTTGCTATTAAATGCTCTTCGAATTTACGGCGTTCGAGCCTGAAACAAAACCAGATATTTGTTTTACCTCTTTGTATAATCCTTACTAATAGTAAAGATTATAACAACAATAAAAAATGAAGTACATTAATCATTTATTATAGTTTCTGCATTTCAGTACATAGGTTGCTCTTCACTTAAGTACCTTGTGATACACGACATTTTTTCTTTTCTTATCAGGCGCAAAAACAAACAACGCAGATGGTCTTCCGACCAATACTCAACGTTGCAATGTGTCTTGAACGTTTTAGAAATAAGTGGCGAATATGGAACAATCCAACTGTTGTCGACAACGAAATCCATTCTTTTCACTTTTGTTGTGACAGTTCCACCGTTGTCATCTGGTGATCGACGCCGATACAAAAACAAAAAAAAAAAACGGAATAAATAGTATCCTATGTCCGTCACCTGGCTCTAAGCTAGCTTGCTTGAGTTATAAATAGTGTAACTAACACGACTTTCTTTTATATATATAGATAATTATTATTTCACACACGGCCGTCTGATCCCAAACTAGGCAGTGCCTGCACTATGGTAACCAGACTGCCGATAAACATACCTATATATTTATAAATACATACATAATATAGATAAATAACACCCAGACACAGAACAAATGATCGTGCTCATCACACAATTACTTGTCCTGGGCGGGAATCGAACCCACGACCTCCGGCTTAGTCAGGGCCACTAACCACTAGACCAAAAGGCTTGTAACAAAGAAGAAGTACTCATGTTTTATAAACACAAACTAAGAGTTATAGAAAAAGACCAATTGAGTTGGGTCATAAAATAATCTTCAAAATATAAATCTACTAAATATATAGTATTTTTGTTTTTAAATAATGTGTAGCAGTTGTTTCATTCAGTAATGTACATGGACGGTATTTTCTACCCTTTAGTAAATAAATCGTTTTTCATACTTTTTTTTTCTTGAGAATAAACAGTTATTTCACTGTAGGTTACTAATTATTACAATGATGTCTTATCTGTTCTAGGTTATCAAATTGGCTGACAAAATGGTACGTGAACAGGAAGGCCAAGTTGCCTAAACCAAGTCCGTGGGCCAAGAACGATGACGGGGGCTATTATAAGGCTGCTCTATTGTCGGGACCTCCTGGCGTTGGTATGAAAACATTCTTAATAAAAAATTTGCTAAATACTTTTTACTGTCATTTTAATGCTTTGAATTTGCTTCAATTAAATATTTATTTACTTAAATAATTTAAAAAATCTGATGAATTGAGACCTCCTCCTTTTTTTAAGTCGGTTAAAAAGACCAGTTAATTTTCGCTATGTGAGCCTGATATTACAGATGACATTAAGTTTACTTTTTTTTCAGGCAAAACGACAACAGTATCACTAGTATGTAAAGAGTTAGGCTTCGACATGGTGGAGTTCAATGCTTCAGACACTCGGAACAAAACGTTAATTAAGGAACAAATTGGAGAACTGCTCACTACAAACTCATTATCTGGATTTGCTAAAGGTAGCTGTTGGGCCTCAATTCTGCTATTTTATGTTAACGCCTAGCCACTGTCATTCCATTGACAACGCTATTGAGATGCCATTGAGACGCCATTGACATCGGTCAAAATATCAGTATTCTACTAACATAAATTTACAGTGTCAATAGACTGTCGATATAGTAATATATGTAGGTCATCAATGGTGATATCAACAATATTGCCATACCTGGAAAATTAAATATATCATTTTCTTACAAATTTAAAATGTACCGTTTACCAAATTATTAAAAAGACATCGACGACATTTGTATCAGTGACAAGTCATCGAGAGGCCATTGGTCTTACATAGTTAGTAGAATAGGAAAAAAAAAACTATTCCGACAAGATTCCATCGACAGTCTTTTGATACAATATTAAAATAGCAGAGTTTAGGCACTTTTGTTCTGTAGTTGTATTGGGTCTTCGATAAATATTATTTTTATTTAATGGTATTTATTACTTTTATTATTATATTTTATTTTGTAAGGTTTAAGTAGATTTCTTGGAATAAAGATCGTAATGAAGTTTTTTTTTTGTCTAAATATTGCAGTAAATAATTGTAAACTTTAAACAGTGTGTCGTTGTTCCAGGTGAAACAGGGAAACAGGCAGTAAGTAAGAAACACGTGCTGGTCATGGATGAAGTCGACGGAATGGCGGGCAATGAAGACAGAGGTATGGATATTTTGAGCTTGGACCGTTACCGTTACCGTATACTTCTTTATGAAATAGAATCTTGAAAGAAACCCTACCAACCCTTCTGGCCAACGTGGTATAGTAGGCCAAAACCTCCTTTCTAAAGAGAGGCCTATGTCCAGCAGTGGACTATTAAAGACTGTTGATGGGAGGTGATGAAATAGAAGGGAAATGCCCAATCAGCTCACCTGGTGGTGACTACCAACGCCTTTGGACACCTGCAAACCCCCCTCCCCCCACAGTATTACATCATGTGCCGAAGCATGGCTCTTCCATCTAACACCAAATACTCAATATTTGATAATTGATGATACCAACCCATTTTCCGAGACGTTGGTTCTGTCAGCCATCAATACTTTTGATTTTGCCTACAAAGTATTATTTAAAATTACATTAACTTACACACTTTTAATTCTAATTTTGCGTTTTCGCGCACTTTAAGACGCTTTAAGACTCGTTATTAATAAATTCGAGTTTTCATACATTTCAACGATTATTCGTATACAAGTGAATTTGAAGAGCCGCAACTCTACGGTTAAGGACCTAACTACCTGACTTTGAAACAAAGTTTTAAAAAACCATCTATTGTGTATAAATAAGTTATTATGCTTCGTTTCAAAGATTTCAATTTAAATTTAGTCATTAAGAATACAATTCTTTCATCTTGTGATAAAATAAAAACTGCTTCATAATTCCATGGATATATAAGACGAAAAAGGTTATGGAAATTGTGTAAGATGCGCCTAAACAAAGTGTTTAACGTCAAACGGTACCTCTTAGATTAGATGGACCACACTCCCAAACTAAGCAGACTTTGTACCATGTCAGAATTACTTTTAAATATTGTTGTTGGTTACAGGTGGTCTCCAAGAACTAATATCGCTGATAAAATCAGCTTCAGTGCCCATAATATGTATGTGCAATGACCGGAACAGTCAAAAAATGAGGTCACTCGTCAACTACTGCTACGATCTCAGGTTTAGCAGACCACGAGTTGATCAGATAAAGGTTAGTATCAACAACTAGAAAGATACTTAAAATAAATTATTTTGGCAAGTCGGGCAACTTTAAATAATGTAAAAAGTATTTTCAAGTTTTAATTTTGTGTTACGATTTGACTACAGTATCGATTTTACGTACCGTTTTGCCGCTTACTAAATTACCGTGTAAAAATAATCAGTAAATATTTGAATTCTTGTCATTATGTGACACGTTCTTGCGTATTTAATTTTAGAATAATATCAAACGATTAACACAACAAGAACAAAGGAGAAAGGAACAAAGTGAGAACAAAGGCGCAGAGAAAATCCACGCACTTCCTTTTACCAGATTATTACTGACAGACTGATCATACTCGACTTGTTATTAATTTTTCGTTTAATAATGAGCTTTCTACCGTTGAGGCCTAATATTCAAGGTCAATTATTTTGGTTGCCAATACAAATGTGATGACAGTAATTATTTTTTCAGTCAGCCATGATGTCGATATGCTTCAAAGAGGGCATCAAACTCCCTTCGGATGTGCTGTCGCAGCTCATCGTGTCGGCCAACCAGGACGTGCGCCAGACGCTCAACCTGCTGTCGATGTGGGCCGTGGACCCCACGCGGACAGACGCCGATAGACTTCGGAAAGATGCTCAGACCACTAAGAAAGATGTCAAACTGGTATGCTGTATAGTATACTTCTAACTTTTAATCTATACAAATAAATAAAATTGGAGTGTCTGTTTGTAATATTAAAATAACCGCTTTTTAGTAAATGCATATGTATGTTTACATGGTACATATTATGCCAAAATAACATTTATTACAATTTTTGTCTGTCTGTCTGTCTATCTGTCTGTCTGTTTGTTCCGGGTAATCTCTGGAACGGCTGGACCGATTTCGACAGGCAGATAGCTGATGACATAAGGAGTAACTTAGGCTACTTTTTTAGACTAGCTTCGCGCGTAATCTTCTAAACGGCTAAACCGATTTTGATTATATTTTACTACCAGGTAGCTGTATATATAAGGAGTAACCTACGCTATTTTTCCTCTCAGAAAAATCCTTTAAAATATTACCCGGTCCGAGAATCGAACCTACTAAGGCAGCGCTTTGCAAATTCCATGCGAACAAAGTCGCGGGTACTAGCTACTAGATAATATAAACTTAATCCGATTCTTACAGAACACACTTGTTCAAAGTATGCGAATATTTGCAGGGCCCATGGGAGGCAATCCGAAAAGTATTCTCAGCGGAAGACCATAAGACTATGAGTATTATGGACAAAAGCGACTTGTTCTTCTACGACTACAGCCTGGCCCCGCTCTTTGTGCAAGAAAACTACCTGCAAGTGGTACCACATTGCGATAAGTGAGTTTATTAACAAATTATTTATATCTGTCATCCACCATCTCATGAAAAATACAATTGTCTGAAATGATTTTAATAAATATTATATAACTGTCTGGCGATTCAAAAAAAGAATGGTCGTAAATTTCTTAGCCCTATTACATCTCGCAAGACTCAACTACTGTGAACAGGCAGGCAAGACATAAAGCGATCTTATTTACTTCTGAGATGGTAGTTTTTTTATAAGTTTTTTGTTTTACTTTCGACAAAGCAACCTATATGCAGTGACGTTCTGTTTACAAAATTTAGTTTGAAAACTGAAGATGACTATATCTCAACCGATTCATTTTAATTTAATTGACTGCATGAATGGCGTAGTGGTTTAAGCGGTCGCCACGCCGCTCACTACTACGCTGAGTGTTGTGGGTCCGATCCCCACATAAGACGACCGTTTGTGTGATCCACAAATTGTTGTTCTGAGTCTGGGTGTTCTTTGTGTCCGTATCATGTATGTTTGTAAAGTCCCCCGCAACATATGATAAATTCCTAATGCGGGAGTTGTGTATTTAAAAAAAAAACACACATTATCCACTCAATAAGATATAAAGAAAATCTTATTAAAAAAATTATATATTTATTATAAAGAAAAAAAAAAAAAATATACTCATACAACTGTACACGGACGGACCAGTATAAACTTGGTTTATAATAAACAAAATTGTTCTACGCAATCAACATCGATGCCGCTATTTTTATAAACTACTCTAAGTCTGGTATAAATAATTAAATAGGTTTTTTGAGCTCTATTTAGACCTAATCACCGAGTGGGTGGAGCGGGACTTTACCCACGAAGCCCCGTACGCAGTTTGATTTTGCCTTAACCAATTATGTTCAACGTTATCAGCCACACTAATTGATCACATTCTCGTTTCTGTTCTTTTAGTCACACTTTTGACTAATTATTGTATGTTGTTGTTTTCTTTTTTTTAATAATTATTTTTCTTTTATGTTGTATCTTTCAATATTTTTCTGTTGTGGGTAAGAAATGTATTATCTTTATTTCTATCAATCATGATTCTGTTATATGTGTTATAGACGTGAAACACTGCAAAGAATAAGCAAGGCGGCTGACAGTATCAGTATGGGTGATTTAGTCGATGCGAGGATACGAGGTGGTCAAGCATGGAGTCTCCTACCTTTACAGGTACTAACATTACTCTTTAAGTTGCTAAATGATAAAAGACTACTAAAACTTCCATAATTCGCCAAACTCAAACTTTCTTTATTTCATAAAATTTCCAAAATTGTTTGAAATCGTCTTCCATGTAGACTCTAAAGTCATAGATCAACACAAAACAGCAACAATCTCTGTTTTGTCAAATTAAACCACCTAGAGCTTAGTAATATAAAATGCTGTGTTTTATGTCGAACTTATTCTAAAATGTGTTGCCACATTCGCCATATTTAAAAAAAAATGTGAGTTAATTTTCTTAATAACATGAATTAATTTATTTGATCTTGGAAGACCAACAGCCTTACAAATTGGTTTAATATTGTTAAGGTTACATTCAGCCATTAACAGATCTTCATGAATAGAAAACAGTTTACAATAAGTAAGTTAATAACAAAGTTGTTAATTGGAGCAGGCTTACAGGATTAAATCAATAAAATCAATGCTTGTAATTTTGATTTTACATCATTAGGATTGAAAATAAAACTATATTAAAAGTTGTATTAGAAAAAAGTACCCAATTTAAACTGTCGGTTGCTGGCATTTAAAAAAACGTTTTTTTATCAAGTCATAAATAAACATAAACGTATTAAATTACATTGACCAAAACGTAGTTGTGTTAACATGTTTTCTACTTGCCAGGCTATGTATGCATCAGTGATCCCTGGTCACGAGCTGTCGGGCCACATGAGCGGTCAGATCCAGTTCCCGGGCTGGCTCGGCAAGAACTCTCGCGCCACCAAAATGCGCCGCCTCTGTCAGGAGATTCACGCTCATACTAGACTCAGGTAGTTATCAAACCACCCCTAACAAAAGTTTTCATTTCAAGCCCATTTTAAATTATTACCCTAGTTCTTACCTACTATTAAAAATTCTCAATCTTTATAATATACTTTCACAGCACTTCAGGATCGAAATCGTCAATCTTTTTGGATTACGCTTCACACATACGCGATGCGATCGTCAAGCCCCTCATCAATGATAAAGCTGACGGGATCTCACAGTCGTTGGAAGTACTAGAGGCCTATCACTTGCTCAGAGAAGACCTGGAATCGTTGGTCGAATTGTCCGTGTGGCCTGGACAGAGGAACCCCACTGTGTTGATCGATTCCAAGGTATTTTGCATGTTATAAAACTATTTGTAAAGGACGTATCGTACTTTATTTTATCTTCTTGGTTTTCCGTTGAGATCGTTGATATTACATAAAAGAACATGTACATGAACATGAACACGGAAAACAGCGAAACAGAATTTTAAAAGAGCAATGGCACCATTAAACTATAAAAGTAAATTGGAATTCCAAATTCTCAGTGACGATGCGCACGCGCAGGATCGGTTTGTTCGTGATCTTTATATTTCAACGTGCAGGTGAAGGCTGCGATGACTCGCACTTACAACAAGAAGGCGAGCGCGCTCCCGTACGCGCCGGGGCCGGTGAAGCGCGCGCGACTCACGCACGGCGCTGAGGACGACGGGGAGGGGGGAGACGACGACCTGGACGATGATGAGCTTCCCGACAGTGACCCTGAAAATGATGCTCTCATTAAGGTAATAACGATAGAATGATGAAAGTCGTAACTGCTTGGCCGGATATCCGGTATCCGTCCATCGGTTATCTTACTTGTTGAAAGCTGAATAAATAGTCGTCAGAATATATAAAAATGAAAATAAATATATAGATATAAAGCCGTGTGGTGACGGATTAAGAATACAGAGTGTCATCACCCCTATTCATCCCGTGGGTGTCGTAAGAGGCGACTAAGGGAGCAAGCTACGCAGAACAACAGCAATGCAAAGAGAAGAAAAACTTGAAACCAACCCGTCTGGCCAGCGTGGTATAGTAGGCTAAAACCTCCTTTCTAAAGAGAGGCCTAGCAGTAGACTTGTAATGGCTGGTGATGATGATAATGATAAAAAAATGTCTTGCGACATTCTAACGGGATTTCACAAAAAAAAATTACGTTCGTCCAATGACATATAGATATTTTCTATTTCAAGAATATATATAATAAACATAGTATTATATTTTTCCAGAAGAAGAAAACCAAGGATGCTGACAAACCAGGTCCGAGTAAGGAGAAGAACGTCGCAAAGCCGTCGACGAGCAAAAAGAAAAAGGAGACATAGCGTCGGCGCTCCGTCATGGCCTTCCTCTTCAGGTGAAGAGACTAGTGGACGTGAACTTGATATGACGTCGTGTCAGATGACGTCAAAATAGTGAAAACGAAGGCAAACAGATTATAACATAAAGTGTGATATTTACTGTGGTATCCATAGAGTTAGTGAAGTGTACTTTATTTGTCTGAGTGATATGCACACATGTCAAACATGCAGGCATCTTACCTGTCTTCCATTACCGAATGGGATAGAACAAAAGTAAAAAGAGTTTTAAGCTGGGTCATAAGGATTAATTTAATAGCCATCTAAGTAATGACAAAATAGTCAACTAATTTTTAAATTCGCCTAAAATATGTTGTACTTGTTATATCAGTATCATGTTATCAGTTATTAAAAAAAACTATGTTTGAAATAAAATATAATAGTAAAATCATCTTCTGAGGCCCGACAATAGGGAATATGCATGTATTTTTTTTATTTTTTTAAACGATTCTACTAGTTATTACATTACCAAAAATAAATATAACACATCTGAAATATAAACCGTTAAGCAAAAAAAAAATTTATTAATATCACTATCATTTTGGGGCAATTTGAACACGTCCATTTTGGCGCGCTCAGGCGTCAGATTACACTTTCAGACGAATTCGATGTCAACAACGGAGTGAAGTTCACAAAGTTTGTGAAAGTTAAAAAAGGCGAGTGATATAAATTAACTTATTACCATGGAAAAGCCAATAAAAACTTATTATAAATATTGTGCCGTTCCTTTGTGCCAAAATAATATCAAAACTGCACCTGACAAAGTATATTCAGTCATTGTGTTGAGTCTTTCTACACGGGAATTTAATAATTTAACACTGAAAACGTATTAGTTATTAACTTAAAATGAAACAAATAATCACCAGAAACCAAATATTACAAATACACACAACTTGTTGACACTCTTGACAGTGTAGGTTGACGTCACGTATTATTCAACCAATAGCGTTGCGTTTTAGAAATTTGCGAGGGAATCTTAAAAAAGCCAATTTCACTATTAAATTATAATAAATTTCAAAAATAATTGTATGGGTATCTTTTTTTAGCTATAAAAATTACAAATAAAAATATTTTGTCCATTTTGGTGTCACGTGCATATTCCCTATTGTCGCCGCGATAGTGAATAAGTGTGATAAATAAATTGTTAAGAAATTCATAATTCACCAATTCATAGATATATGTGTAGGTAAACAATCAGTAAGCTAATACTTAAACAAAATTCGAAATATACTTTATTGTCCTAACATCTTATAAATAAAGAAAATAGTATTTTGAATTAAGAAATAGAATTTTAAAAATTGAACAATTTTATTCTAGAATTTTCCTTTTTCATGTTAACTAAAATATTTTTCAGATATACATGTTTACTAAAGTAAGACTACATTTGGCTACCATAATAATGTACCATTGTATCTTTTTTTTTTTATGGAACAGGGGGCAAACTAGCAGACGGGTCACCTGATGGAAAGCGACTACCGCCGCCCATGAACGCCTGCAACTCTAATCTTAATCACATAAATAGTCATTATAGTATTATAGAGTAAATATACGCTACATACTTTTTTTATTATCATGTTATCTCCTTAACGATATACAGTATTTTCAAATTTAAAAAGTAGTCTTTGTCAATAATAGTTTCTAGATTTAATTGTAACTTAAGAATGAAAGTAATCAGGGTGTGTAATGTGTCTGTAGTTTCTCAATCATGATAGTAATACTTATTAATGTTAGCTATTATTAATGTTGGACATTAAATTGTTATTAAAGTTTCATGACTTGTATGTATATCTATGTAACAAACATATAATAGTCCGTGAGCCTGCGACAGATGTTCCTCTCAGTCGATTACTCGTAAAATGCTTCAGAGAGATGTATCCTGAAGCGTTGTGATCGTCAGTTGCGGCTCCGTGGGTGGGTTGAGCAGTGGTAGCCCCCACGCAAGTAATAAAAAAAAAAAAAAAATCCTTTACTCCGGATCAAATTATGGTTAGCCCAATATCATGAAGAGCAGCTGACGATCACAACGCTTCAGGATACAACTCTGAAGCATTTTTTTTACGAGTTATCGACTGAGAGGAAATAATTGTCGAAATTTGCGCCTGGCTCACGGACTATAAGGTACGATACATCATAACCGACTAAAATATTACGACCATTGTTGGCAGTTTACTTTACTTCAGTTTCGTACTTTCATTATCTGTTGCCATACTTCGGCACAATAGGGCCGGCTCGACTGGAGTGCTACCACGGCCTCATGTTAAACCGGACAAGCAAGTATCTCATTGCTTTTCATGCTTTTATACAGATTTCACACAATGTATAAAATTTTTAAATAAGCCATTATTTTGACGTGACAACGTCTTATAAATTGGTTTGCCGGGTGACACTTCAAGAAACTGCGTTACGCTCCGCTCACGTTATGCGCTCACAATGAGAGCGAGTGAGAGGCACGCGTCCCTTCCAATCGGGCATGGTTAGCCCGCCTAAGAGCGAGAGAGACAGACATAGTCGTTGTCACGTAAAACTTTCGCCCGTATACCGACTTTACAGGCAACCAATTTTTTTTTGTAATAATTAAAAGATAAAAATGGTTATTGTGGTTTGTCCTTAGGCGATAGACATTTGCGTTTGCATTGTCAGCGCACAACAACATGTTATTTACCACAAATCTTTGAAATACTCAGATTTTGTCTATTATAATGTGTATGTATTATAGATATAAACCTTCCTCTTGATCACTCTCTATTGGTGCTTAGTTTAAAAGTCTCGTTACACATTTTTCGGCCTCGCTCCCATCCGCTCAGAGCGTGAATCGCGCCATATGCATGTACTATAAATATAAAAAGTATTTAAAAAGTTAGTCTGGGTCAAGTCTGACTTGATATACGACCCCCATTTTACTTTACTGTTAAAAGGCATCTTCAGTTTTTCTGGAATGTCAGTAGGAATAAAATGTATGCCCACCGTGATGACAACAAAAAATAATTCACAGTTATCGCATGTTTTTTGTCCTATAAATACTCTTTTTTAAACATAACATAATACCAAATTATTAACTGTTACCAAATGTTTTGCATTTCTGCCTAGTTTAAAAACCAATATAAAATAACTTACAGTACCTAATTAATGTCAACTAACTAAGTTCATGTCAACTAGTCTCTGCATTGTATGTTATTTTTTATAATGTTAATAAAGTGATCTGCTTTAAAATGCCTTTTTATTAGTACCGTATGTGTTATAAATACTAATAGTGAGTCAACTCAGCTACTTAGAGAAGCAATGCTGGGGCGAGGTATGAAGGAGAGCGGAGTCCCCCTCCTGCCCGCGACGTCTGCGGTAATATCGGTCAGCTTCGCTTGCTAACCGGTACGCCCGTTCAGGAGTGTGTGTACATCGTTTGCATCAAACGATGTACACACACACACAAGATTATTTGCAATATTATTATAATAATAAAACTCTCGATGTATTCTGTTGTTATGTATTTGTAATTAAATCACTACATTCTCATTACCTTATTCAATCCACTCACCCCTGTATCGCTGAAGAGTTGTGTTAAACACCTACATGTGACCAAATATTGGTCCTACTATGTTATAGAATAGTAATCCTATTGCCAACAATTAGACAGATTATTAAGATTATTAAGTACAGACGGAGTAACAGAAACTATATGGCTTTCGATCAGGTATGCAACGAGGATAGCAAGGGGAAATTGTTTGTATAAATAAATTGGGTAGTGTCTCCAATAGAACAAGAAAGTTATATGAACCCTTGAATATGTATTCTTTGTTGTGCATTGTCGTTTCTTAATTCATCAAATAATCATTAACTCAATCATCAAATATATATCCATTTTATTGGACTTATCCTTTGGCTTAATGGATAGTTACCATAACTGCTACGCCAGAGGTTGTGGGTTTGATTCCCACCCAGGACAAATAATTATGTGATGGGCTTGATCATTTTTTGTTCTGTATTTAACTGTAATTTATTTATGATATGCAGTACCTGTTCTAATGTATATACATATAAGTATGTTTATCAGGAGTCTGGTTGCCATTATACATGTACTGCCATAAATTGGGATCAGATGGCTGTGTGTAAAATGTGTTACTGTTATTAGATATATTTCATAAAGGTGTCTTTCTTGCATCTTTGCATAGTATAAAGTCACTTATAGGAGTTTACTCCTTAAGAATCGATTTTCATATAAGGCGCCCGGTATGAAAAAAATATGAGGAGTAAATTTACTAATCAAATGACGTTACATTTTTTGTGCCCAACCTTTCAACTTTCATACACATACTTGTGTGCAAATCGTTCTTAATGAGTAAACTCCAGTTGTGCGTCAGAGCTGACACACACAATTTTTTTTCATCATATGCTTAGATCTTTTAAAGTATGAAATGTTTTTTAAGTGATTTTCACCAAGTAGTATCTACATTGCACCCATGGGAAGTTCTTAGCTTCCCTAGTTCTTTCTAATAATCTTATGATAGAATTCGGATTTTCTACAAAAACTGTATAATAAATTCCATTTAAGATTTCTGGGATTTTGCAGCATCACACAATCATCAGTTACACTCATACATATTTTTAATAACAAGACTGTACTTTAAAGACTGCACGGATGGCGTAGTGGTTTAAGCGGTCGCCACGCCGCTTCCTACTACGCCGAGTGTTGTGGGTTCAAATCCCCCATGGGACGACACTTTGTGTGATCCACAAATTGTTGTTCTGAGTCTCTGGGTGTTCTTTGTGTCCGTTTCATGTATGTTTGTAAAGTCCCCCACAAGACAGGATTTATTTCTAATGCGGGCGTTGTCTTTTAAAAGAGAAAAAAAGAGAGAAAATTAAGTAGAAAGCATTATTGTACTTGTTATTGAAGTACATACTAAGATTTATATTTGTTTACAAATAGTTTTATAACTTTCAAAGTATTATTAACGCAATCTTAGCTCTTAATATACTTCTGTCTACAAAGATGACAACAAAATAGATATTTTCATACAAGTCAAAACTGTTGACATTATAATATTTGACCTTTCCATTCAATATTTTTAAATTACCACTTTATTAATAGCAGCAGAGTTAATAGAATCAAACATTTTTGATTATATTAACTATTATTACTATTTGATGGGCCTGGGTCTAGTAGTTTAGACTACTAAGTTAGAGGTAGTGGGTTTGATTCCCACAAAGGACAACTAATTGTGTGATGGGCACAATTATTTGTTATGTGGTGTCTGGGTGTAATTGGGTAAAGGTGTAAAGGTATGTATCTATAATAGATAGATTACACCCTACACTACTACACACTACTTAATACCCACATAGGTATGTATTAAAAAAAAATGTCCGGCTGCCTAGTTTTGGGATCAGAGGGCTGTGAGTGAATTATGTGAAGTTAAAATTATTATTTTGTGTTCTTCAAATTTACAAACTAATTAACTTTGTGGAATTACAGGTTAGGCAAGACTTAATATAAAGAATTTATATAATTTTAACCTACCTTTTTATTCTCTAATTTATGCCAGATTTCTTTTGGATCTTCTTTGTTACTACGACATAGTGTAACGAACAAAATAAAATCAATTTCAACGTTTAACTGTTCTTTATTACATAATGATTGATCTAATATTTCACAAAACATAATATGTTTATATTACGTCTAAAATTAATCTTTACGAATTAATTTAACTTTAGGGTCATCTGGTCTCATTATGGTGTAGGTACTCTTATATCTTCGGTTGTCTCCATCCTGTTTGACATAATTATAGCAACCCACAGTGGCGAAACCGATGCCCACGATAGCCATTCCCGTTGACCCTATAACTTCAGGAATTTCGTTCCAGCCCTGCTGGAGCAACTGCCCGAGAGAGCGTCTCGAGGCCCCAGCCATTGATTAAATTGTAAATCCTGAACTAATTACAATTTATACAGCGAGGACCTGTCCAACCTGTCCAAGAGGACCTGTTCTGTTCTGACAGTTAAACTGACAGTGACAATGACAATTTTTTTGACAACAACCAAAGACATTTTTTTTTTACTGGTCATGACGTATATGACTGAACATGAGTTAGACTCATAGTCGTAGGCATAGTAAAAGATTCGATATCTCGAGTCTGAAAGACTTTCATACCCACACCACGTTCTGATTTAAGCTGTAAAGTCGCGTTGCCGGCCTTAATGTGCGTGAATTTTATAGACGATGAGTAGAATCGCATTAATGTGACTTACACAGTTCTGTTGTCTTGGCGCAAAATACAAAAAACCGTGAGGAATGGACGTAAGTGAGATGGACAAAAGACCGGGTTTAAATCTTTCAGTGGGTTTAATTTAAACTCTTTGCATACATTATTCTCTCTATGAGATCTAGAGATTAACGTAGAAGACTACGAAATTATTAAAGTACACCGACTTAGGAAAATAAGAAGTGATGATAAACCGAGGCCAATTCTATTATCTTTTGTGAGTGCGCTGAAAATGGAAATCATGAAAAATAAATAGAATTTAAAGGATTTGTACGTAAAAGATGATTTTTCAAAAGAAGTCATGGAAAAAAGGAAAAACCTACAATGCAAAATTGGAAGAAGAAAGAAAAAAGGGTAATTTTGCAGATCTCAAATACGACCAAGTTATTATAAAAGAAAACGTACAACGTACGTAACGTTGTAACGTAAACAATCAAGGAAAAACGTAAAATAGAAACCTCCTCGTCACCGCAAACTAATACCCAACCGAAAAAACAAATTACACCTTCATCGAAAGACAACAGAAACAACGCCTTCGACGTAAAGAGAAATAGATCAAATTCTCTTTCTAACAATCCAACCAACACCAAGAAAATCAAGCAACTAACGAACGGATACCGGAAAATCAAGCAATATGTTAATAACAACAAGCCGACTGGTCCTAGTGGGGGAAATAACTACGACCCTCTAAGCGAAATAAATGAAGAAATAAGCAAACGAAACAAAAAGTCTTCGGATATATACATAGCGACCCTGAATACGAAATCATACGAGATACGAACACCTGAAAAATTGATGGAATTGCAATAAATAATATCAAATGGGACATAATTGGTATCAGCGAAATGAGAAGGTACGGTGAAGGAATTGAAGACCACAACGGTAATTATATCTTACACCACATAGACGAGACACCGGCATTATACGGGGTTGGCTTTCTAATCAAGAACAATAATTTAGCAATCACAATAAATGAAATTAGAGGAACCAATGAAAGAATAGCAATCCTTAATATCAAATTGCCTACACATAAAGGTAAAGAAGAAATGTGATGTGAAATGTCAACTGATAATTTCTATGCAGATCTACAATCAGCCATACTGTTAGGTATAGGTTATACAAACTAAATTATTCTACAGCAATAAAGGCTTATTCTATTTATTATTCCCTCCCACAGAGTTTTTATTTGGGTGTTTATTGATTATACTGTTTTAATAGCCGTAAATGTTAATATCAATATAAGAATAAACAATATAATAAGTATAAACTACTATGTACTCTTTTTTACTCTCATTTCTATTTGTTAAATTATGGATATAGCGGACGGATCTTGAAACATAAGATAGCTTCTAGGGCAATTTATTTGTTTGGCGTAACCTGGAAGTAATTAAACCAGTTGTGTGATGGAAAGGTATATGCAGTTCTACAAAATTAAGTAACGTGGCATCGAGAATTCTAACGGCACCATATACATCAGCAAAACGCACATTTAGCTTCGAATCTCGCCCTACTGAATCCTCTTACTGCAGAAAGAGCTGCTAAAATAACGCTAATTTCATATAATTCGATCATTTTAAACAAAGATATATTAAATGAATGGATAACCACCGATGAACAGGTCAGCCAGACATCTTCTCAGGGATGTTCATCGGTTAGAATTAACGTCACTTAAGGTGAGATCGCTGCATCATCTCAATGTAAAGCAACAACACGAGAATATGAATTACAAGTCGTTGTTTGTGACAATTGTGAGAGTGACTGATTTACAAATTGTATGCTCATTTTTTAAATAAAAAAATTGCAAATTGTTATATTTAAGAAAATTAAAACCATCGTCAGAACAGGATTTTAATAAAATAGGAATAATCTCTGCATATAAATCCTTTCTAAAAAATCTATGCAATTCATAAACGATAGACTTCATTTAGGCGGAGACAAAATAAACAAGCATTAAATAAAGATTTGTTCTCCTCGTTTCTTAAAATAGGTTGAAGAGTAAGCACCCATCATTTTTGGAAATCATAAAACACTGAAAATTTCAAAACAGGTGAAATCTTTCCAACAAAAATTCAACTTTTATAAGTTACATTTAATATCCCGAAGTGATAGCGTGCTCGACAAAACCAAAAAACGTTTTTATTAGTAGTTTTTAGGGTAATAATAGTTAAACACCCGCCAAAAAACAACCGTTTAAACCCATCAGCTTCATTTGAAACTACTAAAAACAACATCTTGCCACTACTTTTTTTACGTGTGGAAACCCCCTTGGGCCGTCACTGCACCGGGCAGTATGGAATCTCCCCTTCAAATCCCATGTCCAGTGGCGGATTAGCCACATAGCAAGAGTAGCAAATACTACAGACCCCGCGCATTTGGGGCCGCGAGTACAAAAGTATCTACTTATTTCGATCGAAGTGTGAAAATACTTTTTCAAATCAATATAGCCACAATTCTTATCACGAAAGAGTTGCAATTTAATGTCCAATTATAATTTTAATTTTTAGTACATTTCTAAAAGTGAGCGTTGGTTGCACCCGAAATTATGTTTTGCACTGCGAACCAATGCTGCTACGGCCAAGCCGGACAAACTGCTAGCGTGCGAGTCTTTACTGCAATCGCAGTGATGACAGAATCAGTCGTGCCCGGAAAGGATCTGGGTCAGTCGAAAGGAATTCGAGCTGTGGTGGTGGGGCGGGGGGGGGGGCGAGGGCCGACGGCCGCTACCCTCGCGGAACTCCGTCCGCCAATATACTTCGGCGAGCACTTTCGCCTAATCCTACGAGAGTGTTCCAAGCGGACGTCGACAAGGTGCGGTAACCACGTATGGCTCTAAACGCCAAAACCCTCTGAGGGTGGTCAGAGCCGTCGTCCACACCGATGCACCGTACAGTGCCATTGACCGGATAACTCCCGCCGTGAACATCCGCTAGGTCTACCCAAATTGGGTAAAAGTAGATCAAGGGCGGACAGAGTTTTGGAGTAAGCTGTCGTAAAAGCCATCTCCTATCAATATATTCTGGGCGGTCAGAGCACGAGAACGAACGTCCAACGGCAGTTGTATTACAATTACAGTTTAAATAATCCTTTCATATTTTATTGAAAATATCATGCCGCAATTATAAAAAAAATAAGACCCATTGCCGATTTTTCTTGACGTTTAATTTGACTTTTATTAGTGTCATTTGCATGTTTGGTTGCAGTATATCATAATTTATAATTTCGAATTGTGGTTTAGATCGTTTTTTCTAAAAAAACTAGTGTGCGGAAATGCGTCCACCTCAGAATTTTGGTCACATTGTAAAATTTAAAAAGGGCCTTTTTGGATTGTTTGCAAGAGGGTGCTGGGAGATTCCCGAAGTAATGGGCGCTTCGTTTATGGCCTTAATTGGTATTGGATTTGCTACTGCTGGTTGTTATAATTACCTGCAAATGGATGGAGATAATAGAGAGTACAAGAGTACTTATTACATCGTACGAGCTGGTGATCCAAGAGAGTGTATACTGAAAAACCCCGTATTTACATCTTATGGGAAGTAAATTTGATCTATATAAGAAGTTTATTTGATTTTTTTAACTCCATTTATTATACCAGTAAATACTTCTTACGGGGGCAACCATGTTGATTATTGATCATTATAAAAAAAAGAAACTAAGATTAAAACTGTAATATGCGATCGAATATGAGCAGATATCAGAGCCTTTGCCTTCGTTGCACTCGGCCTTTCGGGATGGAGTTCCTAATTGTGTTCTATCCATTCACCGCTGGCTAGCGACCCACTACACGAGTTGTCACCGTCTCAATCCATCCCGCCATTGTCGACTAAAATATTTATATTTATCTCAACTTATGAGAACGGACCAAAAAAAACAAGTCATAATTTGAACAATTATATTGTCTTTTAATTTCCAGAACTACAATATTCTTAAGTGTGGAACAACTATAGATTCATTCATTTTAATAAAGATTAACATAGCTTAATTATTAGCCTTTAGCATTAGCCGATGTTATTCTTTACTCCCTTTATATATGACTGAGGCATGAAAGCAGGTTGTCTGTTCACCTCTCGACGTTTGACTTTCAGTTGCCACCTTCGTCTATTCAGCTGGTACCCATTAGTGCCTTCTGAATTAATAAGATGAATGAAGAAATTGTTTCATATCTCTACGTATCACCTGTATGCAGAGGACTTACACGTGAACACACAGTCAAGCGTTGAGAACATATCATACGCCATTGATAAAGTCAACCAAAGTTTACGACTTCATAAGGTGCTGGTCGACGAGGTTTGGTTTGCAGGTAAATCATACCAAATGTCAAGTGATCATCGTGAGGATCAAACAATGTTAAATAGTATGGATATGGCGGTCATCCACTGACCTCTATTATACAATTACGCGTACTTGTATGATAGAGGTCAGTTCCGTCATTCTACCAGTCTCTAAAACAATGTAAGTATACATCGGAGTCCAGTGGTAAAGAACCTGGGGTTACATATCGGCTTGATTGCCGGGCACAAGCTACATATGTCAGCCAGAAAGTCACCACATGTCTTCACACTTTATGCCGTCTAAATCAGGTATTCCCCATCTATTTTGGGAAAGAGACCCCTTTTCCAAAATGAACTGATACCTCAGACCCCATAGACAAATTACTTCAAAAATCTTTAATCTAGTTTGTTTCCTTTTATTATACAAAATACTCACCAATTTAAAACTTTTCGGTTGGTTAAGTGAGTAAACTTGACATCATTTTCTCATCAAAGTTTAACAAAATAAATACTTAAAATTCAGACAGACCTATTTCTTAGCGTTCCCTGGGTCCATCGCGTGATAGATGGGGGCAACACATGCAACTTCGACAGCGCCTGGGACTTACTACCCAGGTATAGTTTTAGGGAGCCCTCCTTGCTACGCGTCAGCGCTTACCTCCACTGTCTGCGGTGTTAACCCCTCTACCTAACCATACTCGATACGAGCCTAGCATTGCCGCTTTGGATTTTCGTTCATGAAAAGAGCTTACTGAAGTTCTAGGCAATCCAAAGTCTTTAAGCAAGTTATAGAGAGATTTAGATGGTATACCTCTCGCACCCACTTCCACGGCATACAACGCAATGACATAACCATTTTTAGTTATTTCGTTGGTCAAAGTACTTGTTTCTTTTTAAAGCGTGGCCTTTAGGAATGTTCGTTCCCCACCGCACCGTGAGTTCTATTAGTACCACACGCTTAATTGAAATTGCATAACGAAATACATATGTCTGATCTCGACGGTGAGACACAGATATCCTTCACTATTCTGTAATAATTTTCATACGTGTCCACTAATAATGTCCAGTCACTGGCGGTATTTATAATTGAATACGGCTTTTGTGTAGTCTTTTTTGTTGAGCCTTCCTTTACAAACGAGATTTTAGTTTTAATGTTTGTTGTTATTCCTTTTTTCACTCTCGCTAATCTCATAGCTTCGCGTATGATTTGTAATTCCCTATCATGGCGATGTGACTAATGACCCCGGTCTAATAGCGCCTTACAACCCGTCAGTAAGTGCCTGGCTTGTACGATGTGCAGTGCGGAAATAGGTAAAGCCTATTTTTACTGCACATCGTACAAGCCTTTTCTGTAGCTTTTTAGGTTGCTTTGATCGGGGAGAATCAATTGAGGTAAAATTTTAACAGGGCAGGTGACCAATCGTATAAAAGTGTGCCATTTCAAAGCTTGTGGGATACAAATTCTCCTAGAATTAACCATTCATTCTGCATTTCTAGGTTCATTACGTGCACCTTGTAGGCCTCGTTTTCATCTTGTTGTTGGAAAGATTTTGTTTTCTCTTTGTCGGTCTGTATTCTAGCATTTCCCAATCCAACTATACTGGACTGCGTATCCACCATGAATTTCTTGTGGAATTCGTGCCGTGACTCGAGCTCTGATACATTTTTGTCTTTTGGAAGAGATTAACGATTTCGTCTTGTGATTTCGACAAGACATGCATTTTAACTTTGAAATGAAATTAAAAGGACCTTCGGAACTCTACAAACACCTAAGAGTTACCAAAATGCATGCCTTGTCGAAATCACAAGACGAAATCGTTAGAAACTTGTCCACGCTGATTGACTTGCCGAGTTTTTCATCTTGTACGATATGTGCACGCTTATCGACTTGAAGTTTTTTACAAGTACGACAATGATACTTTATACTAAAATATTAGTCATTCTTATAACAAGTTGGTACACATAACACAATTTATACAGAATCTTGAAAGTGTCAAATAAGAACTTGTGTTAATTAATAGGGGTCGATTTGTAGACCTCGTCGACCCCCAATTGTTTTTTTTTCGTGTTTTCGTTCTTGTCAACCCCTTGGAAAACCGATTTTAATGCCAAGGGGTCGATATCGACCACTTTGGGAATTCCTGGTCTAAAGACCTTCCTTTCCGATAAATCTAAGGCTAAAAATATTTTCACCCCTAAACGTCACAGTGACTTTTAAATGGCGTCATAAACGTCACACGCTACGTGAGTGACATAAAAGTGACTTTGATACTTAACTAAGTTTTTTACATTATGCTATTTCGTCATTTTGGAGTCATAAATTAATGTATTATTTACGTAACTGGTAAGTCATAAAGTTACATAAGGCCCCTGACGTAAAAATGTTATATTAGTGCCATTAGTAAGACAAACGTCCTCACTTTTACGTAATTTTAGGTCACGAGTTTTGACTTAAAAATAAAGTCCTATCCCTATCATCTGTGTGCCGTTAGTTCCTTACTTTTTTTCGACCGTTTTTATTTCGGAATCGTAACAAACCTTGTGTTCATTAGAATAGAATGGAGATTTTTTACAGGCTAAGCCTAAGAATGAGAGGATTTGAATTCAAAAAAATACCTTTAATGACTAGTGAATACACAGTACAATTATAAGTGATACACGCGAGCGAAGCCTAAGTAAAACATAGTAATATATGAATGTCAGATTATATTTTTATGGACTACCTAAATATGAATAAAACAAATGTGAATTCTTATCTAATGTTTATAAATGATTTGAAATACAATCTTTACTTGTACGTCTCTTTCCTATGCTCTTCACCTAAGCCGCTGGACCAATTAAGAAAAAATATTTTGTGTTTAGTGGGTCTCTGATTCACAATAGTACGCGGCAATTGATGCTGCAAGTGGGGTCTCTTTTCGCTCCGAGGCAAAAAAACTTACCAGCTCACCCAAGAAAATATTGTAAACTATTATTATCTAGCTAATAATACCAGCTAATATCATCATCAGCCTATCGCAGTCCACTGCTGGACATAGGCCTCTCCCATTGCACACCACTTAGATCGATTTTGGGCTTCTCGCATTCAGCTCCTGCCAGCTAATATGAACGATATGAATATAATTTATAGCCGATAGCACTCAAGGATAATTCAACTACATATTAGTGAAAGAATTTTCAAAATCGGCTTAGTAGTATAAAAGATTTTCTATGCCTTACATACAAACAATTTTACCTCTTTATAATTTTAGTATAGATATTAGATAAAGATGGCTCTTTTAATGAAATAAACTTTTTTACTTAAAGTTTAGACCATGTTTAGAACGGGCTTTGAACGCTTGATTTGGTAAGGCGTAATTAGCAACACGCGAACGTCTGTATGGAATCTTAGATTCCGCATGCATATGAAACAACCATGTTAACAAATTGTACTGTTTGACGCGGTCACACACGGTCCGTCAGGAATTCAGGTGTTAGTGATCTGTGGTTGTTTTTTACGTTTGATTTGACTATTTGACGCAATGAGGAAGTCGTGACACGTTCAAAGCTAAAGTTCGCGAATTGTACAGGAAACAGCTAGCAGAAATATCCTCATGATATCGTCACTCAAACTTTATTGTATTTATTATATTCCGTATGTATAATATATTAATAGTTATCTATGTATTCGTCTATCTTTTTCAAATAGTATTATCAAATTAATGTTATATTTTCATAGCTTCTCTTCTTACTACATAATATATGTGCACCTGCCATGCCCCTTACTGAACCATCTTAAGGTTGACTGGTAGATAATGCCATGTGGCATTAAGTCCGCCTCGTGCAAACTGTAATGCAGGAAGTGTAAAAATAAAATAAAATAAATAAAATAAATCTTAGTTCAATGGCACAGAGTACAGTAGTGATGCGCAAAATGTAGGTATCACTGAGCTGAAAAGATAGATACAGATCATTTCGCTCTAAAGATATCTATCACTCACTCATCTAGCTCACTAGCTCAGTGATCCAATTCATTTGATTGGTTTCTCAATTGATTCATTTCTTCGTCTAGATCGTTTAGTTCAGTATGTATATATCACTCACTTCAAACCTCTCTCGCTCATACAAACCTTTCTTTATCTCATATTTATCTAAATTCAATTCTTGGAACTTCTTTTTAAACCTATTTTTTTAAAATCAATTTTTTTTTATTTTGTTAAGATTAAATAAGTATCAACACTGTTTTATAAAATAATTAAATTCAACGTATGGAAAGAAGTTTCTTTCTATTTTTGGTAGACGTTTGCTATAGTGTCGGAAAAAAGTCTCTTTGCATTTTTTCGGTTTTGCTCCCATCCGCTCAGAGCGTGTAACACGCGATCAGGAACTTCGTTCCAAAAATGAGCAATATGCATATTTACTTTTTCTTGCTTTTATTAGGTTGTATATTAGAAACATAGATATTAAATTGATTTTCCATCATACTTTGCTGGCTTAATTCTCAAATAATTAAGTAATGTTAAAATTTGTTCCTATAAAAATAATCTACGTTTTGCCTAAAGAAACTAAATAAGCGTGAACTCAACCATCACATATCTCAGTCAGATATCTTTAGTCTCACTCGCTCATGAAACATAGATTGGCGTCGTTGAGCTAGTGAATAGTGATCTAGGGAGCTATAACTGAGTTACCGATACATTCAGAGCTAGTGTGACTGAGTGATACATTTTATCAGCGTGAATCATATATATCTTCTAGATCACTCACTCAGAAGCTACACAACTCTAGAGCACAGTTATACTATTATGGAGTCAATGGTTTGCCGTGCCTTGGTAACAAAAACATTAAACATACATGGTCCATCGAGATATTAGTGCTCTGTGGTCTATTTTACGAAGCAATTTCTGTGGTTGTTTTCTCTAATAGTATTACTCAACTACTGTACTCTGTGGGTTGTTTGTGACGTTTGATTTGACGTTGACGGTTCTGTCATTGAGAAAGGTCACCGGTAAAAATTGTATAAAAAATAGTTCCTAAAAGATGATAATAGGTTAAACTGTGTGAAACTTCAAGCACTGTTGTTAGTTATTAGTGCGAATATCGACTCGTTGTCTTCACGTCTGATCGGCCGGTCGTGTGTTGTTTAATTTATAAAAATGGTTTCTCGATTCGATGTTGTTGAACAAGGGCCTCCTATAGAAGTTTTTCAATTAAATAAGTTGTTTTTAGATGACCCTAATCAAGTCAAAGTAAATTTAACCGTCGGAGGTGAGGAAAAATCACTGTTTAATCCAACCAATCTGTTTTTTACATACAAAATTAGTCTGTTATTATGCAATCTTATATGATTCTAACATGCTTATTGGAATTGTTATTTTTTTAATCTAGTGTACTTTGTTGTCATTGCCTGTATTTTATGGTTGCAGCGTATAGAGATGAGAATGGGAAACCTTGGGTTTTGCCTGTGGTCAGGTCTATGGAGCAACAGTTGGCTGCTGATAAAACACTTTTGCATGAATACCTACCAGTGCTAGGTGAGTGTTACTTATTAGCTCTTACTTAATTTAGGAGGAGAAAGTAATTGACTTTTCCTGAAGGCAAATTCTCGTAATAAAAGTTCAGTGACAATTCACTTCCGATCAACTTTCAATCTCACAACTGTCATGAAAGGTATTTTTGTAATTATAAAGGGGTTGTTATTTTTCTTTTATTATTTTTGATTGGAATTACTTTTGCCTGTTAATTTGTACATAGATAACAATTTATTGAAAGTGCCTTTACATGTGATCAATGAATAAGAATGAAATAAATCTAATATCCATGCAAAAACCTGTCATATGACCTAATGTTTATCTAATACCTTTAAACATGCAATTCTTGTACATATATATATATAATCTGAATCTCGGAAACGGCTCCAACGATTTTCATGACCATTATCTTCCGATGGGTAATCTTTTTTTTAGCGCAGTAATTAGGTGCTGTACCTGGATCCACTCACTGAGACGAACGCTTACGGTTGTTGTACAGGATTCACTTTTCATCGCAGGTAACAATGCGATTCAAAATTCCCCACGTTTCTATTCCGATTCAGTAGTGTCGTTGTTAATGTTTCGTGTTGTTTGCGCTGCGGTATTTCCACGTAGGAACTCATATTCGAAAATTGTACGAATTTTCAGTTTATCACAAAAACAAAACACTATCCAAAGGCTTTAAAATAAAATTCATTTGAATTTAGAATTGCGCGCAAATCTACATATAATTAAATCTGAAAATGCTGGTATTAAAAATCTCCAACTTTATAACATAGGATAAGACCTATTAGTTACAACTGTTACTATCAACAGTGTTCCCATCTAAAAATATTGTAGCAATATTATTATTATTATATCAATAGCTAAAGAAAATTATTAATCATCTACTAAATGCCAGTTATTTGAATAGAGAATGATAAAATCTTATCAATTTCCATTTGCTTCATAAATAAGGTATTACAATTATCAATGCTACGCAAAAACCATTCTGTGATAAGATTGAATACTATGGCAGAATAATCAATCATATAAATTCTATGTATAACGTGTTAATACTCTAAGGCCGGCAACGCGTTTGTGACTCCTGAGTTGCGGACGTTCATGGGCGGCGATGGTCACTTTCCATCAGGTGAACCGCTGCTGCCATTCTTCCATTAAAATAATAATTTGGTACAATATTGTCTAACCCAAGTATCAAAAATCAGTATTTTCAATAAAATACTTTAAATGGTAACACTAATGAGACAGAGTGATATAAAACGGCATGTGTTGATATCAAAGGTGTATTAATCATTACTTAAATTAACTTTTGACAATATATTATTACTCCCATCACCTGTAATGGCAACACATACCGAACCAATGCAGCTCTCCAATTTTGTTTTACCCTCCAAGAGTCGCAATACTCATTTATAATTTCGACTGCTGGCAGCTGTAAAAAAAAGCATTATTAAACACGTCTGCCACCTCTAACGTTAAAAAAAAAGTAGCCTGACACATTCCACCCATGGTCATCAGATACCAAAGTAGGCATGCGTGTAATATAGCACCAGAGGCCCAAGTTTGAGTTTATTTCACATCTACTCGACTGGGCTGTATATTATATACAGAGCCAAATCAACTTGAATACATTATATTAATCGGTGCCTGCCCAAAATAAAGTTTGAAGAAAGATTTTGTAATACGGTTACTCTATCTATTTTTTTTTTATTGGAGTGCGACGGCCAATAAGTAACTTTTGATAGAACGAATTCTATTTAAGCAGCTAGTATATTATAGATAAATTACACCCAAACACAGAACCAATGAGATCATGATCACGGAATTAGGTATTTCTTATGAGTAAGAATTGAAGTCAACAGTACCTCTGGCTCAGACAGGATTATTAACAACTGAACCAACAGGCCAGTCAAATATATGATGTTATAGTTAAACCGCCGTAAGCTTGGCCCTCCTGATGGTTTGCGGGACGCGGGGCGGGTGATGCGCTCGGCTATACATGACACGATGTACTAACTCGATATCTTCAGATTTATTTGTTTGAGATTTGATCTACACACGATGTAATAAAAATCGAATTTATTTCCATGTATTATAATGTCAGTGTATTGTAAGTTTTTATGATTAATTGTAAAATTTAATACTGTAAAATAATTTTAATAAAATCACCTTATCTTCATCATGTAAATTATATTCAGATACAATTTAAAAATTAAGTAAAAAAATAAATATTCCTTATTAGAACTTTAACAGTAGAATCTTTTTGTGACGCAGAGTCGGCAGATTATCCATGTTGTAAAATAATACCGTGTGTAGCAGTCTTAAGAAAAATAACACGTACAACCATGCTTTCACGTCAGTCACTGCCGGCGGACAGCGACGCACTAGCTAATTGGTTGAATGCACCCCCGCCCCGCGACCCCCAAACCATCAGGAGGGCCAAGCTTACAGCGGTTTAACTATAGTTTCGCATATCAACTCCAGATCAGTTCTTTAAACGCTCTTCTGTAAATCACGACTTTTGACATGATGCATGCATATTATTATATCACTGTAATCAGTGGTCACTTGACTTTTATTATAAAACTACCCTTATTTAACGCACAAAATAATAAAATAGTGATCTAAGCATTATGTTTCGTGCGTTTGAATCTTAATAAGAAGGCAACCTTAAATCGACATTATTAATTAAATCTAATTAATGGCAACAATTATTATTAACTCGCATAAATAATAGCATTAAGCATTTATTTGCAAAATTTTTGCGTTTATAAATAGGTCAATCACGTGCTTACAATCTCAAGTACTTACTCAGGTAAGTGCTTGAGATTGTGAGTTTTATAAGTGAGAAGATTGTGCATTGTTTTCCCGAATGTATTATTCGTTACATCACTACTAAAAGTACAAGCCATGTCGTGTAAAACGGTCGAAGCAGTTTTTTGTATCCATTGTTATGAAACGAGTTTTTTACGTCACAGTCAAGAATATTGCCGATATCTATACAAATTCAAAGCAGTAAAAATACCTACTGTGTAGGTCAAGAGTGGCCAATGACCTGAAGGCCAATTCTCGTAATAAAAGTTCGATCTCAATTCAATTCCGATCAACTTTCGATCTCACAACTGTCATATAAGGTATTTTCGAAGTAAAGTATTAAACATCCAATGTTGACTCTAACGTTATAATATCGTATTGTGATTGAGGATTGAATCGGAAATACCTTTTATGATAGTTGCAAGATCTTGCGCAAATCGTCACTCCACCGGGCCTGTCGGTGTCCACTCAAGAACTCGTTTTCCCCAACGTTTGTCGGTTCTGCGGCTAATATGGCCGACCCAATCCTTGCTTCCTAATCCGGTAGACTATGTCGATGACCTCGGTTCTCTGCTTCGCGTCACTCCTGCAATAAATTCAACTTGTCGTCTGCAAATCATTCATGTCCAATGCAATGTTGTAACTCAAATTGAAAACATAAAAAAATATTTAGGCGTTAATTGGATTCCCCAGTCTGGCTTATCCTGCATATTTTTCAATATCATCATAATAGATGGTTAATAACTTATGTAATAAGCAGATTTTTGTTGTTTTTTAAGTACGTTAATAGCAGCGTGCTACTTAGCTCGACAGTAATAATTATATAACTATAAATTAATATGACCATGAGATAGATTGTATATCTTTATTGTTAAAAACAACGTACGTCCGTGTAACATCATAACAAATATATCCCCTTTATTACCCTGATGCAATATATTGCGAACGAGAGTGATAAAATATTTCTTTTATGTATCACTAGGCTTTGCCTGCGGCTTCACTTGCGTTAATATCGATTTTGTTAATCAAGTTTTCGGGATACATTTTGCCAATGTGCTACTCTACACCATAATCTATCTCTGGATCCGATCAGCCGTTCCGATAACATTCATCGGAACGTTAGCATTTACAATAGTACTAAGATAAGAATCTGTCGCTAATCCTTAATTTTAAAACATAAATGAAAAATGTCAATTTTGTCATTTCATTATTAACATAACAACTGAAATTGGCACAATTAAGTAAAACACAATGAAAATGATAATTTCACATTTCGTCACCAACGGGAAACACAAAATAGCACAATTAAAACAAATAAAACGGGCTAGTTGTATTTTTACTCAATTTGCATAACATCCTCTTGTCTAACAGTAAGCAGCATTAGAAATTAAAATTATTTCAGACTAGGTAGGCCCGAAAAGTTCCTGTTACGAATATTAGATTTTTTAACCTGTTTACCGGACAAGACGTATAAATGCGTCAGGCGTAAACAATATCGGGTACGGGTAGGACATATGAATACCTACGTCCTCTGTAATTCTATTTTGTTTACTTGCTTTTACTTGTTTTGTGATTCCTTTTGTACTTCAAAAATATTAATAAACGATATATATTTCATAGTTTTTCATTTATTTTATGAATAAATAAAAATATAGAAATACTAGCTGACCCGGCAAACGTTGTATTGCAAAACAAAAAAGATTTGGGATGGGTCACCCTTGCCATTTAGGGGTATGAAAAATAAGTGTTGGCCGATTCTCAGACCTACCCGATGTGCACACAAAATTTCATGAGAATCGGTCAAGCCGTTTCGGAGGAGTACGGGAACGAACATTGTGACACGAGAATTTTATATATAAGATGAAATGACGGTCTCCGGGTGTGACGTATTGAGTATTGACATGTCCTAGCGAAACAATACGCGCCCGGTACATGTTGCATAATTTGAACGGGAACTCCCTGGTTAACAGGTTAATATTGCATTAAATCTGGCTTTACAAAAGATGAGCAAAATGTAGTGAAGAAAGTGTTATGTACGCAAGTTGACGGATATAAGAGTAAAAGACGACCGAGGAATAGACGGATGCACTTTGAAAAATAGTGTTACGTGTTAGTGTTCGTTGGTTTGGAATAATAAACCTTCTGACGACTGAAGAGACTTTATTACTACTACACTTAAGGACGTTCAAACAATACTGAATAATAGATCGCCGCCGAATAATGATCGCCGAGGTCGCTGGGTTACACTTCTATTCGCTTAGATCGCTTCGGTGTTTATCGCACTGTAGCTCGAAAAGCAGTAAGTGGCAGACGCATGAAACTGACGAATGAAGAAGGTGAATGAAAGAAGTTAACTTATTTAATGCCGATCCTAAATAAATTCGGATCAATCGTGAGAAGATGATAATGAATTTATTTTAGTTTTAGTTGTCATATAAATATATAATAGAAACGTACACAACTAAAAGGTCGTTAGGACGAATTGGACTAAAAAGACGTACCTAAATATAGATCACAAAGTGTAATTGTTTGTAATAGCGAAAGAAATCACTTTAAGTGTTATGCATACAAACTAGATATCAGAATACACTTTTTCGCATGTTTTGTGGACCATTTCTTTCGATTAAATATGTAAAGTTAGATGAGAATATTCTTTCACACAGTTCTATCTGATACCGAACTAATGTAAAATCAGGTTTTTACTCCTCGGTCTCCATTTTAACATATAGTACTTATTTAACTCTTAGATTTCAGAAGAACATGTCTCGGATATGATAGGCACTTATTACTGTTAAAATAATAATATTAAAATTCTACCACATTCACACAACGCCATGTAGACCCAAACTAAGCAAAGCTTGTACTACGGGTACTAGACTACTGATATAAATACATATATACTTTTTTTTTGTACAAACATACATATTATACATAGAACCACCCAGACCAAATGAAACATTAAAATGTTCATGCACATAAATGTTTGACTTGAGCGGGAATGGAACCCGCGACCTTTGGAATAGCAATTCCGTTACACAAACCACTAGGCCATCCGGTCGTCAAGATGTATTTTATCATTTTCATATCATAGGACGGCTTGTTCTTGTGTGTTCGAATCATCCTGAGGTTGTTGAAGTAGGAGTCCTCCTTGATTGTTCTTACAAAGTTTAAGATGCCCGCAAACATGAAGACATCAGAGTGGTCGAAACAGTTGGAGACATAGTTGATAAGAGTTGACAAAAACGGATGCCTCATGAGATCCCTGCGAACACCGAAAATCTAATATATAAAATTCTCGTGTCATGGTGTGCGTAGTTGAACTCCTACGAAACAGCTCTACCGATTTTCGTGAAATTTTGTGTGCATATCGGGTAGGTCTAAGAATCGGCCAACATCTATTTTTCATACACCATTTTTTTTTATATAATGTATATGGCAAAACAACGTTTGCGGGGTCAGCTAGTTTTATATAAAAAATTAATTGCCCTGACTTACTGATTGTTCAACGCATAGTTTGAATAACTAGGGCTACAAACTTGACATTTTAGCAGATGATACGTTTTATGTTGTAAGCATCCATTAATAAAGGATGAATGATTGTATGAAAGTTCGACTTTTTGCAAGTTAGAAACACGAAATAAGAAATAATCACACGAGCAAAGCCGCGGGCAATAGCTAGTATCTTAGAGGGCTTTCACTATACACACATTGAATATAGTGTTTGTAATGCAGGTCTGGAGAAATTCACGACAGCGGCCACATCCATGCTGCTCGGTGCAGACAACCCCGTTCTTGCTTCTGGACGTGTAAGTACACTAACACTTTGAACTTCTATGTCTTTTCCTTCTTGGTTACTAAGATATCCGTGTGGTGACGGATTAAGAATACGGAATGTCACCACCCCTTGGGTGTCGTAAGAGACGACTAAGGGAGCAAACTACTCAGGAGAACAGAACTGCAAAGTGAAGGAAAACTTGAAACAAATCCTATACCAACCCGTTTGCCCAGCGTGGTGTAGTAGGCCAAAACCTCTTTTCTAAGAAGAAATGTCTATGTCCAGCAGTAGACTATTATAGGTTGAGTCGAAGATTACATATATATATATTTTTTGTTATTATTCTTATTGAGATCTGTATTCGTCGACCTCTTGTGACCTTACTATGCGTTGTGTATTTTATTATGTGTATATAAATAGATAATTACTGCCTAACTCGAAGCATCCGCTGTTTATTTTCCGCCGCTATATGATAGTTAGTAGTAGTAGTAGTAGATGTATGATAGTGTGTCGCACTTCATACAATAAATATTTACAAAAAGAAAGAGTTCCCCGGACTCGACGCTATAACACGAAACTCTTTGTCATAACATCCTTTTCAGTCCTTACACTGAGTTTATTTAGACTGGTGTGATTAACATGTTGATGTTGAATGTCGTTCGTAAACTTTGTTGATTCATTACTATCACGATTCCACGAATGAAAGCCCCTGTTAAGGATTTTTTAGTTGATTATCACCAAGTGAGTGATGTGACCGCTTTCGGCGCTGCGTTTTGCCCGCACTGAAATCTTCACCAATCGCAACGCTAACGCCGCCGCCGTCAAGAGCGAGTCGATGTGAAATAAACTCATACTTGGGCCTCTGATGACCCGTCGATTTTTCTAACTACACCATAAACACGTAAAAGATTAAAACCCTGATAAATTAATAAGACTGCTAAATTTTTCAACCATATTTCCAGGCATTTGGAATACAAACTCTGTCAGGAACCGGAGGTTTACGCATTGGTGCTGAATTTCTGAATAAACATCTGAAATACACCACTTTCTACTATAGCGAGCCTACATGGGGTAAGTGTTTATCCTCGTCATCTACATCCTAACCGAGTTACATAACTTAAAGTCATTTAAGACTGAAAAGGAAGAGATCGGTGGTGCAGCGGACGACAGGCCCACTGCACCACCGATCTGTTTCATCATTTTACTTTCATACGATTTTAACCTTTATCTCTTACTTAATTTGATTCAAAAAACAAACAAGCTAAAGAAGCCGTTTATTGCGAAGCGGTTATATTTAAATTCCATCAAATTTTCTGTATCTAATCCCTAGGAATCCTCTTATTCCTTTCCTATTTCAGATTTATTTATTTATTTATTAATACTAGATGTTTATTAATACTTAAACATAATGTGCATATTATGTATATGGTATGCTGCTTGCACATTCCCGTGTTTATCAATTTTTCAACAACTATCCAATACTTTCATCAGAGAATCATCACTTGGTCTTCGTGAACTCCGGTTTTACAAACCCTCGGAAGTATCGCTACTGGAACCCAAAGACTTGTGCCATTAACTTCGATGGACTGATCGAAGACCTTAAAAGTGCTCCCGAGAACTCTGTAATCATCCTCCATGCTTGTGCTCACAATCCGACGGGGATTGACCCCACACATGAGCAGTGGGAGAAAATCGCTGATGTTATGGAGGTAACGACGTTAATGCATTAAAGAACTGATACTTTTTCTTTCTTGTAAAACTATTTTACGACAAAAATAGTTCAGTTATTTCATTCACACTACATATCGCCTCGATTTAAATTCAAAACAAGCCAAAAGTTGACCAAAATTTTCTTTTGTTGGTTGAATGTTTTGTGACGACATCAACATACAGCTAAACAAAGTAACTTACTACAGCGCCATCTAACAATGACACATGGAACTACGGAGTGACAGCTAATCCTGTATCGCGATATGAATAATTCTCACGCCGATTAGGATATATACAAGTTCCTAACATCAACCGCTGGGCCGCGGCCCGCGAGGCTTAATAACCTTGTCTGGTCGGAGGATCCTCCCTTTGTACTGGAGGGACCTGACGCCACAGTTTAATTGTTAGGTTTTATGTCAATAACCACTATACCTAACTTGAATTACGAGTATGATTCATTCATGACAGGTCATATACATAAATAGAGATCTCTTTCTTAGCGTTTCATGGATTAACCGTGCGTGTGCCGGGTCCATCGTGTGATAGATGGGGCAGCGACTTCGACCAGCGCCTGGGAGTTGCAATCTAGGAGTAGCTCGGGAATACTCCTTACGACGCGTCAGCGCTCACCTCCACTGTCTGCTGTGTTACCCCCTGTACCTAACCATATTTGATACGAGCCTAGTAATGCCGCTTTGGACATTCGTTCGAGAAAAGAGCTTTCTGAAGCTCTTGGCATTCCAAGGTCTTTAAGCAGGTTATAGAAGGATTTAGCTGGTATACCCCTAATCAGCGTCAGCCGGTATGAAAGGGTTCAGTGATGCCTCTCGAGCCTATCCTCAATAACAGGTTTTACCGTCTACCGCCGCACCTACTTCCAGGGCATAGAACGCAAAGAAATAACCATTTTTAGTTATTTCGTTAGTTAAGTCATCTCTGTAAATTTACCGTACATTTTTACACATTATTGTAAAACTTATAATAACTCTATATTAATTTTACTGTTTTTTCTACATATATACTTCAAGTATTCCAATTTAAAGGTTTTTGTTTAGAGCTATAGAATTTACGGTTAATTTAGATTTGGGCAATAAATATTTCTGCAATAAAAAAATGTGATATTCAAAACTATAATTTATCTCTGTGCTAAATTTTATCAAGATACGTTCAGCCGTTTAGGCACGCGGGATTTAGTAACAAATATCCAACCAAACACATTTATAATAGCAATAAGATTAGGCTGTGCATTTTACATCACACAATAACTGTTAGTTAATAATATATAATTGTTGACAGGAGCGCAAATTGTTCCCGTTCTTCGACAGCGCGTACCAGGGCTTTGCATCCGGCGATCTAGACCGCGACGCGTGGGCGGTGCGCTACTTCGTCCAGCGCGGGTTCGAGCTCGTCTGCGCACAGTCCTTCGCCAAGAACTTTGGACTCTACAGTAAGACATGAACATCTGTCCTATGGTAACAAACGTAAAACAAACGATTAGTTCGTTTGTTTGTTATGATTATCATGTAGAATACACGTCATCAAGGGTATAGAAAGAACATACACAACGACTGCCTCGGTGGTGCAGTGGTAGCGTATGCGACTGCTGCGCTGAGGTCTCGGGTTCGATTCCCGGTTGGACCAAATGTTTGTATGCTCTGAAAAAAAATTGTTTCGGAGTTTGGGTGTTTTCTATGTATATATTGATAAAGAAAGTATATAAGGATTATATCAGTCAATCTGGCTTTCATAGAACAAGGTCTGCTTAGTTTGAAACTAGATGGCGTTGTGTGTTAGATGTCCAAAAATATTATTATTATTACATCCAAAAGAAAGTACTGTTACCGAATGCCGGAAAAATAAAAGTCCCCGAATATATCAATAAAATAAAAGTATACCCTATTGCAAGCAAAACCAAGGGCAGCTGTTTCTTTTTGTATTTCTGTAAGTCCTATGTTAGATATTTATATATGATTATTTGCGTCCGTCAGACGAGCGGGTGGGTAACCTGACGATGGTGGTGAAGGACGCGGCCTCGGCGGCCCCGATCAAGTCTCAGATGACGTGGGTGGTGCGCGGCATGTACTCCAACCCGCCCGCGCACGGGGCCCACATCGTAGCGCAAGTGCTGTCCAACAAAGAGACTTTCGACCAGTGGTACGTATTCGATTAAGTCGCAGATGACGTAGATGGTGCATGCTTAGGGTCCAAACTAAAACCTCGTGACTGCACATCGTCGCCTACAGTGTAATAGAGCAATAGTACGTATCCAAAGAAGTTGAAAGTGATGTGGGTCGTGCTGCAAATATGCTCAAGTTTGCCACCCTACAGCTTTATATAGTCGCCCGTCGTCTGACTATAGTCCATCAACATCGTGCGCGACCGTCCTGCGGGGTGACAGACGATGGCGGGGACGAGTTCTCAAGATGTCAGCGGGTAACGGGTGGTGTAGCGGGGAAGGGAAACCCGTGTAGCCGTGTGCTAGAACGACGCGCTACCTCGCCCCCGCCACTGTCTGTCACCCCGCGGGACGGTCGCGCACGAGATTGCCGGGTTATAATAGAGCAGTTTTAGAAGGTCCATAAAGCAGAGGCCCTGACGACTACTCACAAGGCGTGTACGTCACCGTGAACGGAGATCCAATATAATACAATTGGTGGCTACACAGCTGATTAAGTCGCAGATAATAATAATTCCGTCCACGATGGTTCCGTACAGGTCTAACATGTTGAAAAGGAGAAGTTTTCTACCAATACTATAGAGCTAGAAAAGGCTTATCTATAAATATTACAGAGAGAAAAAGACAAAATAAGTACATTATAATTTTAATTTCATCGCCTTATAGAGGAATGAATATATCCCCTCAACGAAAACAGAGAAAAGAAATGATCAAGGTGATCATGTTTGGCGATCCGCGGCCCTATGGTTGATGTTGGATGCACACATATAAACCGACGCGAGAACTTTAATTGCGCGATGCAGCATTACTGCATTGCGCAATGAAAGTTCTCGCGTCGATTTCAACGACTGAACGAAAGTTCAGAGTGACTTCGTTAGATAGTTTTGAAGTATATTTTTTTGTTGTATACAGTATTAGCAATAATCTTATTTCTTTATTACATTAACGATATATGGTAATATTTTGTATTTTCTTAAGTTCGTAATCCTCAGCATTAGAGCTGTACTCATAATTTAATTCTAATAGCTATTAAATCATTTCATCATACTGTGGTGATACTTTCAGCTGTGAGTTATATCTTGATTTAACCTGTTATTGCTATGCTCCGGTATAACAAAATTATTAGCGTACAGAATATAACTGTTTATTTCTAATTATCAGGAGGGGGCATATCAAGATGATGGCGGATCGAGTCAATGACATGAGACAAGCTTTGAGAGCCGAACTTATTAAGTGAGTTTAAATATTGTATTAAAGTTAGAATTCAGCCGTATGACGTCCACTGCTGAGTTTAGGCGTCCCTCAGTAAGTTCCAAGACGTCGGGTTGGAAGCGGCCGGGATTCACCGTCAACCTGCAATCTCCATGAGGTTACCTGTCCACCTAGTCGGTGACCTGTACACTTTACACTGCGCTTTTCAATGCATAGTATCCACTCCAAAACCTTTTGAAAAAATCCAGACTGTTTAAATAAATTTATAGTAAACTTTTACGTGCATAAGTTCGATTTTATCTTAGATCCAATTTAAAAAAAAATTAAGTTACTTTCTAAATATCTTGATGTACCCATTATGGATATGAGTGATGATATTAAAAAAAAGCTACAACAACATTTTATTTTACTAGAAAGATTAACATGAAATAAATGCCTTACGGTGTTACTTATCGCGACCACTCGGTCCGGGTCAGGGGCTTGATCGATGCGTCACTATTTTCTTAACGCGAATGGACTATAGTATTATTTATTTACTTTTTCAGATTGAACACACCCGGGAACTGGGACCACATCGTGAACCAAATCGGCCTATTCTCATACACTGGTCTGACACAACAGCAATGCGAATACTTGATGGCAGAGAAACACATCTACCTGTTGAAGTCGGGCCGTATCAACGTGTGCGGCCTCAACCTCTCCAACGTGCAGTACGTGGCCCGGGCCATGAACGATGCGGTTACGAACTTCCCCACTAAAGAGTAAATGCTTGTTCTATATATGTAGTTAGATAAATGGGCCAATCTCATAGGCATAGTTTGCTAAGGCCTTTCATAATATTCGAAGACTGCGTCGAAAACTAAATGGGGGCAAAGCATTCTTCACAAAAATATTTATTTTATAACCATAATAAGTATCTCGACTTTTCAATCTACGACAATCAGAGGAGGTTCTCAAGGCAACCCGTACATTATTTTTTTATTTATAACATTTTAAAGGTTAATTTGATTTTGATAATTCTTTATTAAACAAACTTGCTGCCAATAGATATAATTTTAAAACAATTATTATTTCTGTGAGCTTCTTTCAGCGAATGCCGTTGTACGAAGACGCCTACACATTAGAAAGTACGCTGTTATTGTCTCCGGAAAACTGGATGCAAGACTGTTGTATTTTATCACTTATAATTACGTAAGTTCCTTGATGGAATGTTTTCAAAACAATTATTCGTTTGATATTTGTGTTTACTGCATTTAGCAATCAGTTTTCCGGCTCCCTTTATTATTTTTATTATTAAAACACTAACATTTCGTCGCTTGTGACGCTTCTAATACATTATTCAAGCCTTGAAAGTTTTGTTCAGGTTTGAAAATGAATTTATCTCAAGAACAGTAGTACACGTTTTTGAAGTACGATTCCCGGATTTAAATACTCTCATTCTTTGATAATTCGCAAAGATAACATGCTTCGTTATTTTCCACCACTTACTCTTACGTTAAGCACATAGTTTTTTTTTCATTTTTAATTTAAAAAAAGAGATATAGAGAGAACACGGGGTACAGCTGCCTGTAAGTTTTAGAGATACAGGCAACGAGAGAGATGGATTTCCGATAATTCCCTCTGTCTCTGTTTAACTAAACGGCGATTGGCTATCGTAAAGTAGGCATGATTTTAATCTTTGAAAAAAATTCTCCAGGCAACCAAGCCAAAAGATTTATTATTATTGCAAGATTGGGACTCTTCTCCTCTCTATGTTTAAGCCCATGTGCCTGTCTAGCAAAAAGTTGTTATAGATAGTTCAACTCAGTTGTGCGCAACTCAGTGACGCGGCAGTCGGACGACGACTGCCACACGAATGAAAGTTGTATATTTACTAGCCCACGCACACATAGGGCCGCGCGCACAACTGAGTTGAACTATCTATAATACATATAAGGTGTGATCTTATCATTACCACCCACGTTTTTGATAATTACTTGAACATAAACCGGTTTGCGTAGAATCGACTCAATTCACGAATGGGTCAAATAATATCAATATCTGAGTTGTGCAAATTTAAGTTACTTAGTTGCAGTGGCGGGCTTTGCGATTACGAGATCCCGGGCTAGTAGAACATTACGAGGCCTTGTTTTTGTCAAATTAGTTTTAATGATGATACTTCGAACAAAAATGCCATGCATCACATACTGCTGCTCGAACATAAAAGCATAAGATGACAGTTGACACTGGAACCTGTCAAAATTGTAGGCGAAATGTGAGTTTTATGATGCGAAGCGTAAGGCTCGAATTCAAATGAACATTTTTCTACTTGCGTCGTGTGCGAGTACGCGAGGCCCTTGCTTGAGCAAGGCCCTGGGCAATCCCCCTACTCACTTGTGATTATAAAATGATTTCTTATCATTTTGATCAAGCGAGCCCTTTAGTAGTGGCATATGATGTGTAACATGTGACGTCTTGCTTACTATCTGACGGGTAAATAAATGTTACAAACTTCCGTCCCTTTTCACTCGAAACATTATAAATACTAATAATTTGTTAACTTAACATCAATAATACAATTTTGGTCAGTTTGACAACGCGGTCCATTTGAAAATTTGAGTAATTTGTTTTGTTATTATATTCATGTTTTCATGTCAAGAAATCAAAAGAAAATTACTTCAAAATTGTTATTTCACGCAAGTTTCCGTGTGTGAGTGAACAATTAAACCGGAGTAACTGATGACTGTTGCCTTACCAGTCAATTACCGTATTCTACACTGTTCTACGGTCGCCAGTAGTTTTGGTTTGAAAAGAGTTCAAAATATGTTGCACTTACCCAACTTTCATCTGCTTTATTTTAGGTTAGACTTTATTTTTTATTAATGAAGTTAAAGTTTTAAAATTATGTTTTATTTACAGAAAATTTATTCCGTGATTGTCAAGACTTTATAATCGCAAGTTTATTATTTCGAACCAAGAAAAGTATAATGAACTTTTGAAATTAAATTTTTAATTAAGCACTTACAATTTTAAATGTTATGAGATCTGTAATAAACTTAGTTCTTAAAAGTTTATCAAACGAGGCCTTAAGCTTTCTGTTGATCATAGTCGATTGCTCAAAACAAACAAGTATTTTGTAATATTGAACGTTATATTTGTAATAAAATAATTAAATGTTTAATTATAATTTTTATACCACTTTATAAATATTGATGTAAAAATTATTGGCATTTATTTATTATTGATTCGTAGTTCGTTTTGAAAATAAAGCTTTAACAAAAATATACTTGTGCAAGCTAGTTTATATTCTATATGCATCGCATAAGGATAATATTACATTGGTAGTAACTACATACAGTCAATGTGGTTCTATATCAGTGCGCCAATGATTTAATATTGTTTTATTTAAAGCAATTTGAACTCTCTTATGACTCTATATTTGATTATTACATGCTTATAGGAATAAAACGTCACATCCTTATTCTTACTGAGTTGACTAAGAACAATAAGAATTTGCTTTCATTGTAACCTCTTTAGAATAAATACTTTCGTGTGAAAAGATGTCCCTTATCTTAACTCACGTGAATATTTCGGAGCAATCCGAATAAGGACTCGATTTGAACTCTTAATCAAAGAGTACAGGGACCTATGGTGTTCAAGTGACAATGCACTATACCCGACACCAACACCATCGAACATCCCAAAAGACAGTTTAAAGTTGTCTTAGTCATGGGCCTAACAAGTCTACAAGCAAGTCTAAAGACTTGCAAAGAAACCAGAACTGTCTAAATATCCATGTAGTCGTAGACCATTTACAACTGCTTATTGTATTCATCAGTTATCTGACCAATAGCCTTTCACATCAGCTTTATCTGGTGACTAGAGCCTGTTCAACATCTGAAAAGTATCTCGTAAGCGTTCTGTAGTTATTCGAGTGAATTTCATCCGGACTCCAAGCCCAGGCCGTGTATTGTAAACGACACCACCGAACCACACCACTGGGGTGCTGTTTACAATCTTTTTTTTGTTAACGACACCACCGCTGACTAGTCATGTGTAACGCTAAATAAAATAATTCGTTACGTGTTAATAATTGATATCGATAAATGCAAAAGTCTTGTTAGCACTTCATAACAGTGGTGTCGTTAGCAAAAACAAAATTGTAAACGACTCCCTAGTGGTGTGGTTTAGCGGTGTCGTTTACAATACACCTCTCAGGCTGCCAATCCATTTTAAATACATCGCTATCTTCAGTAATCTTCCGTAGTCCGGTAATCTTGCTTAGCCTATCTTACACGCTCCCGTAAATAATATTTTTTAATAGTATCAAAAATCATGACACGTTCCTAATTTTACACATTAATAAACTTGTAGACCCATCAATATTATAATTGTATTCAGCATTTCCAAATCAGTGTCAATATTTCTTTTATACATGATAAATGATTCCAGATTTCAATTGTACCAGATAAAGTTTTGAAGTGTATTTCTTTGCTTTTACTAAGAATAGCCTCATAATGAATATTTATTGCTCATACGAATATATTTTAACACTGTTTTTTTACATAATATAAAATTGTTATAATTGTGTTGTTTTATTAGTAGTTGAATAATTTTTTATACCGATTGAGTAGAACGTTGGGAAGTAGTCGGCAACTAACATAGGTTTTAAGTCATGGCTATTAAAAAAAGATTACTCATGGCGCCATAGATTACGTCATGTTTATGATTTGTACAAAACATTACCTTTTGTAATCGAGCGGGCAGGTCAACTGATGACCACGAATGCGTGCCGGCCTTCCTTTAGTGCTCCCGTCAGAATTAGGGGAAAAGATACTTTACCAGGGATTTCCTTTCTAGGTTACACCTGGTTCCCCAGTTTTTAGTCGATTTGCGTCCGACATAACCACCTCACTGGTATCCGAGGGGATTTCGAGTGAAAGTATAGTTGTTTCTTCAGTAACCTCATTCACTCGATAAAAAGCCACGAAAGAATTGTTTAACATTGGTTTTCTGTGAGACACTGATTTCACTCCGGTCGAACCGGCCTATATGTAAAGCATGACTCTTCCACGGTTAAAAATTCACTTACACATTCTCCCACAAACGTGGAATGGAATTTCATTCATTCATCCCTTGCGCAGTACGCAAGTATGCAGTCTATGCAGTCATAGAGAAGGAAAACTTGACACAAACCCTATACCAACCCATCTGGTCAGCGTGGCTTAGTAGGTCAAAACCTCCTTTCTAAGGATTGGCCTATGTCCAGCAGAAGACCATTAAAGGCTGATGATGATGATTAAAGCAGGACATTGGGAAAAATGAAAAAATCTTCCACTCACGTCTGGGTTTGCATAACCAGTTTAATAATGCTTTTTTTTACAGCGGCCAGCAGTCGAAATTATAAATGAGTATTGCGACTCCTGGAGGGTAAAACAAAATTGGAGAGCTGCATTGGTTCGGTATGTGTTGCCATTGCAGGTGATGGGAGTAATAATATATTGTCAAAAGTTAATTTAAGTAATGATTAATACACCTTTGATATCAACACATGCCGTTTTATATCACTCTGCCTCATTAGTGTTACTATTTAAAATATTATATTGAAAATACTGAAATTTTGATACCTAGGTTAGATAATATTGTCTTAATAATATAATGTCTTAATAAACAGATATTAGCTTGTTTGAGAGTCAGAGGCTTTCTTATTATAGTTATTGTATAGCCTAAACATTATTTTAATTGTACGTATATAGATAGAAATGGACTTCCTTTACAACTCTCCAGAAGATAAATCATTGCACAAAAGAATACATCATGCTCGTAAGTATTTAGGAAGAAATTAGGAGGGACTAGACAGCTTGTTGAGAAAAATATACGCTACCGAAGTGTTGTCACCAAAGTGTTGAGTAAAAAGATAGACTTAGTCTTACAGACATCGACATTTTGAAGACAGGTACTATACATAAATACATGCCCGTATAGGAGCCGCGGGCGGGGGCCTTTTAGACGTCTAGATATTGCCTATTAAAAATTAGGTCCTATTTACGTAATAATAGAGGATATTTTTAAAATTATTCTTAAACTTGAAAGTTAATTACTTTAAAATTAAGAGGCTACCGTTCGGACAGGTTCAAGTTCGCTCAATTGTGACTCGAAATCCGACCCCTCTAAGAGAAAACTGATTAAATATACCTACATAATAAAATAATATTGATAATATACAATATTTTATTAGCATGTGAATCAGTATATAAATACATAATAATATATAAGTGGCGGTCTATGTCTCCATAGAATCTTCGTTTGATGGCGCAGCTACTACGAGGGGGCGAGATCCGAAACAATTTGACACTGAAATTAAAATGAAACGTGTTGGTAGTTTGTGGAGAAAAAAAAGACTAACATAGTACTGAAATGTTATTGTACGACGTCTAGTACTTAGCAGCATGTAAGTCCTCATTTAAAGAGATAATTTACATTATGACCTTAGATGGTTTATATTTATAGATGGAGTGTAGCGCTATAAAACATTTTAAGCAAATGGAACAACTTAATTATGCTAGTGAATATTTATGGTGGCAGCCACAGCCGAAAAAACTTAGTGGCCAACAGTTGGACACTATTTTTTTTCGACGTTTTCACAGCTTTCAAACTCTATCTAAATAGCTGAGATCAAGGATTTAAGCTTATAACCTCTTTAAATGTTTTCTTTCAAAGTTCTTCTTATTATTATGTACAGAAAATTCCTAAAAGATGAATAGTATTCCAAAATGAACTCTGTATATGTATAAAAAGAGCGTATACCCTGTTCGTTGAGGTTAAGGTCGAGGACTTCGATGCAGCACTGCTTGTTGTCGCCGCCCACCGCCACGCAGAGCGGCGCGTCCGGACACGCCGCGGCGCACAGCGCCGACCCCACGCGGCACGCGCGCGCGCTCACCTGCACCGGGCCCGCCGCCCTGCCCCACGACAAACCACTTTACGCATCCAAAGAACACAGCATCAACGAACGCAGCGGCGTGATATACACCTAGTCAATTTTAAGTGGGGCAATTAGAAGGGTGTGTAAGTAAAAATGGAAGGCAATTGAAAAAAAGGAATATTGCTCATACGAAAGTATTCTCGAGCAGGTCAGCCTGCCTGTTAAAGGAAATTGGAACCCTGAAACCGTCAAGTCTAACTCGAGAACGCCTTCATCAAAGGGAAAACGACAATTCTACTTAAATTATCTCTTCTAAACACCTAAACTATACAGAATTAGAAATAAAAGGACTAAATAAGGACTCTCCCTATTAAGTCAGCACCATAGCATTTTTCTTCTAATATCAAAATTGTCCCACTGAGATACGAATAGGTAGAACAGAAGAAAATATACCCCATCATTCCTAGTTTCAAGAGTGTGGCTATAAGTTCGCAACAGCAGGAAATCACGTCACCTGTACAGATGGTATTACTCACTTAACTGGTAGAGATAAACCACAAAAAACCCTACTCGAATTCTCTAAACAGAAAAACCATTAACAGAGCGGAGTTACCCCAAATTCCGCTTATTTAATACCCGCCATATTGCAAAAAGCGACAGTCACAGGAGTGTTGTTACTTTAACTCCAAACTGTCTAAGGAAACACGTCTATAATTATATACTTCTATTAAAAAGAAACAAGTACTTTGACTTAACATAGGAAATAATTAAAAATGGTTATTTCGTTGCGTTGTATAACGTGGAAGTGGGTGCGAGGGAAATACCAACTAAATCTCTCTATCACCTGCTTAAAGACCTTGGATTGCCAAGAGCTTCAGTAAGCTCTTTTCTAGAACGAATATCCAAAACGTCATTGCTAGGCTCATATCAAATATGGTTAGGTACAGGTGGTGACACAGCAGACGGTGGAGGTGAGAGCTAACGAGTCGCAAGTCGGTACTCCCTAAACCCATTCCTGGGTGGCAATTCCCAGGCGCGGAAGTACGAAGTCACATGTGTTGCCCCATCTATCACGCGATGGACCAGGCACCCGCACGGTAAATCCATGGAACGCTAAGAAATAAGTCTTCGGTTGTCAGAACTCGTACGAAGATTGAAATATAAAACCCGCAGTTACCTTTTTGTCTTACTTCATCTCAGTTCCAAAATTATTTATTCCACATACCTCGATATATCCCATGTTTTTAACTTTTCATCCATGCTGACGGTGACCATCAACCCTGGGACTTGATCACTTAGTATTAAACCTGTAAATATAAAATTTATTTTATTTAAAAATATAACATTTTATATGTTGTTATTGATTAAAATTATACTACAACAACAACATAAGATACAAGTTTTAGTTATCCCCCTCCCTCCCCCATCCTTTCAGGATTAGAGTGAAAGGGGAAGATTAGGCTCCGGTAACTTTACTCAAAAGAATTGTTTAATACCGGTTTTCTATGTGGTTTATCACTTAAGTTAGGACATAGTAACTTACACAAAACAACGAATGTGATACGATATGAACATATACCGGCAGACGACCGGATGGCGTAGTGGTTAGTGTAACGGACTGCAATTCTGAAGGTCACGGGTTCGATTCCCGCTCAAGTCAAACATTTCTGACCATGAACTTTAATGTTTGATTTGGTCTGGGTGTTTCTATGTATATTGTGTATGTATTTACGAAAAAAAAATGGGTTGGCTAGTACCCAACTCTGTACTGTACTCTCCCAACAGTACAAGCTCTGCTTAGTTTGGGACTAGATGGCGTTGTGTGAATGTGGTACAATGTTATTATTATTATATAATTTGAATCTGAAATAGGATTTCATAGCAGTTTTTTTTTCCATTTATTTAGGTAAATAAACAACGACACAATACAAAGTTTTGAATAACATTAAGTATGTGCAACTGTGTCATCAGCGACATTTTAACACAGAGTAGTAAAGTAATATTTATAGGGTTTGAGAACATTGAGAGTTGATAGTTACAAAGTAACATTATGGATATTTATAGTAGCTTAATATTTTATATTAATTAAAATTAAGGCTTTCCAGCAAGAGTTTTTTAAAAGAACTAGGACGCGTTGCCATAAGATCAATAGTATGAAAATGTTTGTATTTACCTGTAACTTCTTTCTCGTGTGCATCGATTGTCCACAAAGGTTCGTCTTGTCTACAATCTACATACGCCACTTTGCCAGTGTTGTTAGCCATCTGGAAAAAAAAACAAGGTTACAGTCGAGTAATACTTTATTCGTTTTTTTTAATGGAGATGATTTGTAACAAGTTATTAGAGTAATTCAGATTTGATCAAAGTCTTTGTTAGTGTGATAGCTACATACTTACCTGGCAGTGCACACAACTCGGTCTGAATAAAATATGTCCCTTACAAACCATAATCTCCTATTTTAAAGTGTGCTTGTAAAGTTTTTAAGAGAAAATTAGTTGTGGTTTGATTTTTCCAAATGTTCTTTTACATTTCTTTTACATATATCATTGGTTCAATCTATATATATATATATATATATGAGATTTCCACGTATATAGTGTCACTCATGACGATATCTCTGGAACCATTAGAGGTAAAGACTTGAAATTTGGTAGGAATATTCTTTTCACCGAGTAGAGGTCAGCTAAGAACGGATTTTAAAAAAAATATTTTTTTTTTTATTAAATAATGTAAATAGCAAAACAACGTTTGCAGGGTCAGCTAGTGTAGATATAAAATTGTATCAGGAAGATAGATTTGTATAATGGATCAAGGAACAGCATTTCCTGTTCCTTAATAAGGCATTACTGTTTTTTTTTTTTTCTAACTTACTACATCATCATTAACATTTAATAGTCCACTACTGGACATAGTTGTTGGTAGGTTACTAATTGCTAACTTACTACAGGTAAGCAGTAATCAGTCATCCTCAAGTACTGAATTTTAGAATGGGAAAACTGTTTTTTTTTAACTTGGTAACTTTAACTTGATTTAGAAATAACTTTAATGATACGAATTGCAACAAATAAAAATTACAAAGCTGTGCTTAGAAATTGCAAAAAAAAAAGGTAAGCTATTAAGACGGCATTCCACTTTATCCTTGGTTCTAGTAAAATGATGACAAACAAACAAAAGTATGATAACACTATAATGTTAAGCACTGACCGCGAAACAGAAGGGGTTCTGTCGGTCCCACACGACGCGCTCTATCTCAGGGCCGAGCGCCCAGGCGCGGTGCGCGTCGGGCGCGCGACAGTCCGTGACGCGCGCGCGCCCGTCGCACGCGCCGCTCAGCAGCGTCTGCGCCTCCAGCGGGTGGAACGACAGGGACTGCACCTATGGGACAATCGTTACACATCTCTTTCTCTTTTCAAATTAAAGACAACTAGGAATAAATCCTGTGTCGCGGCGGACTTTACGAACACACATGAAACTGACACAAAAAAAAACCCAGACTCGGAACAACAATTTCTTGATCACACAAAGTGACGTCTCGTGTGGGGATCGAACACACAACACTCAGCGCAGTACGCAGTGGCAAAGTGACCGCTTAAACCACTACGCCAACCTTGGAGTCGTCGCCATCTAGCAAAAAGGCATCACTGAGACTGTTATAATGTTAGTGAAGTTCTGTTCGAGCGAAGTCATTTAATAATAAACGGTGAAGAAATATCACAGGCTTCTGACTAGTTCTTACTAGTCAGAAGGAGAATTATTAATACAGCTGTCACCGCAAAGTTAACCTACTCAATGTTTGATTGAATTAAAGATTCTTCAACTGCAAATCCATGAGATATGTTTACAGTTTCAGATGACACAATAAATAGTTCGAACATTGTTTAAACATTGGTTCCAAGTTCATACACACGATTACCACAATATATTGCTCTAAGTTCAGTGGAACAGTCATTTAGTTATGGCTGTTGTTACAAACCGATAAAAAACAAAATATTCGTCACCAGAGTAATAAGCTTTCAATATTAAAAATTCTTTCAATTTATTTCTAAATGACTGTATATTTTCTGAATTTAGAATACATTTGGGCAGCTTGTTATAGATTTTAGGTGCCATGACAAATATGCTTTTGTGATATAGGGCGGTTTTAGCTTGGACCATTGGATATAGCTAATGAAGTGTTAATATTTGTTGAAAGTACTAGAATCATTCGAGTTTTGAGCCGTTTTGTAATCATAGTAAAAAAAAGCTCGAAACTTCTACAGAATATTCAATAAATATTTGTATATTTTTTTTAACCTGATCTAGTTATGTGTATAACGGTTAATATAGCGCCACCATAAAAAATGTAATGTTAGATCGTTTCTATCACACATAATTATATAATCTTCGCAATGCTCTATTGAGATATAAAGAAAAAAAAACTTACTTTATCTTCGAAGTAGTCTAACTTAGTGTGTGGTGTGCCCTGATCCAAGTCCCATAACAACACCGTATTGTCTGCTGATCCACTCGCCATCACATGCCTACAAAGTTATTTGTGTTCGTTATTGAGAAATTATTCTTAAGATCTCTAAGCTGTTAAGTTTATTTTCCGATTAAATCAAAAATCATTTGTCTATACCATTCCAATTTTTTCTTTTTTTTTTTAAAAGACAACTCCCGCACTAGGAATAAATCCTGTGTCGCGGGGGACTTTACAAACATACATGAAACGGACACAAATAACACCCAGACTCAGAACAACAATTTGTGAATCACACAAAGTGTCGTCCCATGTGGGGATCGGACCCACAACACTCAGCGTAGTAGTGAGCGGCGTGGCGACCGCTTAAACCACTACGCCATCCGTGCAGTCAATGTTACCTAACCAATTTTGTTAACATGGTCATTTGTCTTTCAAGAAATGCTATTACCTTAAAACTAATAACTTTGATTCTACGCACACACGCACAGCGTACGTAAATCGTACGAACGTACACCCGATACAGCTATTACACCGTAAAAACCTACCCGAAATTCTTATTCCATGACAGATCCAGCACAGCCTCCTTATGTCCAACACGTTTAGTCTTTTTCTTTTTATTCGGCTTTTTCCCAAGTTTGAATGCTGGCTCCAAACAATTCTCAATATCTAAATCCCATACCTGGATCACTGGGTCCATACCACCTAGCGCACATAGATTTCCTAAAACGAATTTTTTTTTATTAAATAAATAAGAAACCATAAAAAACGAATGTATTTAAGAAAAATTCTTAAAAATTATGACCATACCTGGATTTGGATCAGTGGGATCATGGCTCAGCCACTCTATGCACAGGGGAAACCATGGCAGGATGATGTCGTGATGAACGTAGAACGAATCCTCATCCTTATTGTATACTGGAATAAAGATGGAACATAAATACTATAGCAAAAATGTTCAAATTTTATTATCCCTAGAAAAAATAAATTTTTAGAGTGCCCTACTTTCCCGCCACAACAAATTTGACATATAGGTATGCAACACTTCATACAATAGAGTAATATATCCTTCTATTTACTACATTCTCATAAGTTTCTTATCTTTAGCCTCAAAAGTTGCCAGTTTAAAACACTAAGCTTATTGTGTGACTTGGACCAAATTACAGCAATTAAAATTTAGGTGTTTAGTACCTCAGCCTAGCTTTTCAAGAATAGAAGTATAAGTTAGATTTTGTAAAATGTGTTCAGCGTTTGTTTGTGACAAAAAAATCCTTCACCAACATGATAATCTTCTCCCGGTCACCCTGCCTGAGGGCATTGTAATGATTTTCAGACGATTTAATGTAAATTTGGAAGGGAAACATGTCTGAGGTAGCTTGCAGAAAACATATTGTCCTTTAGTTGGAGAAGTCACTACCACAGGGCCGTTATAAAAATCCAAATGAGTAAATACTTACTATATACTTCTAAAACACTAGCATCACTCTCAACATGACCAACCAATAGAAGGTTGTCATTAGGCTTGATTATATCATCCTCTTCATCACTGTCTGGCCCATCTGTCTAAACAGGAAAATGGTTTTAAATAATACCGTAAAAAAAAAAGATTTTATAAACCTCATGTATGTTTTAAATAGGTGGATTTAATGCCCACGGCATTCTTTTGCAGTTTAGTAACACTATGGTGATGTAGAAATGCTATATGCCAGGTACAAAGATATATTTTATGTAAATTATATAATCTTTAATATCATTTTCTTCATCAACAGCCTTTTGTAGTTCACAGCTGGACAGAGACCTCTCCTTGGTTGAATTGAATTTTTTACCCACTAAAAAGTTGTCTAAATTTTGGAAAAAGTAATAGTCGGTAGGTGCAAGGTCTGGTGAGTACCTTTAAAAGTAAAAAATTCAATTCCCGAGAGGCAGTACAAAATGCCTTTGAAGAGTTTGTGCCCGTCCAGCTGATTTTTACAAGAAAGGCATCAATAAACTGCCAATGCGTTGGTAAAGATGAGTCGATTGCATGGGTGATTACTTCGAATAATAGAAATAAAAAAGTTTGAAAAAATAAGTACCTTCACTTATTGCATACAAAACGGCAATTTCATTGGTAAAGACCTATTCTCTGTTAAACTTATATACATTTATATGTGGAAAAGATTGTCTTTCTTACCCTGATCTGTACAGTTTCACTGAGGTCTCCTAAATTGGGGAGTGTAGCCACAGTACCAATGCCGATGGGGTTCCCGACTGCAGAAACAAACATATTAAATATATAGACACCAGAAATCAATGATAATTTGCAAGGGCACAATTACACAGCTTAGCCGCATCTAAACTATATTATTTCATTTTGTTCTACTTGGACTAAACTGTGGACTTGAACCTTCTTTCATAATAAAAATTTAAGTTCTAAATTGCACTTTTATGTTTGTTGTTTATCCACTAGTTGTTGAAGAGTCCAACCATTAGTTAAAGATACTTTCTATCAAGGATTGATGTTTAGATCCTTTAAATCGTCAAATATTGTAACGGATATTGGAGTTTCTGAAGCATATTATGCTGACTATAATACGCTATCTAAATTCAAAGGTCTATGAACAATAATTGACTACTAGATTCACAAGTTGTAAGTAGTAATAGTTTTGGTTTTTAACAGTTCTTTAAATTAATGCACTGCACAGATGGCATAGTGGTTTAAGCGGTTTACGTAGTTTGATATACATTTTATAAACTGACAACAGTATATCTGTCCCGTTTATATTTTCGGGATGCTCAACTGGTTTCCGACTCAATGACTGCATGGATGATGTAGTGGTTTAAGCGGTCACCACGCGCTCTTTCCTACTGCGCTGAGTGTTATGGCCATCCCAACATGGGACAACACTTTGTGTGTGATCCACAAATTGTTGTTCTGAGTCTGGGTGTCCTTTGTGTCTATTTCATGTATGTTTGTAAAGTCCCCCGCAATACAGGATTTATTTTCAGTGCGGGACTTAGCTTTAAGCAAAAATTAACTGAGTTATCAAGACCCCAAAAATCATAGTAAATAAAGAAACATACTATTGTCTTCTTCGTCATAATTTTCAAAGTTAAACTCATCATTTGGATTGACTGGAGCTGACGGTGCTGCTGCAGCCTGACCTTCTTCATCGCTTACATCATCACCGGCCTCTGTTAATCTAGAAATTATATTATTTTTGTAAGTAAATCTTTTCAGATATTTTACAAAAGGTATTCAATTAAAATAAAATGCGCTTTAAAGTTGCTCATACATAAAAAAGTAAAATAAATAAACTAAACAAATATTGCCAGCAGAGAGGTACATTTATTTTATGTGAACTTCTTTATTGAGGTTCTGGTTCAAATAAATTTAAGAAGGTTATGTATAAGGTCTAAACCTCCTTTCTAAGGAGAGGCTTACGTCCAGCAGTGAACTATTAAAATCTATTGATGTGCTGTGTAAGCTTTGAGAAGTTAAAAGACAAGTTTAAACTAGATCACACCTCCTGCACCTGTTCCATTTAGGAATCGAATGTTTCACCGCTGCAGAGTTGTTTGTTAAAGATGTTAAGCTCTATTATGCAACTTCAAGTAATATGAGTGTCATATATTAGCTAAATTGTTATAATCCATACTAATATTATAAATGTGAGTGTGTCTGTCTGTTTGTCCTCTTCATGCTTAAACTCGCTGAACTGATTTTGATGAAATTTGGTATACAGACAGTCGGAGTCCCAGGAAGAGACATAGGGTAAAAATAATCCTTTAAGAGGGTGAAAAGGTAAGTGCAAGTTTGTATGGGGTTCAATAACCACTGAACCGATTTTGATGAAATTTGGTATGGAGATACTTTGATTCTCCAGGAAAGACATAGGCTATTTTTTATTGCGATAACATTTACGCGGGCGGAGCCGCGGGCAAAAGCTAGTCTACTGATATACGTATCAAATACAACACATGGAAAAACATAAACATCACAAATTTGGTCAAGTAATCAGAAAACCTATGAGCTACATAATAATATCATTTCTATTCTTAACATACCTTAAATCATTAGCTGTTTGTTTAATTATCTTCTCTAATTCTTTCTCTGTCAGTTCAATCTGTAATGTAAATAAAACATAAATAAATATTTATGGTATTTATAAAACATAAATAATTATTATAGTATTTTTTACATGTTTAAAAATGTTATTGCACCTTTTCTGGCACTGCTTTAGCTACACCACGGCGAACAAAATGCATACACGAAACTAAACTAACGGTCGGTGTTTGCTCGTCCATTGTAATAGAATTTATTTTCTGATAATTGAAAGATTTTAAAAATATTAATATTATATTATACTTCAGACTACAAAAGCGGTCACATGGGAATTCCTCATGGTATTTGACACAATTGACGTACAGACGTACACTGACTGATGACAACAGCCAACAACTGTTGCCAACAGTTTAATTAAATCTCCACCAGATTCGACATCTAAAACTACCAGAAAACCACCAACAAAAACGGCCCTACTCTAATGATCGCTAAATTTTCCACTAAACTTTTTTAGCTATACGAAAGAAAATAATAATAATAATATAATAAGGTTTCCTTTTTTTTTTCATACAAAATACCAATACTAACAATCAATAAATTCACAATTTGTTTGTTAATTTTATTTAATAAATCAACAAGTCAAGATCAGGAACATGAAAAATATTCAGAAACAACAATGAATTCTCTTAGTCTTCACCATCATCGTTTTTACAGATTAATACGATTCTTTGATAAAGATTTGTTTTATAACGTTGATTGGAACTTCATTATCGTTGAAGCATTTGCCTTTCAAACTCGAATCACAGCGTATTCTTAAAATAGCAGATAAAAGGTTTAACTTCATTTTATTCCTGTGTTTTTTTATTACATTCAGACTGCCAAACTCTCTAAATATCGACATATGAATGAGGCAGGCAGTGTTAAGAAAGTTATAGCAAAAGTCGCTAATTCCTCGAATTCCCTTGGGCATCTTTAAACTGCAATACTTCCAGTATGTAGAAGTTCCGTAACACGTTAAACATGGGCAGACAACAACAGACCAAGCTTTGAACGAACATTGGTTTGAATGATATCAATCTTCATTTTTTTCTGCTACTCAACTGGATCATCAAACCAGGAGTAAGCCCAGGCTCAATATTGTCAACTTTTAATTTTTGCTGATACCTTCTGGCTACATTAAAAAGATCATCCCGTCAGCCCGTTTTAATGAAATAGGTTGTGAGTTGTGATGACGTTAGCCATATTATGATACCACCCCGGATTGTTCCTCTTTCTCTGTAACAAAGCTTACATAATTTCATTGCCTAAAATTAATAATAATTCTCTTCATGAGCACTTCCATACTTTCTTTTCTATCAAAGATTCTTGAGGTTTCAGTACACAAACAGCTCCCTCAGTTCATCTTTCAACACCGTCCTCGTCCTCTGCAATCTTACTGCTACTACTGGGGACTACTGGGGATGACACCACCAGTTTTAGTGGAAAATCCTTTATGCTAGCAACACTTGCAGCTAACTCATCAAATCTTAGATTGAATATCTGGTTGATATACTCTCAGAATATCAGACCACACACCATGTCACAAAATAGTAAAATTAATTATAATGTATTAGCTACGCCGCAAGTTTTATTTAATAATATTCAAGTAAAACTAATTTCAAAGGTCTGGTGTTACTGTTAAAATTATAGTACATGAACGTATAAAAGGAAACCTCGTCACATTTCACTTTGGTGTGGCATCAGCAACTTCTGCAGGTTTAATGTGTTTATAGATCTTCTCTTTTAAAATCTCATCAGCGAGTCAGTTCCTGTTGCTTGAATGCAATGTCGATTACTTGCTACAAAGATATAGCTCTCTTGTATAACTGCGTAGTTCAGTTAAACATGCTTACTTTTAAACATTTATGCCTACATCCCAGAATTGGTAGGCCATAATATTAAAGTTGACTGTGGGCCTAGCTTGAATTCTTCAATAAAAACAAAAAGTAATTAAGTACAAAAATGTGTATCAATGGCAGGATCTACTTAGGGTCTTAAATTTAAAAAGGTAATCAAACCAAAAGTACTTAGCTGAGATTGGTAGCTGGTAAGTCAACCGAGAGCATAGCCATAGAGAAAATTTAAGAATAGAGCTCGTATGGGATGCCTCACCTTGTTGCACGCAGAGGCCCTCTTTATCTCAGTGAGAGAGAGATAGAGAGGGGCCTCTGAGTGCAGCGATCTCTCTCACACCACGGGCACCTCAAAGCATTGGGTTAGGTGGGATTGGCGTGCTCTGTTCTTATAATATGTCTATGAGCATGACGGATATCATTGAGTGGGATAGGCCGCCATGACACTTAGCACTTAACATACACATATAGGTGGAGCTGTTTCCGAAAAGAAAGCGTGAAAGGGGCAACGGAATCGTGTCGTAAATTCCAGAACGCATGTACGAGTACAATCATAAAAAAACATAAAAGCCAAAAGATTTATTTCATGTAGCATATCACTTAGAAATTGAGACTAGGTGATCCTCAGAGCAAGTACTTCAAACTTTTTTTTATTTTATTGTCAGAAATTATTCAATATTTGGTTAATTATACAGGTTAATTATACTGCAAGCTCGGATCGCGTTGGGTGGCGCTCACCAGATGGCAGATCATTAGCATTAGACCCTATCAATTGTTAATGTCAACGTCAAAAAAATATAAGGAAAGGAAATGTTTTGGATCGTTTTGGGAATAACGGCCTAATTTTGGGGTGTCCGTATCGAATAATTGACTGTATATTGTGTTGCTGATTTGAATAAAGAATATGCCCTCAACTTGTGTTGTGCCATTCTGTTCCGAAAGATCTGGTGGTCATAAGTTTCCGCGCGACAAAATCCTCAGGGAAAAGTGGATTCTAGCTATTCGTCGTGTTAATTTTCAACCTTCCGAATACTCAAAAGTTTGTAAAAAGCATTTTAAAAAAGAAGATTACAGATTGCCAAAGGAGTCTACAGTGAAATATCGTAAGTACAGTATTTGTGCGGTTGCGCCTACCATACATACGTTTTTTAAAATCTTTGTTGTATCTACAGATTATATATTTAGATACTTCAATGTGCCCATTATTTAACTATCTTATTTGTTTCAGCTGCTCATGTCTTAAAAAAAGATGCTGTACCATCAAAATTTTCATGGAATGAGAAGAGTTTTAAAGCTCAGAAAGAGAATAATGGAGAGAAGAGAATATTGTAATAACTTATTAGTTATAACTAACTGATAGATTTGTAATGTATACTAGCTACTATTGACTTTGTTTTATGTCAATAGCTATTGGTTACAATTCTGACTTTTTGCAAGATAGGTTTAGTTCAATTAAGTAAAATCTAGGTTTGGCACCTTATTCCCTATACTCTATAATGGAATACAGTGTTAAAACAGTTGTGTATTATTAGTTAAACAATAAAAATATCTTTTGTAGTTGTAGAACAAGTAATCACTGTCTAATACTTCTTACAAAGAACTGTTAAGATTGATTAAAATTCTTTTGACTTCCGTCAGAACTAATAATGAATTACTGAACTTTACTTTTAGATTAGGTCAGAGATGTTCAGTACTGCAATGCAAGTCTGGCTCTTCGAAGAACATCATACTTCATTCATGTCCAAATCAAGAAAGTGTTCGAAAAAAATGGGCTGAAGTCTTTAAAGTTAACCGGGAAGTTGTTAAAAACATGCTTATATGCAGCCAGCATTTTTTAAAAACAGATTACATAAACTCAAGTATGTACATGTTTTTTTATTTTTGCAACGTTGGAGTGGGGTTAATACATTGCAAACCTTTCTTGTTTTATTGTTCTAGAAAATGGAGAGTGTGGATTATTAAAACAAAATGCTGTGCCCTCCCAGAAACTTCCACGATCTACCAGAATTATAAATATGAGAAAAAAAGTGTTCCATTCTAAGAAAAAAACATTGATTAGACCAAAGCCACCAAAAAGGTTTGCTAATTATGTGTTGCATTTTTTTTAATTTTCTAATTATTTATGATTTTTTAACAAAGGAATATTGTAACTTATTTTTCTAAAGGGCTATGCATAGGTGACACACTTCGTAGGTACATGCATCGGTGCAACTTGACTTGACCTCGCACCTTGTGTGTCTTTATGCTCCCTTCCCATAGATTAAATGCAAAAATAAGTTTAATAATCCTTGTCTAGAAAGAAAATATATTATATACTATATTAATATAAAAACAGTAATGTTAGTTGTTGTTGTACAGTTTAATACTATTTGCTGACCACTACTGTTAGTGGGACTGATAATTAGATCAAACAATCATAGTAACCCCTAGTAGACTCTTTCTAGTAATAACTGTATTTACAACATTCATCTTGTAGTGAAATGACTGCCCTATTTGATAATGTATTATGCCTTATTTATGTGTATTGTTGATTATGTGCTTTATGATGCATTTACATTTACATTTAGCCATAGCCTATTATCGTTTTTTTACATTATTATCTATGGCATGTTGGTTTTTTTAGTATAGATAAAAAAATACGTGAAGCTAAAGTTACATTTGCATAATTGCATTTACAGTACAATTTAGGACATAGGACACAGTATTGGACAAGACGCTCATATCACGACTATGGGGCTGTAAGGAGAGTTCCACTTAGTTCCATATTCGACTAATGCATTTAAAATGATTCGACTATCGGAAATAGAGTTGTTTCTTCTTTCTGTTCAGTCGAACAGAGCATCATTCAATCATTCGGTCATAAGCCTGTGACAGTTATAGAGTTGTCCTTGCTCTTTCATTTTACACTATGTCTATCTATCCGTGATTTTTATACATTTGTGTACTATTGAAATTTCGTAAATAGAATTGAATTAAGTAAAACAACGAAATATATATTTTTTTAAATACGCTAAACGAGTTCAAATGAGTAGTGAATGAATGTGATATTAAGTGATATAATACATGAAACAAGTTTGCGTTCTTACTACCTCTACTGTAAAACCCCCATTTGACAAGGTTTTTCGTAGGATATTACGACAAAGGAATCCAAAGTGTATTTTACATTAGAAAGTGATTCTTTTTTCCACAAAATTATGATTATCGAACTATAAAACTTGAGTGCATTTTTATCTATTATCGTTAACAAAACTGTACGTCAAATGTCATCCTAATTGTCAAAGATTTGCAATATATTTGAATTTTCGAGTGCTTTATTTTTATTTATTTACATTTTTGAAATGCTACAGGGCCGAGAAAATGAAGGAAGTGATAGATGAGGAATTAAATGTAAATCAAAAGGAGGAAATTCATGAATGTCGTGCGTGTTTAAAGAAGATGGAGAATAATGCAAGTACATGTAACATATTTCAAAGCTGGGTTCCACCTTGGACTGGTATGGAAGCAACAATAGCCGAAGATCTGGCGAAATTAGCGAATGTTGAGGTAAGAGCAGTATGGGAACGCATAATTAAACTTGTTTTTCGTTTTTGAAATGTGTTTCTCCTCTATGGTTTGTCGAGATCGAGATTAATACGCTTCATATTGAAATTAGGAGTTACGGGTTGCGAATGCGATTATGGTTATTTTAATCTCAAACAATTGTTATTGTAGCATCTGTTTCTTGTTGATTCTATCTCATGCTTAAAAGTGCTGCTGTTAGTAAACTAAATTAGAAAAATTAGATGTGAAGTCAAAATGGTTATTTCATACAAATATAAATCTACAGAACCAACTATTTACATCAATAGATCAGTATTAAGGGTCAACCTTAATACTGATCTATTGATTTGATTAAATAGTTAGTTAACTGTCTGATTGAGTAAACTGTATAATATATTACTGTTTAAAACAATAGGGTATATTCACCTAAATCATTAAATGTAGCATTTAAAGTACAGAATGAATTGCCCTCCATTATCAATACATTGTCATTTTTTTTGGTATATCCAAATTTACATGTAAATTAGCCTTAGTATATCTTACAAAAATGTACTGTATTTATTGCTACAGATTTGATTTGACAATTGAATTGATAGTCGTCTACCATTAACCAGTTAGGGATAAAGGCCCGCTCTTTCTCATTCCTGGTGCAAAGGATGACTGTTGCAATTTCTATGAGGCAATACTACTAGTGGCATGGGCACCTTTGCAAGGGCAGTGTTGCGGGGTGGATTATTTAATTTGACTTGGATTGTATTGTATATTGGATTGATTGTTTTAAAAATCTTAAAAATCTAACACACCATATTTCTGTTAAAAAATTTGTATTCATCAACATGTACCTTCTTAAATGTGGGATAGTCACTTTTGTCTTTTTCCAAATTAGGAGGAGAGAGATAAAACTCAAAACTCGAACTCTCTTTATTTCATAAAATTTTTAAAATTGTTTGAAATTGTCTTTTATGTAGACTCTAAACTGACGGACGGACAGACGACAGTATGGCATAGTGGTTCGTGTAACGTGCTATTCCAAAGGTCGCAGGTTCGATTCCCGCTCAAGTCAAACATTTGTGTGCATGAACATTTAATGTTTGATTTGGTCTGAGTGTTTCTATGTATATGTATGTATGTATTTACAAAAAAAAGGATATATGTATTTATAACAGTTGTCTAGTAGCATGGTACAAGCTCTGCTTAGTATGGGACGAGATGGCGTTGTGTGAATGTAGTAAAATATATTATATTATATATTATTATACTGAGAGTTTATCGCACCCCTATTGCTCTACTGTTCCAACACTCACTAAGAACTTGTATGTTTCCCTCTCTTTGGAAAAAAGCGCACGTCATACCTATTTACAAGAAAGGTTCCAAATCTCAAATAGATAATTATCGCCCTATCTCCATTTTAAACTGTGTAGCCAAGGTTTTTGAGAAAATAATTTTTATTAATATTTACCCAGTTGTTAGTCTTGGCATTCCAGAATTTCAGCACGGATTCATGCAAAGACGTTCCACGGTTTCAAATTTGGCTTGTTTCACAGATTATGTGGTAGGCGAAATGGAAAATTGTGGCCAGGTTAACGTGGTCTTCACAGATTTTGAAAAGGAATTCGACCGTGTAGACCACGGCATCCTGTTACGTAAGCTGTACGCGTTAGGTATTCACGGTGACCTACTTAGGTGGGTTGAATCGTACCTAACTAATCGCTCTCAGGCTGTTGTATTGGGTGGGTTTAAGTCTGACTTTGTATCTATTCCCTGTGGCGTTCCCCAGGGATCGCACCTTGGCCCTCTCTTCTATAACGCCTATATTTTTGACATAATCTACCACATCAAGCACTCACATTACATACTCTACGCTGATGACAAAAAGATTTACACATCCATCAACTCCGTATCTGACTGTGTCTTGCTTCAAGAGGATCTCGACTCTTTATTCAGGTACTACGCTAAAAATAATATCACGGTTAGCATCAAGAAATGTCAAACTGTATATCCTTTACCCGTAAAAGATATCCTATCATTTACCAATACAGTTTTAACGGCGTTGCAATCGAGAGGGTCAAGGTTGTGCGAGACCTGGGTATACTTTTGGACTCGGAGATGTCCATGTGTCCATGTGGCAGCACATTGATGCTATATGCAGCAGATCATTTCGCAATCTCGGTTTTGTCCTAAGATCTTGCCTACCTTTCAAGAGTTTGTTGAGCTTAAGTGTTGTTTATATTGCTTTTGTTCGTAGTTTACTGGAATACGGTTGTCAGATATGGTCTCTCTGTTATGCGATACACAAAGGCAGTCTGGAGCGCATCCAGAAAAAGTTTATAGATTACCTTAATTTTAAATTTCGTCACAGCTTACATGATTACAGAAAAAAGTGTCGTATTTACAATCTACTAACTCTCGAGGAAAGGCGTATTCTGATGGATATGGGGTTACTCTATGACATTTTGCGAGGACGGATCGATTGTCCTATGCTTTTAAATAATATTAAGTTTCATGTACCCAAGAAACGCACTAGACACACTACACTATTTTGCACTTCATTTCACTCGACTAATTACGGTAGAAATGGTGTAATATCACGTTTACTCGACTCTTATAATGAACACTTTAATAGTGTGGACATATTCATCGGTTCTAAGGATAATTTCAAAAAACGAGTTTCGCTTAAATTACTATCATCATAGGCTTTCTAAAATGTCAACATCATTGCACTGAATGGCTGGTTTTATAGGTTTCTAGATGATATAAATCTTTTAATGTATTTATTCAATTAAATTTTTGTCCCATATTTATATATTAGTATGTGTTATTTATTTCAGTTATTTATTATATTTCATATTTTACATCTATTCACCCATCTTTTCAAGGTTTACCAATCAGTTTTAATATTATGTATTGTTGTTAGCATATTTATCCACTCTATGTATCTACCGTGGATAACTTTTATTGGCTACTCATGTAATCATAGTTTACTACCTAGTTAAGAATTGCAGCTGTTGTTATCCCTAAAAAAATAAAAATAAAATAAAAATTAACTTATAGATCAACACACACCAAAGCAACAATCTCTGTTTTGTCAAATAGTAAGCAAAAAAAATTTAAATTTAAATGAGATGACTTAATATAACTGTTTAATGTTTTTAGGTATTTGAAACTGACCTCCATTCTAAAATCATATGTCAACCGTGTTACTCTAAGTTACTTGAAGCATCAACCTTTGTTGCCCAAGTTAGGGATAGTGATCAAATACTAAAGCAACGGTATACTACGGAACTAGAAAATACAGAGAAAGTGTGGCCGAAACCGATACAAGTGGATAAAAATGTCAATAGTAATGTTTATCAAGATATGGATGTAGAAATAAAACAGGAAATTGTTTCGGATGATGAGTACTGTCAGGTTCCAACAGAGAATACATATGCACCAGAGAATAATGAGTACTGTCCTGTATCAGCAGAGAATTCATATGCTCCAGAGAATAATGAGTACTGTCCGGTATCAACAGAGAATTCATATGCACCAGAGAATAATGAGTACTGTCCGGTATCAACAGAGAATTCATATGCACCAGAGAATAATGAAGCAGCCTTAGGCCATTTAGATATAAAAATTGAACCTGAAGAGATTGTTGAACCGCTACCCTTTGTTGAACTCCCACCGTATGAAGAGGGTGCTCCTTATGGTGATCCACCACCCTTAACAATAACTATTAATGGTAAGTGTGTTATATATTCTTTTATATCAGTATTGTCATTGTTATTTTTTGTTTTGCTTCTTGTTTTCCAGGCAAGTTTATTCCCTAAAATCTTTATTTTTATTAGTCTATTTAATATATAAATGGAAATATTAGTCAAATGATGCCATCTAAACTGATGAATATGCCAACAAACAGGCTTCATTTTTATTTAAAAAAATTACAACTATCTTATTATAGTTGAATCAACCACAAAAATATACTTTGTCCTTTAACCGTCAAGGAATTGACTGAGGTGTATTAAACACGAATTAACCACTAATTAAATTCTATACAGGCACTATGTCCCTTAAATCACCAAATGGAGAAAATAAAACATTGTTGAATGGAACGGATGATTATGAAGCAATTATTACTGATAGCACGCAAAACACAGGCCTGGCTAATGGAAATGAGATGATCAATTATGATGAACAAGTTAGTATATCCTTTTATATATTCTTTTGTTACCTCAAAGCATTACACTAGAGAACAATGGGATGGGCTTGGGTTTGTTATTCAATACTAATTAAGCGTTGGCCAACTGAATTGCTCTGGTTTCTGGAGAGAAAATTCATAATGGATCTTTAGAATCTAAAGGCTCAACAGACAAACATGTTCTATTAAACCGTGTTGTACAGAAAAGTTCAAAATGAACAATATTCATATTACGAAAAAAAAATCGTATCGTTGTAATGAAAGAAAGATTTCCAATTATTATAATAAATAAAAGTTATGTTTCTTTCACCGTTACAGTAAACAAACAAAAAATAAATAGAATGAACAAATATAAATGTAAATATTTTTAATAAATATTTGCTAAAGAAACAGTTTAAATATAAAGAAAAGAGGAAACTCAAGAACTTTTATAGTGATGTTCTGTGTTAATGAAGGGGACCCCATGGTAGATTATTCTTCACATGGAATATAGGTAGTCAGTATATTAACAATATTTTTATTTTGCAGTATATTCAAGCTACGGTAAAAGAAGAGCCACTGAGTGAAGAAGAAGACGACTTAGAACAGTTTCCCGATCTGTCGCTGGACTGCTTGTTGTGTACAAAGTCTTTCAACAGTGTTACTGGACTTAAGGTAATATAAATATGTAAAAATGTTAAGTTGGTTTATCTATGCTTCAAAAACTCTAAAAGTCCTGCACCGATTGAACTCAAATGTTAACATGGTATACAACCCGTTGTCATTGTCCCACAGCGAAGCGTAGCTGAGGACAGCTAGTTTTATATATATTGTTAGTTTGCTTTAGTATTTGTAACTCTTTTAGGAACGTTTTTTGATGTTCAAAGATTAATATAACGTCGTAATAATATATACATTTGTTTTAGGCGCATGTGATAGCCCAACATTCCTACAAGTCGGTTAAAAGAAAGGTGGCCGGCGTCGAGTCACCGCAAAAGAAACCTAAAGTTGAATATCGATGTCAGATCTGTAGAAGAGGTAACTTTACATTATGTGATGCACAAAAATATCTTATTTTCAGTAGTTTTATTGTGTATGAAATTCGTGTTATCTTATGCTATCTAGAGCTTACAGAAAATTAATCTATGAAATCTTTTTGAGGCGGCAACTGTCATTGGGTGATTGTTAATATTTTTTTATGCTATAGCGGTCAAACGAGTAGACGGGTCACCTGCAACTCTAAGAGTCATAAGTGCGTTCTTTAGTATCCCCCCAGAATTAGGGGAAGGGGAGGTTTGGGGGTCCGGTAATCTAACTAGTTGATACCACCTGATGTTACAATAATTATGACTTTTTAAATATGTATTGGTATAAAACAAAAGTCAAATGCCACTTAAAACTGCTTAAAGCTAATTTAGTATATAAATAAACAAAAAAAAAATACATTTCAACTTTATTGTGTCATCATCATCAACAGTCTTTAACAGTCCACTGACGGACGGGTTCTCCTTAGAAAGGTTTTGGCCTACTATACCACCCTGGCCAGACGGGTTGGTATAGGGTTTGTTTCGAGTTTTGCCTTCTCTTTGCAGTGCGGTTTTACTGGTAGTCTGCTCCCTTAGTCGGCTCTTACGACATTCACGGGATGAATAGGGGTGATGACACTCCGTATTCTTGATCCGTCACCACACGGACATGTGTGTGCTATTGTATATATGTGAATATAAATATTCGTTTATATTGCCAGCGTTTGTGACGTCAACCGACCTAATGGTGCACGAGACTTGTCACAACAAGCATTCTTGCTACGGGTGCACAAGGAAGTTCGACACATTCAAACAGTTGTCAAAGCATCGTAAACGGTGCAATTTGCCAGTGAATAAGACTGCCGTCAAACCAAAGACACTTGATGACGTTAAAAGGTAAGTTATAGGAAGCTGGTTGAATGGCTTTTAGAATTTTAGTATCAGATACTTCTCAGAAAATTAAATGTTATACAATAAGACTTCTGAAAATATAAATTTGATGTTTTTAATTTTGTTTTTTTTTATTTAATACAAAATTATTTAACAAAAACGAGCTATGTCTTACGTAGTAACGGATTATGACGTCATAAGTCCTAACGGGTTATGACGTCCTAAGTTCTAACATTCTAAATACAAGTTTCTGTGGAACATATCATTTGTCTTTCAATAAAGAGGGTCTGTGCGTGACTAGGTTAGTCATACTTTGATTTGTTTTTCACAAAAAGTTAGTCCACCATCCTATTTTCCTATTTTGTTGATGAGGAATTAGTAGACTAGCGGAAATGGCTATAAAGACGCAAGTTTATGAATTACATTTTAAAATGCATGACATGCAAACAGAATAAATCAAGAATATATTTTTTAATATTAATATTAAAATTTCAAGTCTTCAAAGGATTGCCATTTAGCTGAATCATCAATCAGATTAATTAGAAATAATAGCTTCAACTGTAATCCATTTATTAATAACCCCTGGAAGCGCTGGAAAGTATCAGAACAAACTAAGGATGACTGTGATTTACTACCAAGAATATTAAATACGATAGTTTGGATGGATGTTTATGACTCAATTACGCTAGAATAGCTGAACGAATCTGGATATAATTAGATACAGAGATAAATTATAGTCTGTAATAACACATAGCATACTCCGGCAATATTTATTGCGAAAATTGATACTAACACCAGCGAAGCCGCTGGAAAAGTTACTAGATTTCGCATTTATGTGTATTATTTTCATCCTGCATGAGATAATTGAATGGATAACCCGAAATTGTAACGAAGCTCAAGAGAAATCGACTAATGGATGATTTACGACTTTCAGCAAAGGAACGCTGCACTTTAATGGAGGTATAAGAAAATACGGAACACGTTCCAACTACACTCAACAGACATTAGAGGAAGTGCTAAAGAAAATTAGATCCAGTAAAATATCGTTGACTGCTGCAGTCAAAAAGTACGGAATCCCTAAGAGCACGCTGACGTATAAGTTGAAACAAAAGCATGAGAAAAAGATTGGCAAACCGACAGCCTTCTCAGACGAGGAAGAAAATATGTTCGTCCAACATATACTAGCTCTGACAGAAAACGGTACACCAATGAGCTTGAGAGAGTTCCGGATAAGTGTAAGAGATTACTTGAATCAGAACCAGAGAACTGTACCCACATTCACGGGTAATATGCCAGGTGAGGGGTGGGGGGTAGCGTTTCTTGACAGACATCCGGTTCTAAGACATAGATTAACTCGAAGAATGAATTTTTATAAACACAAAACTTGATTAAAGGTAATTTTCTTTTTACAATTCTTTTAAGTACAATTTATTTAATAGTTCCTGTGAAATTTTAATAAATAAATAAAGCATGTATTTTACCAACTGGAGATGAAGTTTTTTTTTTCTAATTATTTTATCATCAAAATCGCTGGCGTTTAAAAGAACTTAGTAGAATAATACATTCGTGAGAGACTGTTGCCCGAGGTAGGTAGTGGGCTCCACTTGCCGTGGGTGAGCCAATTAAGCTCCTTCCAGAAGCGCAGAAGTCTTCTGGGGCGTTCACAGGCTTCTAGGAGCGATTCTGTATCGGGTTGCCGTTGAGTGGCAACTCCTTTACATTAATGGTGAATAGTTGTTGATTCAGTGCCAAATGTCCTGTTATAGTTCTTACAACTATTCGGATGTCTAGTCTGCAAGTGAGTCGTGGTGAAACTACAGTCAGCACCAGTTTGGACTGTCTGTAGCTGCGTGAGTTTTTCCACCACCGGTTGTGTGCTTCACGAGTACGTTGTCTAGCCAAGATCCGCTGGATCGAAGTTGGTTGAAAGGTAGTGGCAGGAGTATGGTTGAGCCGGTAGCTGGAGTTACCGAGCCCCTCCTTGCGAACTCATCTGAGGCGTCGTTATCATGTGAATTACTGTGCCCTTTAATCAAATGGAAGAGTACCCCATTTGTTGAGGCAAGCTGCTCCAGTGCTTGATGGCATTCGAAGACAATACCAGAGGTCATCGTGTCGCCCTCCAGTGCCTTTAGGATGGCCATGCTCTCTAACAGTATTCGGATGTTTTAGTCCTTAAAACCCCATAACATGGCCGTTATGGCGGCGTAAGTTATTGCCACATATTCGCATTGGAATATGGAACTGTGTTGGCCTAACGTCAGTGATAGGTTCATGTTTAGGTCTTATAAGAATACTCTGGGTCCGGTTCCTGACCCAGTCTTGGAACCATTTGTGCAAAATTCGGAATTCGTTTATGCCGTATTGGCCTAGGTTTCTTGTATATCCGAGATAGATATAGGGTTGCCATTGTTACGGGTCGCTAGGCCCCAATTATAAAATTACATATGAGTTGACTTACATATAAGTTTAAAAGATCCGAGATGTTTGAGTCAATTTAACATGTAATATAGAACTTGAACACAAAACATAAGCTTGACGTATTATTGAGGAAAATACTGTTGTGTAAAATAAAAATAAAAAAATGTGGAAATATCAGCAAATAAAAAGTACAGCAAATTTACTGTGAGCTTGACTGAAAAATTGGAAATCTTCATGAAATACATATATGCTGCAACTAATACACGAGACAATGAACATAAATAAACCCTAGAAAAACATCATATTATAAAATACTATTTTACAGCCGAAAGCCCGACAAGTTTGACTCACATAGAGGGTCGATCACAATGGAAAATAGATAACCTATACAAGTGATATAACAATAAATTGACGATTCACTTTTTGCTGCTAGAAAGAGGCAGAAACTACACTGTTTCCAAGAATAAATTGAAACTAATATTCAAACTTCCTTAGCGAAGGTCTCAGATTGGGGCCGACTAAATCTAGTCCAGTTCACCGCAAAGCAGATACCATTTGTCGTAACACCTCGGTTTGAGAGCACCTCCTAGCTGCCTCAGCCAGCATCGGAATCCTAGGCATCGACATATCGAGCGAAGTTTCAGGGTCACTTGAGCGTAAGGTCACATTGGCCTCGAAGATGTTCGGTGTGCTGAACCACCGCCTTCAGCTCTATTAGGCGCAAGTCCGGCCGCATATGGAATACTGTTCTCATCTCTATGCAGGGGCACCTCAGTACCAGCGTCTCCCTCTGGACCGCATCCAACGAAAAGCGACTCGAATCATCGATAGCCCAAATATCTCCGATCGGCTCGATCCCTTGGCGTTACCATTGTTCGGACTAATACCAGCCGCAATTTTCCGTCATCGTTCCACACGGCAAAATTTTCATCCTCATCACCTGGATAGTTGGCGCTCCACTACTGTGCGCTTTTCGAGACACTTTTTGTCCGCACATTACCCAATGCCTCCAATCTATAGAACGGGTTATCGTCTGAAGTATTGCCGGACCGATACGACCTTCAAACCTTCAAGAAAAGAGCGTACTCCTTCCTAAAAGGCCGACAACGCGTTTGTGACTGCAGAGTTGCAGACGTTCATGGGCGGCGATGGTCACTTTCCATCAGGTGAAATAAAATATGATCCTGAAAGAAGGGATAATAAATTACTCGTTTTATTTATTTCATATCATAAATCCACGGCAAATTACCATTTCCTACCTAGTAGATAATATAGAAATTAATAAAATACATTAAGAATAGAGTAATGAAATAAAATTTAAAAAAACAAAACTGAAAAAATAATTAAAATATTTTTCGGTTTTCAGACCAGTGAAAAACGAAAAACCAAGCTCTTTAGACTTGAGTACTGTAGAGAAAAAGGAAAAGTGCTTAAATGATAGCAGTATGAACTCAAACCTCGAAATTAAATCCAGTAAGAACAAGACAAAAACTGTTCAGAGTGAGATGGAAGAACACAGTAGTGATACAGATGAACATATGGAATTGTAAAAAGGATTGTAAATAGTCAATGTAATAAAGGTTCATTAACACTTGTTTCAACTTTTGTTAACTGCCCATGAACATAAGAATATTAGCCATGTTTTATTATATACAGGGGTTGCTTTTAAAATACTAATACCTTTTACAAATTACTTTTATACGTTACACTGAACAACTCTGTTCTACGATTTTTTATCTATACTAACAATTTATTTGCATAGTAACTGTCTGTCCGTCTGTTCTTCAACATGAATTAATTTTATTGTACGGACAGGCCAGCCCCTCTCCGCATTACGTAGACATGAAGTTACATGTACGTGGCGGCAACTGGTTGTACTAACTCAGTTGGATGACGCGCGCTTGCCGGTTTAGTTAGATATTCACTCTCGGGTCGTTCCGCGTTGTCCAATAAATATTACTTTTCTACAATAAAGGCAAAAACATATGGCATCGTATTCAGCTGCTTAAATAATAATAAGAATCCGAAACTGGTGTTTTTTACATTACACTTAGAAAATCAAAAGAACAACTCAACTCTTTTCAGAAACTGTTAGAAAAGATAAGTTATGCGTTAGTAAGACAGGTAACATCTAGGTGAATAAAACAATACATTGCAAGAGTCTCTATTTATTTAAACGATTTTACTCAGTGTTACTATATAATACTTTATTCTGTGGAATAGATTTATTTCTATGGAAGGTGACGTCACAGATAGCAGCTAGTAATTCATCATTAAATACTTTCATACATAAAAGACTAGAAGTCTTGCACTTTCAAAACTATTATATAAAAACGGCGAGCAGAATTAATTAGGTATTTCGTTTAGTAGGTTATTAGTATTTTCACATGAACCCTTTAAGTGCGTGTTGATTTTATGACTATGGGTCGCGGTCCTGACCAAATTAATCATAATGATGATAAATGCTGTTTAAACCTGTAAACCAATCAAGTGAAATCGCAATTTTGTAGAAGCACTTTAAAATTACATGTTAAAATAAGTTTTTTTTTAAGATTGTAAATGTGTATGTAAATGAATTTCTGTTATATATTCTATTATATAACTGTTCGATTAAATAAGAATGTACTAGAATAAAAAACTGTGAGAATTGCATAGCGTTGTATGATTTAAGTTAGAATCCAAATTTGGGCAAAATGCCGAGAAATTCAATTTGCATAAGTTGCAAAGAATAAAACAATTTATAGAGTAACTAATTATAAAACAATAGTATGTTATCTCAGATTTATGAAACAATCATAATTGGACCACAAAGTATTAGACTGTGTTGTGCAAAAATGATCGAACCCACAAAGTGGTCCCAACTAATTTAAATGGGCTAAGTTATCAAAAATGACATGTAATTTTTATATTTTATGATGATCAGAAATCTTTATTAACCAAATGCAAAAAAATGCAAAGAAGGTTGTCATTTGGACTGTTTTTTATGACCTCAGAACTTCATTAACCGATTTAAAAAATTGATATTTATATTAAAGGATAGGTATACTTCTCGTTGAATCTCATTCGATTTTGAAGAACATTTTCGACTCCTAAGGGTGAAGATTAAAGCATGAAGAAATAGTTTATCATAATTCATCATGATGTACGTGCATTGAAGTAGTTAATATTTCTTTATAAGTACATTACTTCATTACAATCAATCATTCGCCAAGCCTTTTCCCGATCTTCCTTTTCGCTAAGCCTTTTCCTTTGACAGGCCTGTTGGTCTAGTGGTTAGTGACCCTGACCGCTAAACCGGAGGTCGTGGGTTCGATTCCCACCCAGGACAAATATTGTGTGATGAGCACGGTCATTTGTTCTGTGTCTGGGTGTAATTTATCTATAATATGTATGTATTTAGAAATATATAAGTATGTTTATCAGCAGTCTGGTTACCATAGTACAGGCTCTGCCTAGTTTGGGATCAGACGGCCGTGTGTGAGTTGTGTATAAAAAAAAAAAAAAAAAAAAACTATGTTGGGATCGGCTTTAAGGCTGACCTTCGTTTTTTTTTAGTACCCAAGTACTAGGCGATATTGAAGTTCTGTAGATAGACTGTGGTTGGTATTTTAAGGGCTTCCAAATACCCGTAACGATTGCCACAGATGTTCGTATGACAGCCGGGAGGTTTGTTAGGTTTAAAGGTTTCTTCGAGGCTCTCACCCCAATGACTAAATAAGGGAATTTACTAGTTTGTGAATTGAATCATTTCTGAACAACACTGTTCAATTATTTATGTTTTAGTAATAATAGAGCAATTATAAATTGTTAAACGTTGTTAGCGAATGATTGTTGCCTTTTGTATATATTTGTTTGTATGACGATTGTTTAATGAAGTTTGAAGAAAATAGATTAACACGTGTATAATAATTTTAGTTCATATTTACACTCAGCGTAGTAATAAGCGGCGTGGCGACCGCTTAAAGCACTATGCCATCCGTGCAGCATTAAACGGACAAAAGTAGTCTGAAAATCAATTCTAAAATGCATTGTAATATTTTACACAAGTCTAAAGAGAGGCTGGATACAAAAATTACTGCAGTGGCTCAAAAACATTGTATAAGACAAGCTCATACTGGTATATGTTGATATATATCATATAAAAGTGTATAATGTTAATATTACAAATGTTACCATTGTATAAAACTACCTATGTAAAATGTGGATTGAACATTAAATTGCTAACCGATACCTCGCACATTGAACGCAGAAAGTAATGTTGCCAGACTATCCAAAATGTTGATAAAAAATTGTTATTCCTTGATATTTATCACAACAATTATTTTATTATTATTATTTATCATCAATTTATATAGAAGGAAAGTGCTTTTTTTTAAAGAAAACGAAGCATGTTTATTTATTTTGTAAAATCGAGAGTGATGTAAAATATTAACCTAAGGAATCGTGGTGGGACTGCTGAGTGAAATTTAAGACTACTTACGGTCTAAAAGTAACTAAGTTAGACTGAACATATTTGCTGTACGGTAACTTAAAGGCTTAACTACAATAATTGATATTGATATACTCACTCTAAACTACCTCATAAGCTCATTGAAGCGGAATTAATCGAGGCAGATAATATTGCCGTGGCTATACTGAGCTCCCACTTCGGGGTAGTTCCCACTTAAGAATACAGATTGTCACCACCCCTATTCATCCCGTGGGTGTTGTAAGAGTCAACTAAGGGAAAAAACTACGCAGAACAACAACACTGCACAGAGAAGGAAAACTTGACACAACTATACCAACCCGTCTGGCCAGCGTGGTATAGTAGGCCAAAGCCTCCTTTCTAAGGAGAGGCTTATGTCCAGCAGTGGACTATTAAAGGCTGTTGATGATGATGAGTGGGAGTTGCATTAATGTATACCTACATACAATATACGATATAAACCATGTAATCCGTAACTATATAATGAAAGTATTAAGTAGTTCTTTGTTTTTTAATGTGAGTGAGGTTCCAGGAGCCGAAACACCCCCTCCCTCCGCTGATTCTGGAGGGATTACAACGCACTTATCACTCTTGAGTTTCCGGTGTTCATGAGCGGCGGCATTCACAAATAGTATTCATCAGAGGCCCAAGTGTGAATTTATTTCACATCAACTCGATCGTCACGGTGACCGTTCGGCGCTGCGATTGGACCGCACTGAAATCTTCACCAATCGCTGTGCGTTGTCGAGAGCGAATTGATGTGAAATAAACTCAAACTTGGCCCTCAGGTGATCAGCCCCGGATTTAGGGGGCAAACCGGGGTACCCGCCCCTGGCTGTTTCCGGAGGCGCCAAATGCATAATACTCGTATAATTTAAAATAAAAAATTAAAAGAACAAATTGTTATGTCCCAATCAATTTTATATTTATAAGTTTTTTAAGTTACTTATCTCAAACGCTGGAGAGAAGGGGCGCTATTATTGACTTTCTGCTCGGGTCCCGTCAAAAAAAAAGAAAACAGAAAAAATCGTAGATCCGTGGCTGCAGGTGACCCGTTTGTTCGTTTGCCCTCCTATACAAAAAAAAATTAACAGTAAAATAAGGCAACATATATCTCAACGAAAACTACGTCACATTCCTTCGTCTCCGCCCCTTCTAAATCACCTGCACTGATGCTTCAATGAATTAATGATAGAGTTTTCATAGATAGAATAATCTCACAATAACCTTCGAGCTACCGAACTGTAAATATGGTACAATTTTTTTGTGATTTTTCTTTTCCATGTGTCGTGGCCAAGATCTAACCTTTTTAGCTGCATTCGCCCAATATTTTACTAAATGTATAAAGATTACAAAAAATAGAAACGTGTGTTATGTATTGTAACCAGTTCTGACCCATCACGACGATTTTTCATTTGTCATTAATCTGTAGAATATTTTGTTAAATAAGAAATGCGTAGTTACTGTATAGGGAACATTTTTATTTATAAAAAACATCAAATAATTTAATAAATGTATAACCATTCTAAAGTCCAGCCTCTCAAAGAATGCGTTTCTGACGGATCGTGATCGACTGGGCGATGTAACTTTGAACTGGCGTACAATTTACGGCAAAATTTTAAATATCTTTTATTTATAAAAAATAGAATGGTATGTTATGTATTGTAGTCAGTTCTGACCCATCCCGAAGATATTTCATTTTCATGTCATTAATCTGTAAAATATTTTTGTTAAATAAGAAATGCGGAAGTACTGTATAGTAAACATTTTTTATCTTTTTTTTTTAATATAAGAAAAAGTTTGTATTGTTCTGAGAAGCTCCTCCGGCCAAATCTCATTGTGAAACACTAATGACTGACGATGTATATCAAATTAATTTATTAGAAAAGTAATGTGTCATTTTATTAATATGATTTTAACATGTACATACATCATATTTTAGGAAGAATGTAATTTGTGACACAAAGGTTATGATGTGTTTGTGTGAAATAATGGCTCTGCATGAATATATTGTTGCTGTTTGCGAGTTGTAAAGAGTATTTTCTTTAATGCTTTGTACTGACTATTTAAAGTGGTAACTCCTTTCTTACAATTTGTTTCAGTGTTTCCATTTAATAAACAGTATTGAGCTATGAAATCGTGTAAAGGAAATGCCTGCTTTTAACAATCTAGTTTTGAGACGAGGCTGATTTAAAAAGAAAAACAAGTGATAAAAAATACACTACCAAAGTTGATATTGTATAGACAATACATCATCATGAGTCAACAAAGTCATTAATAAACTGCCCGTGTCTAGTTTTTATGGCTTATTATAATCCTGGAGTATAAGTTTCTCTCGGATAGCGGTATTTGTAACCTCTTCATCGTTACTTTCGATCAGGGCCTCAATTCTGCTATTTTAATATTGTATCAATAGACTGTCGTCGGAATAGTTTTGCATTTTTCCTATTCTACTAATTATGTAAGATCAATGGCCGATGACTTGTTACTGATACAAATGTCGTCGATGTCTTTGTAATAGTTTGGTAAACGGTACATTTTAAATTTGTAAGAAAATTATATATTTAATTTTCCAGGTATGGCAATATTGTTGATATCACCATTGATGACCTATACTCGTATTACTATATCGACAGTCTATTGACACTGTGAATTTATGTGAGTAGAATACTGATATTATAGAATTTGACCGATGTTAATGGTGTCTCAATGGAATGACAGTGGCTTGGCGTTAACATAAAATAGCAGAATTGAGGCCCTGGTGAGATAGAAGAGAAACGCCTATTTCATTACTATAATAACGGAAATCATAACGATTATTGGGATAAGTCGCATAAAATGTGTACCAACTTCTTCACCTACCATCTAACGTTTAATTATTCCAGGACTGTGCGCGCTTCGTAGTCAAGTCAAATAGCTTGAGATTCCCCAGTTTTTGGTCTGAATATGCGGCAGAAAATATTTGTCTACATAGACATAAAGTCTTTACCTATTTAAAGTGAATAATACGTTCACAGTTAGTAAGTATTTAAAAAGAATACCTATGAATGATTCTAAATAGTAAAATCAAAGGAAAAAAATTGATATCAACCAAAGTTTTTTTTTTAAATATTAGTAACTAGAACAGTTCTCACGGTCAATATTATCAACAAAAACTAAAATTAAAAGACATTATTGGATAAACTATGCACGATTTACTTAAACGTGTATGCAAATGTAAGTACAATAATCCCCCCTATAACACGGTAGATTTGTTCCGCGTAATAGGAAAATGCTTCATAGGAGGTATTATCGTATAACGCGCTTGTACAAATCATTCTCGTTTTACTTTTATCGTTAAAGGTTTAAATCGAATTATGAACTATAAATCATTATAAATTTGACAGTACAGAAATATAACGTAGGAAATCCCCGCGTTATATGGGGGAATACCCGTGCTATACGAGGGATTAAAATCGCGTACTATGAAAATGCGTTATAAGTGTTATTACGGGGGATTCCTGTATAATTATGTAATTTTAGACTTTTTGATGTGTGATTATGTAATATTGGACTTGTGATGTGCTTGGAAATTTTGACTGCTTCTGTATTGCAGTAGTAGCGTATGCGACTGCTGAGCTGATTCGATTCCCGGGTCGGACCAAATATTTGTATGATTTGCAAATATTTGTTTCGGAGTTGGGGGGTTTCTATGTACAATATGTATGTCAATTTAACTTTCATAATACAAGCTCTCCTTAGTTTCAAACTAGATAACGTTGTGGTTAAATGTCTGAAATATTTGGCAGTAAAAACACAGTTTCTAATTTAAATAATATATTTAATATTAATAATTCATTTTTTAACAGATGTGCTTCACGATTATTCATGCTGGCAATGTCAGATTTTAGTGTTTCAGTGTGTATAAGATAAATACTTCAATAAATAAAATAATACTCTGTTACATATAATTTCACACAACAAACTATTTAATACTCAAAATGAGGCTGCTTTAAATTTATTCTCTTTGAAAACCTCTCAACAGTTATAAAAAACAATAGTAGTTACGACGAACAAACACAAATTGCTCTGTAAAGTACCCACGGTGCAATTGGTGCCGAAAAATATGCATTTAAATCACAGCCTTACACTTCAAAGAATAGTGCGTAAAATGCTTTAAATGAATATTGCTAAAGAACGATGAAAATTAATTTCTATTAAGCTCATTGAGGATACGAAGTATGTAGAGGAACAAATTGAGAATATCCAGGTACAGGTTGATGGTGGCGAGGATGTACTCCTCGGGCGAGAGGGTGGTCATCATCATTTGTGTGTCGTATATGAGGAAGAGACTGAAGAGTATCGCTCCTACGAATGACAGCGCCACTTCGAAGGCCGAGCTCTGAATGAAGATTTGCAGGATCCCGCCGAGAATTAGTACACTCAGTCCGGCAACAAGGCTGGAAACAAACATAATTGCTCTGTTAGAATATATAGTACAGATCGCCTTTTGGTCGAATATTCAGATCACAGGCCTCTCCTTAGAAATGGGTTTAATGGTTTTTTATAAAATGAAAGTTCGTGGTCGAATATTAATTTTGTTTTATTGCGTGATTTTCCGTACATGACAGCTCAAACATAATCGGGTTAGTGGTTGGTGATGTTCTCGTAGTAAAGTATTAAACATCCAACTTTGATTATAATGTGATTATATCGTATTGTGACTAGCAGTTCAGTCGGTATTTGCTAGTATTAGTAATACTTTACTATGTACTTGAATACTTTACTACGAGTGAAAATTTATACTTAACTGAATTTTTATTACGAGAATAGACCTGAGCTCTTAGCATATTTTTTAATATTCTATAAGCTTTGATGATCTATTTGATTGATCTATTTGCGTATCATCGCATGCGCAACTCTTATATTATTCTATAGCTTTGTATCGTTTTGTATATGTATTGTTTTTAAACTTCGCTCCCATGGATTCAGGACCTATACCAACACGTATATTTCTCCTTTCTATATTTTATCTAAATTCTCTTTCATGTAACTGAACATAATTTCATGGGACAAAATGTGATGTATCTTGACGTTCTTGAAATTAGAAATTCTCATCCATTTCGATTTCTACTCACAAAACGAAATATTGATATAAGTCCAAAAATAAACCGTGCTGCTTTGTCACACTGTTAAACTCCTTGTCGCGAAACTTTATTATTGGCTAAGAGTCTAAAAAATGTTTAACTTCACCCATGATATATGTAACATAGCTGTTAAGTTTCCAAATAAATAAATAAAAACTCACCCGTATCCGATAAACGAGAAGTCTGTCTTGGTGTTGAGCGTGTATGCGGTCAGTGAGAAGACGACAGCGAACGTCAGAGCTAACGCTTGGATCACCACACCGGTGTTGTAGTAGGAGACTACCACGCCTATTGAGTATGCTTGTACCACCGTCTAAAAAAACATACAATCATACAGATTTTGAGTTTGAATTTTGTCTTTCTTTTTCAGGTTTTTGATTTAGTGAGAAGAAGCCTGACTGCTGAGACAGGGGTTGTAGGTTTAATTGCCACCGATCATTTTTTTGGTGTGGTGAAGGATTAAGAATACAAAGTGTCACCACCACAATTCATCAAGTGGGTGTCGTAAGGGAACAAACTACGCAGAACAACAGCACTGCAAAGGGAAGGAACACTTGAAACAAACCCTATAGTAGGCCAAAACCTCCTTTCCAAGGAGAGGCCTATGTCCAACAGTGGACTATTAAAGGCTGATACTGCTGCTGATGTTTCTTTTATGACTGGGTGTATTTTTATCTAAAACGTACATATTTAGTGATATATAAGTATGTTTATCAATAGTCTGGTTACAATATTACAGGGTCTGCATAGTTTGAGATCAAACAGTGTCTGTGTCTCAAGTTATTACGGTTACTATGATATCAATATTAGTGGTGGGCTCCGGTTTCCGCATTTAGACACAGATAGGGTCCTTTATGCGTCGTTGTAAGGTTGGCTACGTGTTACTATGGTAATTTGTTTTAATTATATTAACAGCAAATTTGGGAATATATTATTCTCAATGTATCTTAAAAGTGCCGTAACTCTGAGCTGATTAAATATCTGTCTTCACATAAAATCGATGTTCAGCAGTTCTCTACTTGCTTTTTACGGAGTGATTGAGGTTACCGGAGCCCTAAACTCAAAGGCCTCTGAGACTTCAATTTCAACTGTTCATGGGCGGCGGTAGTCACCATCAGGTGGTCAGTCTGCTAGTTTGCCCCTGCACCATAAAACTCAGTATTTTTTCGTTTAACATCAAATTCGATGTTATTCTCCTATTATACTTACAAAAGCAGCCAGTAGGTAGAGATTGGCGGGCGAGTCTCGCCTCTTTGCGATGAGGGCAAACAGCGTTATCATGCTGAGCACGAACGCTACCATCACCATCCAGTTACTGAAACCATTAAATTGCTTAAATGAAAACTGTACTTATACTAATCCGATAATGATAAATCCGAGACTAATTTAAAGTGGCGTTATAAGTATGTAACATGACTACAGAGTACAGAACTCTTGACGCGGTTTGGCCCTCGCTTTCCGCTTAGTTTGGATTTTCCGTCTTACCGTATGACAGCGAATTTTTTTTCCTGTTATTTTATTCTTGACAGTCTGTTATCTAGGCGACTTGAAAGTAATGTTCAGAGTCATAGGTTCTTGGTTTAAGAATTATGGACATACATAGTTAATAGACCATTTCCTTGTAATGAAAGCATTACACTAAATAAAATATCCGTGTCCGTGTGGTGACGGATTAAGAATACGGAGTGTCACCACTCCTTTTCATCCCGTAGGTGTCGTAAGACTAAGGGAGCAAACTACGCAGGACAACAGCACTGCAAAGAGAAGGAATACTTGAAACAAACCTTATACCAACCCGTCTGGTCAGCGTGGTATAGTAGGCCAAAATCTCCTTTCTAAGGAGAGGCCTATGTCCAGCAGTGGACTACTAAAGGTTGATGTGATGTTATGAAATAAATATATTTTACTAGTTGTAAAGTTATGTGTAATTAATAAAATGGTGGGTTAAATTTAAAGGTCAAAAATTACATATAATTTGGAGAGCTTACTTGTTATGTATGAAAAGTTTGACGGGTTCAACGAAGTGGAATGTTCCAGCGATTGCAGCAGTGGCCAGCAGTTGGATGGAGAGGAGGCCGTAAACTTTGCGAACGAAACCAAGGCGGATCTGCTTGTCGGCATTGGCAACATTGTTGCGGTATGCGAAATCATCCTGGAAACAATACAATTTTGTAATATCAATGTAAATGTAAACTTATGGTTATTGAAGCAAATACTTTTTAGTATACAAATCGTTCTCCGAGCCATTTTCCAAACTAGGTTGGGATTGGCTTTCAGACTACTATGACACGGCTAAACTTTGATTTTCTACGTGGAGCAATTGCCATCAGACCTTATCTACCCATGCACTAGGCGATGTTGAGGTTCTGTAGAAAGACTTGTCGCACATTTTAGGGCTCCATCTACCCGGAATATTTGCCATATGGCAACCAAAACCGACTGCTTAACGTGCTCGCCGAGGCACAGAGGGATCTCCATGACCTGATATGGCTGCGATTGTTTAAATTTGCAAAATGCTAACCTACTGAGTTACCATTAGCCACGAGCCCCTACTATACAAATATATAATTTTATAATATTTTTAATGGTCTTCAATGTTTAATGAGCTAACATTTTTGTGTAGTGCCAGTCAGGATTATAGTTTGAGCCAAACAAAAGCTGAGATGTCTTCACTGTTTTTTTTAAATCACCGTCACATGGAGATATTCCAGGCAACCCCCTCTGCAGGAACTTTTACAGGGTACAAAAGAAGAAGGTTTTATAACTAAGCACCCCAGCCAGTGAGGAAAGCGAAAATATTGTCTTAGGCATATGATGGGCTCTATCTGTATTAAAACAGTAAACTTGTTTTGAATTATATGCAGTAAGGAACAGTGACTTAAGGAGTATCAATTTTTGTTGAAACATGTTTCTTATGTTTCTAGACACACATTGCTGATGTTATTATAGAGCAACACTATTATATTGAAGTGAAATAAAGAAGAAAGAAGAATAGAGAGAAGTTAAACTTAAATTATTATAAATGAGAGCAGACCCAGTACTTAATTTAAGCTGAATGTTCATCTTAACTCTCCCACTTGACAAAAACAGACAAAAGATCAGATCAAAAAGTTTGATTAAGATTAATTGCAGCGAGTGTTCTTAAACCAAAACAAACCTCAAAACTATTAAAGCCTAATATTCATAGCTTTCTTTATTAGGACATTATATTTAACTGTAACTTGAATAAGATAAAGGCAGGTGATTTCCACTATTTGATGAGAAATCGGCATCATAAATGTCTTTCCAAGCAATCCCAGCTAGGTCAGTTTATGGATCGGTGACCATTCTCCATGCCTCAGAAAGCACATTAACCCGTAGTTCCGGTTGCCATACAAACATCTGTGTTAGTTACAGGTAGTACGAGCCCTAAAAAGTTTACAGTAAACTTCTACAGAACTTCAATTTCACCTAATACTTGGGTTGTGGAGGACTGATGGCAGTTGCTCTGCCTAAAAAAATCGAAATTCAACTGTATCATAGTAGACTTTAAGCCTTTTCTTTTTTTTTTAATGTGTGGAAACCTCCTCACGCCGTCACCCCACAGGGGTTTACGGCGGGGTGGTGTGTCGCAATCGGACCGACTAAAACCACACAGTGTGCCACTCCGCACCAGTAATAGGAGAGCTCCGGGAACTGCTATTATTAAGACATCCTGACCCCTCATAGCGCCTGGCCGCAATGGGGCGGACACCATCTTCGGGTTCATTCTCCATTTAGGCAACGTCCGGCACACGTGTGCTGTGCACTATGCTTTAAGCCTTTTTTTTTTTTTTTTTTAACGTGTGGAAATCCCCTCGGACCGTCACCCCTCCGGGGTTTGCGGCGGGGTGGTGTGTCGGACTCGGACCGACTAAAACCACACGGTGTGCCACTCTGCGCCTGTAACAGGAGGGATCCGGGAACATCTGTTGTTAAGACATCCGGACCCCTCCTAGCGCCAGCCCGCTCCTGGTGCGGGCTCCGTCTCAATGTTGTTGTTGTTCCTCTCTTTAGGCGACGTCCGGCACACGCGGACGCCGCCCCCTCGCGGCTGGCCAACTAATGCGGGTGGAGGGGAAACCCACCCCGTCCACCCGCGGCCACACTCAGGGCGGCATGAGGCTGTGATAGCCGGGCCTCCGCCGCCCGGTTCGCCGGCGGCGGATCGGGTCCGAGTGGAGGTCGTCCTCCCGGGCCCTCTCCGCCGCCTCCTTCCGCGAGATTACTACCTCGCAGAAGGTTGCGACCGCGGTAAAACAACTGTCGCTACCGGCCATGGAGCGTACTACGGCCGGTAGCGAGAGATCCACTCCGATGACTGCAGTGAGGGCCCGGCGCTGCGCCGCCCATGCGGGGCAGACCGCCAGCGTGTGCTGGGCCGAGTCCTCACTGCAGTCGCAGTGGTGGCAGGCGGGACTCAGTTCCCTCCTAGCGACCGTGTGCAGGTACTTTCCGAAGCAACCGTGCCCGGAAAGCACCTGCGTCAGCCTGAAGGAAAGGGTCCCGTGCTGCCGCCCTGCCCACTCGGCGATGACCGGCTGGAGAGCCCCCACGGCGGCGAAGCCAGCGCGTGGAGTCTCCAGCCGGAACGACCAACGAGCCATCGTGGCTCGGCGAGCGGCTTCACGCCACTCGCGCACATCCTCCACTCAGCCACTAAGTCAGCCACTCGCCGATAAACTTCGGCGAGCACTTCCGCTTCCAAATCCCACGGGGGAGTTCCGGCCAACGCGCACGCCACCTCCGTCGAAACGGTGCGGTAACCGCGTATGGCTCTGACCGCCATTACCCTCTGAGGGCGCCAGAGGCGTACCCTATTCTGGGCGGTCAGAGCCGCCGCCCACACCGGTGCACCGTACAGTGCCATTGACCGGACAACCCCCGTGTACAGCCGTCTTGTCGCGACGCTGGGTCCACCCATATTGGGCAAGAGTCGCCCTAGGGCAGACGCAGCGCCGACCAGCTTTGGAGCAAGCTGTCGGAAGTGCTCGTCGAAGAGCCACCTCCCGTCGAGGATCAGGCCCAGATATTTCATCTGGGCCCGAACCGGTACGAGGACCGAGTTGACCACGATTGAGGCGCCAGGGGGTGGACCACGACGGGGCCCATGAAATAACAGGGCCTCCGTCTTATCTAGGGCCACCCGTAAGCCCAGCGCCTCAATGCGCCCGACCACCAGGGAGACTCCCCCTGTGGCCAGGCGCGCCGCCTCTTGGAAGTTTGCCCCCCGGGCTGTCACGAGGGTATCGTCTGCGTAACAGATTACACCCAGCCCGGGGGGGAAATCGGCGCGAAGGGCCCAGTCGTACCCTATGTTCCACAAGAGGGGTCCAAGAACAGACCCCTGTGGAACACCGCACGACATGGGCCGACTCCTCAAATTACCTTCTCGGTCCTCGTACACGACGGTACGCTCCTCTAAATAGTCTGCCACCAGCCGCCTCAGGTACTTTGGCACCCCATGATAGTGGAGTGCTTCCCTGATGCAGCTGAATGGCAGACTATTGAATGCGTTGGCGATGTCCAATGACACCGCCAACAGCACGCCGCCACAGCTCACGGCCTCTTCGGTCACGGCCCTCAGGCGCAACACAGCGTCGACTGTCGAACGCCCCGCACTATGCTTTAAGCCTTTTTTTTTTTTTTTTTTTTTTTTTTTTTTTTTTTACGTGTGGAAATCCCCTCGGACCGTCACCCCTCCGGGGTTTGCGGCGGGGTGGTGTGTCGGACTCGGACCGACTAAAACCACACGGTGTGCCACTCTGCGCCTGTAACAGGAGGGATCCGGGAACAGCTGTTGTTAAGACATCCGGACCCCTCCTAGCGCCAGCCCGCTCCTGGTGCGGGCTCCGTCTCAATATAGATGTTCCTCTCTTTAGGCGACGTCCGGCACACGCGGACGCCGCCCCCTCGCGGCTGGCCAACTAATGCGGGTGGAGGGGAAACCCACCCCGTCCACCCGCGGCCACACTCAGGGCGGCATGAGGCTGTGGTAGGCGGGCCTCCGCCGCCCGGTTCGCCGGCGGCGGATCGGGTCCGAGTGGAGGTCGTCCTCCCGGGCCCTTTCCGCCGCCTCCTTCCGCGAGATTACTACCTCGCAGAAGGTTGCGACCGCGGTAAAACAACTGTCGCTACCGGCCATGGAGCGTACTACGGCCGGTAGCGAGAGATCCACTCCGATGACTGCAGTGAGGGCCCGGCGCTGCGCCGCCCATGCGGGGCAGACCGCCAGCGTGTGCTGGGCCGAGTCCTCACTGCAGTCGCAGTGGTGGCAGGCGGGACTCAGTTCCCTCCTAGCGACCGTGTGCAGGTACTTTCCGAAGCAACCGTGCCCGGAAAGCACCTGCGTCAGTCGGAAGGAAAGGGTCCCGTGCTGCCGCCCTGCCCACTCGGCGATGACCGGCTGGAGAGCCTCCACGGCGGCGAAGCCAGCGCGTGGAGTCTCCAGCCGGAACGACCAACGAGCCATCGTGGCTCGGCGAGCGGCTTCGCGCCACTCGCGCACATCCTCGGGCGGAGGGCGAAATCCGCTCTCCGCCCGGTAGTCAGCCACTCGCCGATAAACTTCGGCGAGCACTTCCGCCTCCAAATCCCACGGGGGAGTTCCGGCCAACGCGCACGCCACCTCCGTAGAAACGGTGCGGTAACCGCGTATGGCTCTGACCGCCATTACCCTCTGAGGGCGCCAGAGGCGTACCCTATTCTGGGCGGTCAGAGCCGCCGCCCACACCGGTGCACCGTACAGTGCCATTGACCGGACAACCCCCGTGTACAGCCGTCTTGTCGCGACGCTGGGTCCACCCATATTGGGCAAGAGTCGCCCTAGGGCAGACGCAGCGCCGACCAGCTTTGGAGCAAGCTGTCGGAAGTGCTCGTCGAAGAGCCACCTCCCGTCGAGGATCAGGCCCAGATATTTCATCTGGGCCCGAACCGGTACGAGGACCGAGTTGACCACGATGGAGGCGCCAGGGGGTGGACCACGACGGGGCCCATGGAATAACAGGGCCTCCGTCTTATCTAGGGCCACCCGTAAGCCCAGCGCCTCAATGCGCCCGACCACCAGGGAGACTCCCCCTGTGGCCAGGCGCGCCGCCTCTTGGAAGTTTGCCCCCCGGGCTGTCACGAGGGTAT